CTCAGCAAGCTTCCAGCGTACGGCATATCTCCTGGCCTAATCGGTTGGGTGAAGGACTTTCTGAGTGAGCGGTCTCTCCGAGTAGTCGTCGAAGGCTGTTCATCCGAGCCACTAACGACAAATGCCGGAGTTCCTCAGGGGTACGTCCTTTCCGCAACTCTTTTCTTGCTGCATATCAACGATCTGCTCATGTCCGGTATCTATGTGTACGCAAACGACAGATCAGTTGTGGAGAGATCCCAACCGAGTATTCGGGTCAGTAGAGCGTCTGAATCTTACATTGCAGGCGGTCTCTGAATGGGGCGATGCCAATCTTGTGAGATTCGACGCCTCCAGAACGCAGGCGTGTCTTTTTTCCGCAGAAAGGAGCCCTTTCAACTTGGCTCCTACTTTCCAGAATGTGTCCTTGGAGTTTACCGACCGCCTTCAATGGTTGGGAGTCGAAATATCCTCAAACCTCAACTTTGGGCGGTTCATTGAGTCTAAAGAACTTCGCGCCGGGACAGCTTCTTACTCTATACAAGGCTCAAATCCGATCGTGTGTGGAGTATTGTTGCCATATCTAGGCTGGGGCTGCAAAATGCCATCTGGCTGCCTTGGACTCACGGACAACCAAGCGTTCGGCGGGGCTCCACCCTTATGCTGTCGACGTTCCACGTAAAATAACAAAGCGATTCGCTTCTTCATTTATCATCCGTACAGCTAAGGAATTTATCATGGAATAACCTGCCGGCGTCCATCTTTCCGTCCGATTACAACGTAGGCGTCTTAAAGGCAAGAGTGAATAGGTTTCTACTGAGCTAGCGAGCTTACCATCAACGGCTGCATCGCCACTAACCATCAGGTGGGATGGCAGTCAAGTGCTAGCCAGTTTATAGTTAAAAAAAATTATAAATCAAAATATTGGCGTTGCACACCCCAAAATTCACTGCTATTCGTTGTCCTCTATTCTACACTTAGCTTCGGTTGCTCTAAGGTTAGGACAATAACAATGGATAATATTTTGTTTAAAATTATTTCAGTTGCGTACCTGTAAACAAAGGGACAACACAACGTTAGTAACATGCAAATTAATAATGTAAGACAACACTCAATTATATGCAAACTAAAAACGGGACACAATTTTTTTTAATTAACTACTCCAGGCACAGGGCGAGCAACATTGGATGGAAGTAAATCATATAAAGAGACAGTTAACAAAGGACAATTAAAAAATAAATGATCAAGTGTACCCTCATCTAGCCCACATTCTCACAAAGAAGTGTTTCGAATATGAAGTTTAGCCAAGAACACTGGAGAGCACACATGTCCAAGTCTTAACCTGATGATAATAGATGTGGTAACTTTGTTATAGCAGCGGTATTTAATAAACCAAGGTTTGGTAGGGATAAATGGTTGAATTAAGCCATAGTATGTACACCTTCTATGTCCAATTGATTGCCACATAATACTCCAAGTTCTTATCATGTCCTGTTTAGAAGATAGTCGCAGATCACGAACAAAACATTTATTATATGTGGAACATCCCATCTGGATTGCTTCTTTGGCACAACAATCTGCTTGCTCATTACCAGATATACCACAGTGACTTGGGATCCATGCTAAAACTACTTCTATGCCAGCACAATGGCCATTATATAATGCTTGTTTAATTTTGAGTGTTATTGAAAAATTCTCCTTAGAGCGAAATGGAACTTTTAAGATATCTTGTAAGCAACTATATGAATCGGAGAAAATTATAGATTTATTAAGATGATGAGATTTAATATAAGATACGAGTTCTAGCAAAGCTATTGCTTCACCACTGAAAATAAAAGTTATTGAGTGGCATTTAAAGCTCAATATAATTTTATACTTAGGTATCCAGACTGATAGCTCAGTGTCCGGGCGCTCGCCTTTATTTCAATATACTCGAGCAACCTGAGTTCGATCCCCGGTGCCGGCACCAATGAAGTTTTTAACTTTAAGTGCTGACTTATCACGTGCTCCGTGGTGAAGGAAACCATCGTGAGGAAACCTGCATATTTTCGAAATAATAACAAAAAAAATATTTTTCGAAGATATATGAAGTCCGCCAATCCGCAGTGGGGCCGCGTGGTGGACTATGCCCTGATACCCTCTGTATAGAGGAGGCCTTTGCCCAGCAGTGGGACATGTATAGGTTGTTACTTTACTTTTTTTTTATCCAGACTGCAGCACCCACATCTAAGTTTGCAGACAATTTTGAGGCATCCGTGTTTAGAGTGAGCCAACCTTTAAATCCATTTTCAAGAATCCTATTAAATTGTCTGTGTGGGTAGGGTGAGTTTTATATCAATTCCCAAGGACAGAATAACCCTAGGTCTATAAACTAATGACATATAGTCAACCATAAAAATTGGGTGAAGTAAAGAAAGTAAAGTAACAGCCTATACATGTCCCACTGCTGGGCAAAGGCCTCCTCTATACAGAGGGTATCAGGGCATAGTCCACCACGCGGCTGTTGCTGTGATTACATATTTTGCGGTATGACTTAAGAAGCAGAGGCTAGTCCTTATGTTTCCAGTAATCAGAAGTACTTGCTAATTGAGACAAAGAATGTAAGGTTTTTAGAATGGGGTGATGTATGTATTGAGAAATGTTAAATTAATATCTATCAGCTAGATACTGTCTTCTTAGGTGGAGGGGAGGCTCTAGGCATTCAACTTGTAACGCCAAATTAGAAGAGGATTTCATGGACCAGTGATGATGCGCAGATATTTAAACGGAATCTTCTGTAATTTATTTAGTGCATTTTTATTACATGGTTCCAATAAAAAAACTACCGTAATCAAAATGTGATCTAACAATAGCATTATATAATAACTTTTGACAAAATGGATAAGAACCCCAACGGACACCAGATAGAGATCTTATGACATTAACACTATTTTCACACTTATTGCTAATATAATTAAGATGGTGGACACCAGTTAACTTAGAATCTAATATAACATCTAAAAAAATTTAATGTCCACCAAATTGACGCTCGGAATATTGCTTTTTCTCGTAAATACCACCACATTGCATTTCGGTACTGCTAAGGATAACCCTTGATTATTAAGCCTAAAATAAATATGTTAGTTAGAGTTAAATATGTTAGTGCAGAGTTAGCTTTATTAGCAGCATTGACTAAATGTTCCATGATTTTATTTAAAGTAGAGGAGAGAGCTATAGGGCAATAAGATGAGGCTTCATCTGGGTCTTTGCCTGGTTTGAGAATAGAAATGATTATTTGAGTTTTCCATGAGTCAGGAATATTACAGGATAAGAAAACAGTGTTAATGATATTGAGGAAGAAAAGCTGACTAAAGCTGACAAAGCTAAAATTTGTTAGACTTAATAATAAAAAAGAATAAGGAATTCCATCTATTCCGGGTGAGGAGTCATGAAGGTGATCTAAGGCACAAAGCAGTTCAGGGTAGGAAAATTCATCATTCATTTTATCAGGATAGATAAAAGAATGAGAATAATCCATAGGGAGACTGTCACGGAAAGGGGACATAGGGGGGAGATAAATTATTAATGAAGGTTGATAGCCATCTCTCTGTGTGATAAGTACATGAGTTGTTATTAATATCACAAGAGCTGCGATAAGATTTAATACGTTTCCAAACGAAGGAGGGGGCAGTTCGAGGCGACAAAGATTCCCAAAACCTTTGCCAACCTAGAGTTTTCTTTTTGCTAAGAAGCTATTGTAAGATCTGCGACGTATTTGCGTTCAGCTTCGTTACGGGACTGCACGCTATTAGTACAATTCCTATCCCACCAGGGAGGGGAAGGAAGGCGTTTGAGAGAAATATTCTTTAAGGGAATAGAGTGGTCGGCAGAACTTAGCAAAGAAGACACAAAGTAATCATAAATATCATTAAAATTTGCATGGAATAGGGATGAATTGAGGGAAAGAGACGACATCTTTTGATCCACTAAAAGAGAAAATTTGTTCCAGTCAGCTGAATTAAGTCTGTAATTTAGCAGAGGGGCATGATTGATTGTTGGAACAACAACTTCAAATAGGTTTAAAACAATGGGGAAGTGATCACTTCCATAGGAATTAGGCAGGACCATCCAGTTAAAAGAAGATGCCAGAACGGTTGAGCTAATAGACAAATCTATAAAAGAAGCATTTTGTAATGGTGAAACTCTCCTTGGAGGTGACCCATCATTTAATAGAACCAGATTTAAATTGTCTAGCATATCTATAATAAAGTGTGATGATGGATTACAAACATGGGAACCCCATAAGGTATTTTTATAATTAAAATCTCCCATCACTAGAAGAGGAGCTGGAAGGGAGGAAAGAATAGAGCTAATATTAGAAATGATGTTAGGATTGGGATGGGGAATATAAATGGAAATAAAAAATATGCCACTAACTGTAGAAGCAACAATGTGGAAATCTGGAGGATGAGAGGGAATATGGAGCCTTTTAAAGGGTACTGATCTCTTAATAAATAAAGCACACCCAGCCCAACCATCATCTCTATCATCCCGCAAGGATGAGTACCCTGGGATCCTAAAATTGGAGCCAGGTCTCAACCAAGTCTCTGCAATAGCACAAACAACAGGGTCATATTTGTTTAATAGAAATATTAAATCAGCCTTCTTATGACGCACATTTCTACAATTCCATTGAAGAGTGTTGAATGTCACGGTTTTTTTAATAATTGTATCTAGTAGCTGTTCTAATAAGGGCAGGACATTGTTCGGTAGTGAGTCACTAAATTTTGAAACCATGTTTATCAGACTACATGTGAGTAACTCAAACAAATTATCATTAGGAGTAGCGTGTGGAGTAGGGCTAACACTTACAAGAGAACTGCCGTTAGGTTGAGAGGATTTGGGAGTTTTAATAATTTCTAGGTGGGCGCGTTTATCATACGATGCACTTAGAGGCGATCTAGGACGAGGATGCCGAGGAAGAGATTTATTACTAAAATATGAGGAGGACCTATGTGGGGATGGAGACGGTTCAAAGGTCAAGGCTTGTTGTGGAGGGAGAGGACGGTGAACATTAGCGAGAGTAGGAATACTTGACTGGGAAAAGGAAGGATCAACGATTTGACGACCCGAATGGCGTTATGGGTAGTGTACCTGCCTCCTGCGCCAGAGGGTGTGGGTTCGATCCCCACTACTGGAAAAATATTGTGTGATGAACATAGTGTTTTTCTAGTGTCTGGGTGTTTATATATGTATAATATGTATTTATTTACAAAAGAAAATTATGTTTATCAGTTTTCTAGTACCCATAGTACAAGTTTTGCTTAGTTTGGGACTAGAGAATGTTGTGTAAAAATGTGTCCTAAAGTATTTATTTATTTATCAAGAGAATTTTTTGGAGAGGAAAGTACATCAGCAAATGACTGTCTAGAGACAGGAAAGCGGCTTGATGCTTCAGAATAACTAATATTCTCTTGAGACATTATGTGTTTAATGTTCTTCTGTCGTGTATGTTCTGGACATATACGATCTGTGGCTTTATGATGACCTCTGCAGAGAAGACACAAAACATCAGATACCGTACAGGAGTCTCCAGGGTGTTGTTGCGCACATTTAAAACATCTAGATTTAGATCTGCATTTGGCACGAACATGTCCAAATCTACAACAATTATGACACTGTATGGTAGGAAGTTGATAAATGGAAACTTGAAGTGAAGCGTGACAACAGTAAACTTTCTCAGGGAGGGTTTGACCTATAAAGGTCAACACTACTGTGGTGGATGGTTCCCAAGTTGGCTTAGGATTATTATTCAGGCGTTTTTTAATATAAATTCCTCTGGCCTTCATAACAGGTCCATAATTGGAGGGACACTGTAGACCAGAAATCCACTCTTCGAGGGTCCAGTCCAAAGGGATTTGACGGACAACACCCATTCGAGAAACTAAAAACTTTGGGACTTCTGCAGTGAAGTTATTTTTGAGTAGCACTGGGTTCTGGATAAATGAGTTAGCTTCTAAATAATTTTCGAATTGGACAGAAATTTTATTCCGGCCTATAACCTTGATACTATCACAAACAATACCGGTAACCTTGTTTTTATGCAATAGCTGAGCAAAATTAAGAATTTTAATAGAGAGCCCTTCAGAAGGATGAGCTTCAATACGAGACACATAGCCAGTGAAAAGACCTTGGCTACATTCATCATACCTAATTTTCTTATCAGGTTCAAAACCAGGCCTAGTATAAGAATCCTGAATAGAATCAGATGGAGTTATGTTTTTCTTTGGGATACTGGTGATTTCTGTATCCGCTGATCTTTTCAGAGGACGACTAGATGGAGCACACTGACCAGTAATAGGGACCGACATGTCTACATCAGAGGACAAGTCCCCACCTCCACCAGGAGGAGGATCATCATCTCCTGCATCACACATCGTACTTAAAAACGATTACATGCAATACAATAACTTACCTACTAATAATAATAAAAAACCACAAAACAGAACTGAAATATTTAATTATAAATTACAAAAAATTAACTTAAGCACGTGGAAACGTCAAAAATCTACAACCGCTCAAGTCGATCTCGGACTGACTCTTTTCGAGTATTAGTGTTCTGTGATTCTGTTCGTTTATGTCAAAGACAATGTGTCAAATTCTTGTGACTAGAGATGCAACATCGGTCATAAAAAACATCGATATTTTTAAAAGTGAAAGATCGATGTTAATAATATCGAAATTTATAAAAGATATGTCGATGTTTTTGCATCACCATATAAAATATCCTTAAAATAAAAAATATATCGTGAAAGTTATACTAAGTTAGTTTAAAATCAAAAATCATTAGTTCGGATTTTACGATAACATAGAAATATGTATCGATTAAATATTAATTAATTTTAGACAAAGAAGAAAAAAATAAGTGTAATAAACAAGCATTATACCATTTATATATTTTAAGAAGTTTTTTTTATGTTGAATAATTGGTAAATATTTTTAAAGAAAACAAGTATCAAAATATTTCTTTAAAATACAAGTTAAAAATAACAATTTTGACAATTTTTAAACTGCTTACTAGGCAGTAGGCACCCGGGTCTCTTGGGTAATATAACTAGCTCGAGTTTTAGAGAATAACCACTCACTGGAGCTCCACATGTGGCCTATGCTATCGCTATTTTCCATTCGTCAGAATCAGAAGAGTAATTTGCTACATTTACGTTTTATTCGTTTAAACTACTATGGTGAGGTGAACGTCACATAACAAACATTGGCCGTCAATGCATTAAGTAGGCGAGCGAAGCAATTCTTTTGTTTTGCGCGCGATTTTGTAAAAAACTACTAACTGTATTGTTGAGTGAACGAATAAGGCGCTAAATAAGAATAACTACGCTTGTGACTGAGAGAGGTATCTGTTTGTGTGTTGCTGTAGATCACGAAAGGAGCGGTAAATGACGTTCTGATAAAACATCGTTCATAAGACGGTGCTCATGAAGAATGATATAACATCGACGTTTTGAGTTTCAACATCGAAGTTTATGAACATTATATTCGATGTTTCGTTGTCTCGTTTGCATCCCTATACGTGACTGAAAGTTCTATGGTTCTACTTATAACTAGAAAATAGGCAACACTGTTGAGGGCTCAGGCAGGAAAAATGGCGACCTTACTCCCTCGTACTCTTGGCCTTGCCGAATCAATATTTTTAAAAAATGGAACAAAGGTAATTTAAAATCTTTATGTTAGGATTTATTTCAATTTAAATAGAATTATGCAACACAATGATGTCCGTTATTTGGATTTTATCATTCATATTTTTAATTTTATAAGATTTTTTTGTATTATCAATAACATCATTTGAAATGATATGTACTTATAATAATTTTCATTTATCAAAGTTTGCCGTTCACTGCATCTTAATTTTTCTTATTAATTTTCCTATTAATTAGCTTATTTAAGATTCGACCTTGTCATCAGATCACAAACCTTACGTCATCTGCACGTAATAAAGTTTATTTTTTATATTTATTTTTGTTTCGTACATAGTGAAAACTTATCAAAATGCCACAATTTTTAAAATAGAAATAATCAATCAATCAATGAAACAAAGTCTTTCGTGTTATCATTTACACCATTTTTATAGACTATCATTAAAGTTAGTTATTAGACCCGTTCGAAATTTTAGAACAGTACCGTGCAGTCACCGAATGTTAATATAGTATAAAATAAATATATATCAATGTAAATTATCCAATAATGAAAATTATAGGTAAATTTTAAAATAACTTCATTCATTTAAACAAATTGTCAATAGATGGAATTATCATAAATCCTTTAAAAGTTTTTACATGAGTTTTTTATGAAATTAACTTTCTTCTATTTTTCGTCATAAGGCGCAAACATAATTTCTTTAAATGCTTCATTCATACAGATCTTGGTAGGAACATCAGCAAACAATGTTCCATACAAACAACAAGTCCGACATCTTAATGTTCATGAATATATCAGTTATACACTACTACGGGACCATGGTATTCCGGTACCAAAATTTAATGTTGCGAAGACTAAGGATGAGGCAGTTAAGTTTGCCACAGAACTTAATACCAAAGACATAGTATTGAAAGCTCAGGTATGTACTTATGTTAAAAAAGTGTTACTGGTTTAAAAGGAAATTACATTTTAATAACTTTTATGTAAATCTAGGTTCTTGCTGGTGGTCGAGGGAAAGGAGCTTTCAAAAATGGACTTAAAGGCGGTGTCCGTATGGTTGATAAGTAAATCTTATAAATTTTACTATTATTTATAATAATTCAAAAACCCATATCTGATACACAGATTTAAATTCCAAGTGATGACACCTAAGGCATTAGGCAGCTTTATAAGCTATATACTATGAAAATTCTTAATTAAATTACAATTGAGATATTTTTTCAGTCCAGAAAAGGCTGGAGATCTTGCTAGCAAAATGTTGCAACAGTATTTGGTGACAAAACAGACAGGCGCTGCTGGACGTATTTGCAATTTGGTCATGGTTACTGAAAGGAAGTTCCCTCGAAGAGAATTCTATGTCGCAATTATGATGGAACGCAGTTTTAATGTGAGAATTCTATGTGGAAATAGCGATCAATAGTGTCATAAATAAAAACTGTAGAAATAACAGTTTTAATTTACAGGGTCCAGTTATTATTGCATCTTCTCAAGGTGGGGTGAACATTGAAGATGTGGCTGCAGAAAATCCTGATGCTATCACTTATGAACCTATTGATATTATGGCAGGCATTACTGAAGAACAAATTTGTAGAGTGATAAAAAAGGTAAAAACCTAAGTTAAAATAAGTTATTAACTAATTATTTTTGCTATTTTGATTTTTTCTTTTTTTTTTCAGATTGGTCTTGAGGACCATATTGAAGAAGCTCTTGAAATGATAAAGAGAATGTATGACCTGTTTTTGAAGAAAGATGCTCTTTTGATTGAAATTAACCCCTATGCTGAAGATGCTTTGACAGGCAAATGTAAGTTCTTGAAATTTTCCAATATATTAAGTAATAAACTGAAAAATTAAACTGCAACATGCACACAAACCCGCTGTGTCTTTGAAGGTTTACCTCTAATGTCTTTTTTTAAGGGCAAGAATTTACTCAATAGGGTTAAATATAGAGCTGTAACTAGTAAAAATATAGAAATTAATTAAACACTTAACTTAACTTTAACATTGGTTCTCTAATTCCTAGTTTTCTGCTTGGATGCCAAATTTCGTTTTGATGACAATGCTGACTTCAGACAGAAGGAGCTATTTGAATTGAGGGATTTGACTCAGGAAGACCCAAAGGAAATTGAAGCTGCAAAATATAACTTGAACTACATTGCATTGGATGGTGAGTTTTTGTTTTTGAATTCGACACTAAAGACTTTGTGAGTGACACTAAGACCACTTTGTGTGTGAATTATTATTGGTAAGTGAAATTCTTGTAGTCATATAATTTCATTTAAAATAAAGTTATATATTGATCTGAAAATAATTAGCTTTTTTTCGACATCAAAAGTAAAAACCCTTAGAAACCTGCAGCCATAGAAAAAAGTTAAGACTAAAAGTAGCCAAGCTGTAAGAACTTTTGAAGTATAAATGTGATCTCTAATTTGTCATAAAAACTGTGAACAAATACTTTTTTTATACCATTTTATTTAAGTTGTAAATGTTTACAGGAAACATTGGGTGCATGGTGAATGGGGCTGGTCTTGCCATGGCCACTATGGATATTATTAAACTGTATGGGGGTGATCCAGCCAACTTCCTTGATGTTGGAGGCGGTGCCACTGCACAGGCTGTTTCGGTTATTTATATTTGTTTTCATAGTACTGTATAAATTTATGAATTTATAACATTAGATAATTAATCTCATCTCAAATGTTTTAGGAAGCATTTAAGATCATATTATCAGATCCAAAAGTATCAGCTATATTGGTCAACATCTTTGGTGGCATCATGAGATGTGATGTAATTGCTGAGGGAATAATTACAGCAGCAAAGAATCTTAACATTCAGATACCCGTGATTGTTCGTCTTCAGGTATGAAAAGAATATCATGAAGCTGCTTAATACAATAATATTTATGAGTACAAAATATATATAAAAAGCCCCCTGATTGCATAGTTAAAGCCCATTTACACGGTGCCAGTTTCTTGCCTGTTGTATACAATTAAATTGAAGCAATAAATGAGTTGCATGGTCTAAACAACAAATGGTCTTAACAATTATTGCGCGCAATTTATTGCATTCAATTATTGCTCTTGTATGTACAAGAAAATGGCATAGTGTAAATGGGCGTTTAGTGACTTGCGTCATTGGACAAGTGAGAAAATGAAAAAAAATTTCAGGGTACAAAAGTGAATGAAGCGAGGAAGCTTATTGCCGATTCGGGGCTTCGCATCGTACCGCGCGATGATCTCGACGAAGCCGCAAAGCTGGCGGTGCAGCTGTCCGAAATTGTAGCGCTAGCCAAAAAGGCTGGCGTCGAGGTCAAATTCGATATCCCCAGATACATGCTCGAGAAGTAGAAGACATCAGTATTGATATTGTAGTACTGGTTTAATGCGCTGACGTCCTAAAAAACATACACATAATTAATAATGACCGTAACCATTACGGTTAATAGATAATTTATTGTACACTTTAAATTAGAAATGTAGTGTTTGTGACATGTTCAAATAGTTATTCAATTCAATCTTTCTCATATTTTCTTCTCGCCTGTATAAGCTCGGACGGCAGTACTAATTATATTATCCCATTACTCCTTTTTGGTCATTTCGAATACTATCATGTAAATTTTAAATTCTCACTAGATTTGGTAGACTTAAAAATCAATTATTTATTATTTCATATAATTATTTAAGGACATACAGTGAGTTATGTACTATTTATTGTATATTATTTGAAATGTACATTGTTTAACATTTATAATTTATGACTGGTTAAATCATTTAGTTTTTGGAAGTTATTTAACTGTCCATTGTAATGTATACAATAATATCATATACAATTCAGACACTCATGATTGTATAACCAGATAATAACATAGTATATATCTTTTTAAAATGTATACACCATGCAAAAACCAGTTGATGTTATTAATTGTAAAGTGTATTTATTGATTTTATCCTTAAGTAGTTGTTACACTATTTGTTGTAGTTAGCCATAAATTAAAAGATAATCTATATTTGTACCTTCTACGCCATTTACGAACCGATCCACTATTTTATAGTGAGAGATTTTTTATAACATTTTAATTTAAACATCTTTCTCATTGTAGAATTGTGTTATGAATAGAGCATTAAGCTTGCTTTGCGTGAAGTGGAATGTTCAAATCAGTTACTGGATTTAAAAAATATATAAAATACGCCTATTAACAAATCTCACTAGTTTATTTTGGAGACAACACTTCTAACGAAATTCTAGGATTATTGCTGGAAACAAAAACTTAATCATTCTTTGGTTTAATAAAACAAGTAGCATGAGTTAGTGTATAATCATAAATGTATATGGTTACCGCTATGTTAAAATGGTATCCTTGTAACTGAGGTATTAAGGTACAATATTTATTATTAGGAAAATACAATAATTGATTTTTGTCAAGATTATTCATGATAAAATAAAGGCAAAATATGATGATTGCGCTTTCTGATATAACAAATATTTTTAAGTTACCCTACCTTTTATGGAGTAAACACACAAAATGAAGAAAAATAAATTATGGTGCATTAAGCAAATCACACAATTAGTCGAATAATTACTCCTGACTCCAAATTTAATTAATGATTTAAATGATTAACATGAAAGACACCTTTTAGCAGTTGATTGACATTGTGCTATCTGAACGCTTCAACTTTGCTATAATAACTATTACATAAGCTGTCTTCTTTGCAATTTCATCTTCCCAGGTAGAACCTCAACATGTGCTCATAAACGGACACCATTCGAGACTTATTTCGAAATTAAAAACTGTTGAGAAAATTTAACAATATTTATGGAGATATATCATAAAACAAGCATTTTTATTAACGAAAAAAAAGAGACTTCAAACAGGAAACTAAAAACATTGTTAATACCTATAACATTTGAGGATTGCCCTCGATTTCTCTGGGATGCGATCATCAGATCCGTGTTTCCTTATTAGGAACCACCCTTGGGATATCTCCTCGCCAACAAAAAAAGAATCATCACTATCGGTTCATAAACGAAGTTATCCGCGAACACACTTAAAAGAAAATTATATATACAGTCAAATTGGGGAACCTTCTTTTTTGAAGTCGGTTAAAAATAAGAACTTACTACCACCTAAAACTTAGTCATTGATTCCATGGAATCGAGAAGAAGTGAATAGCGACTCTGGCTAGTTTACGTAACCTACGGGAAGATAGAATCTAGAAAGAGCACTATCCCATTCCAAACATTAGCCTCCCTATTTAGGCCAGTCGCCATCGCATCAGAACGACGGCATGGAACGTGGGACTCTAAAAAAACCTAATGCTTAGCGGATACTTGGTTTCAATTCAACGTATATCATGTCGAAAACTTTCACTTGTCGCAAGTAACCCACAAAATCGGCTCCGGAAGAGATAAACGACAGCTAACCACGTGCGAACCACGTTCTAACTTCCAGGCCCACCTATTAGCCTACTGGCTAGTATACAGCGTGTCGTTACGATCGCGACAATACATGACACAGTGTCTAACGCTACTTGCCAATACTCATAAAAAAACATTAACGTTAAAAAATCCATAATTAAAAAAAACATTTTTCAAACAAAGTAATTAAGTAAAAAAGAAACAAAATTTGTAACATCCTATACAACTACAACTGACTGATTCATACATTCAGAGACTTTCATTAGTTGCCACGGCGTCGCATTACACGCCTTTCCTTCTAATAGTATATTTTGTCTCTTTTAAATTCACCCATTCATATGCTTTCTGACATTTACAAATGAACTTTACGTTACAGTTTTATACGTAAGGTGTTCTAAAATTCTTTGTTTTGGAAAATTTAATAATTCTGTAAATATTGATGTTCAAAGAATGTAAATTTTTGACACAATTTTAAAGTTATCCTCTATATGTGTGATCATTTATTGTCGCGTTGGTAACGACACGCTGTATATGTCGTATTTGTGTGAATATTTTTATCTAATGAGATATATAAATAAATTTTGCAACTATGCAGAAAAATTTAACATATAATCTTGGTAAAAACCTGTTCCTCTATATTCATCCCATTCTCTAGAGGTCACTTTTGTAAAGTTTCACTTCTACCGTGTGTGTATTGCAGACAAACATATTTTTTAATATATTTGTGTGCACTACACACGCCGTAATACAATTATAATTGCACTCCTTCGTTCACGTATTTTTTAACTATACTTATATTTGTACAATACGAACAAATATAATTGCACTAGTTCCACAACAATACTAAATACTTGTGCGCAATGCACGTTTCAGTGTGCTGGATTGGTAAAGAAACAAGAATGTCGTGAAGACAGAAAGAACACTGTTTATTTTCAGACGTTTGTACAAGTTTTTTCTTATGCAATAAAACGTTCTTCTAATGGCTGCAGGCTCCTCCTCTTCCAAGGCTGCAGGGCTTCTTTCTTGCTGACTTCTTCTAGTTGCTTGTTCCACTGGTAGATCTTGATGCTCGTCGACTGCGATGATGCCCCGAAACGCCGCTATATTTATGCGATCCTGTGGGAATTAATTCCTGCTCTCTGATTGGTTGTCGTATTGGTATCCAATCAGAGAGCTTACATTTTTTCTTTGGCACCCTCTTGGTGCGTTACCTTAAAAATCGAGGTCTTATGACTAGATTACAAATAATTAAATTTAATGTTTTATCAATTACGATGACTTTTTCCCTAATTATTTTATCGCACTAATTTTACAACATATTTGTTAATAGTCATATAAAAACAGTTATTCAATTAAAATCTTATAGTATTTCATTATACAGACATTTTTATAGGCAATCTAAAATAAGCAAGTTTTAAGCAGAGTTTTAGGCAATTATTTCGACTTACGTTACATGAATTAAATAGTAAATTACTTATACAAACACTATTAAACTAAGTTATCCCGCACAAACACTATTAAACTAAGTTATCCCGCACATTCTCCCGCCGTGCAACTGAGTTGCATAACTACCGGTGCGGGTTTGCTGCTCGTGGGCAGCTCAGGTCGAAGCGTCGCTCGTAGCCCGTCCAGCATCCTCCGTTGATGAGTCTTCAGCACGTGGTAGTATGACCAGCTTCCTGACTGGCCGCCGTAGTACTCCACCTCTCGTCTGCACGTCGACCGTGCGCACGATGTTGTCAGGACCGGGATACGTAGCGGCGACTTTGCCACGGGGCCACACATTTCGCGGTAAATTAGCGTCCACGATTTGTACTAAGTCACCACTTTGAACACTTAAAACACGTCCATGCGGCTCCCGCCGGTGTTGTAACTCAGGCAGATATTCGCGTACCCAACGCGACCAGAAGACGTTGCGCTGCTCTCCAGCTGGCTCTTGATATTTCGTCGTTTTCGTTGAACGTCCCCGGCTGCGGCACCCTTCCGTTACCTTGGCTTTCCCTGTAATTAGTGATACGTTCACCGTACCACTTGCGTCGATCGTTCGCCAATATAATACCGCGCAATATGAAGCTTCGCTGGTGTCGGTGAATGTGTGTAGTTCTATTGTGCTGGCCTCGCTGTATCCCACATATCTTCTTGGAATGGAGTCGTCGCGTAAATTTTCTAGGTGTGTCGTCCATTCTTCCCATTGCACAGCTAGGTCGGTGTCGATCTCGTCGTCCCAGCCGGTTCCTCTTCGCCACACTTCCTACAGCAGTTGTTTCGCCTTAATGGTGACGGGTGAGGCGAAGCCGAGGGGGTCGAAGAGCGACATTACCACGCGAAGGGCTTCTCTCTTCGTAGGCGTTTTAACTTTCATTAATTGTGCCGGAACACGCGCCATGTTGAGATTGAAGGTAAGTTCGTCGGGAGTGAGTTTCCATATTACTCCGAGTACTCGTTCGATTTGTTCCCCGTTGGCGTAGAGGTGTAAGTCCTCCTTGGGGTTCTTTTCGCCGAGTGCTTCCATCAGCTCCGACGAGTTAGACTTCCATTGCTTAAGTTCGAAGTTCGCCTTCTGGTGTATATCACGTACGTTTTGCGTTATACGTATCGCGTCTTCTATATTTTCGAAGTTGTCCAGGTAGTCGTCCTCGTAGTGTTTCTTTATGATGGCGGCAGCGGCTTCGGGATGAGTGTCGGCGGACTTTCTTGCGTTCAAATCTTTCACATAGATTGCTGTAGACGGTGAGCTGGAGGCGCCGAAGAGTAATGACGTCATTCTTTATTCCGTAGGCGGTTGGTCGTCGCGACGGTCACCGCGCCATACATATCGTAGGGCGTCTCTGTCTTCTGGCTTCAATTTTACTTGCATGAACATTTCTTTTATGTCAGCCGTCACCGCGATTCGATGTTGTCGAAACTTCATGACGACTCCTGGCAGGGATTGCAGTAGATCGGGCCCCTTAAGCAACATATCGTTTAATGCTACTCCCTTAGTTTTTGCGGCAGCGTCGTGAACGACGCGTAGCTTGTCCGGTTTCAATGGATGCGTGACGCCGAAGTGAGGTAGGTACCACGTTTTTGACGGCGTCTTTTCTGGTGGGGCTTGCTCGGCATATCCCTTCTTGAGAAGACTCCATTTGTTCTGTGTATTTTTCTTTCAGCTGAGGGTCTCGGTCTATCTTCTTTTCGGGAGATTCCTTCGGTTGGTTGGCTGCGAAGTAGTAGAAGCGATATCGAAGTGTCGGCGTAAACTTGTCGACGATGGTCTTCGCTACTTCTGGGCTGTACATGTAGTGCATGCAGTTGAGTGTTTCTAAAGTAGCCGTGATGTTGCTTACTTTAATTGCGAAGATGCATATGTGAGACGTGGCAGTGGACGAAGAGCTTCTATTTCCATAATTGCGATTGACTCTGGTCTGCCGAATCTTGATTCTAATGTCTTCATTACTGTTGAGGGGTGTGCGCCGGTGATGAGCGGCCCCTCGACGGCTTCTTTCGCTTTTCCCACTTAGTTTCTTCGCAGCCGATTTAGATTTTCGACTGTGGAGAATGTTTCTTCGGTTTCAAAATATGCAGCGCGAAAGGGTAGCCATTCTTGATGTGCTCCGTTGAAGTGCGGTAGCTCGATGCACTTCGGAGGCTGTGCGGCATTGACAGCTTTGGTGATCGCTACGGCCAGTTCTGTCAGGTCGGACTGTGCTCCCGCCGCTGTTGATCGTGTTGGCTGCGGTGGGTGATGCTCGTCGGTGGCGGTCTTTTTGTCGATAGGAGCCGCCTGCACCCTTGTGGGTACGTGAGATTCTACCCAGTAGTCGACACGTTCGTCTATTTCGATCTTCGAGCAGGCGGAGTCGTCGTCCTTTTCGTCGTCCGTGTCTTCGGTTTCCATGGCTGCTATTCTGGCTGTGGCGAGTTCAACCTGTAATCGCAATAATTCTTCCTTGGCCTTAGCAATCCTGTGTGCTTTCGACTGGCCTCGTATTGAACCGCCTTTTCTCTTGCCTGGTGAACGGACGTCGACCTGTTTTCTTTGTTCTGTTCTGCTTTTTTCCGTAGTGGCCGTAGATGCCCCCACAGGTGCCGTGGATGTCGCTTGAGCGGGGGGCGCTTCGATGGCAGTCGTGGCGGTGAACGTTGTTCTATCAGTGGTTTGTTCGGTGGCTGGTGACTCCTCGACGTGAGATGTGGCTTCGCTGCGTTCCGTAGCCGTCGTTCCCGTCGCCGTGGTTTCCGTCGTGGTGGTTTCTTCCGTGGTCGCTGTCGCACTGCCGGAGCTGGTGCCCGATGTTTCTTCGGACGACGGTTCTAACTCCGTTGGCTTGCGGCCTTTTCCGACGGATCTTGTCACTGGCATTGTGTATTCGTTCTTCTTTTTTCCTTACTTCCAATCCGGCTCTCGAAGGACCATTAAATTTGCGCAATGCACGTTTCAGTATGCTGGATTGGTAAAGAAACAAGAATGTCGTGAAGAAAGAAAGAACACTGTTTATTTTCAGACGTTTGTACAAGTTTTTTCTTATGCAATAAAACGTTCTTCTAATGGCTGTAGGCTCCTCCTCTTCCAGGCTGCAGGGCTTCTTTCTTGCTGACTTCTTCTAGTTGCTTGTTCCACTGGTAGATCTTGATGCTCGTCGACTGCGATGATGCCCCGAAACGCCGCTATATTTATGCGATCCTGTGGGAATTACTTTCTGCTCTCTGATTGGTTGTCGTATTGGTATCCAATCAGAGAGCTTACATTTTTTCTTTGGCACCCTCTTGGTGCGTTACCTTAAAGAATCGAGGTCTGATGGCTAGATTACAAATAATTAAATTTAATGTTTTATCAATTACGATGACACTATAAAAATACACTTTTTTCCTAATTATTTTATCGCACTAATTTTACAACATATGTGTTAATAGTCATATAAAAACAGTTATACAATTAAAATCTTATAGTATTTCATTATACAGACATTTTTATAGGCAATCTAAAATAAGCAAGTTTTAAGCAGAGTTTTAAGCAATTATTTCGACTTACGTTACATGAATTAAATAGTAAATTACTTATACAAACACTATTAAACTAAGTTATCCCGCACAAACACTATTAAACTAAGTTATCCCGCACAATACTTGACCTAATACTAGAATTGAATACTAATTACTAGGTTTTGAAAAAAAAAAATGTGGAAATTTAAATTGTTTATAGTGCTAATCTTTGCACTTAAGATTGAACATTAAGAATGCCGAAGACGTGGGTTCGATTCCCACAACGGCGACAATCTTTTCGCACTTTTTCTACATATTTAAAAAAAAATGTGATTTATATAAAAATTATATTTTTATAGGTAAACCTGACATACAAAAAAGGCGGCAAGGAAGGTTAAGGTGTTTGTCCCCATTCCGATGAAATGAATTTTAATACATGACCGTGTATATGGACCGTTTGTTTTCGAAGTGACAATCCAATTTTCAAGAAATCACAAAATTCCTATCATTCAATATTATGCACAAGTCAATTATGTGAACTCTTAAATTTAAAAATCAAAAATAATCGGTTGAAATGTTATTTTTATATCTGTTGTTGTAATCGTTTTAGAAATAAAACATTATTTGTCTATTAGCGTTTATTTTACCCATTCTTGATAAAACAAAAACTTTAACTTTGTTTAATAAAACAATGTAAGGAGTGCGACTGTCTTACAGACTGCTGTTTGTAGAAGTTCGAGGGTCGTGCGTGGCAAATGTATATCGCGTGCCTTGCACAGAATTGTCTATTATAATATTTCGCCAAAACAGTTTCCATTATATAAATTAGTTCAGTTTCTATATATATTATAAATAATTTTATGCAAATGTAGGGAAACATAAAAAAAACTTGACCTTTAATATTTTTAAATAAAACCACATAAAAAAATAATAAACAATAACAGCCATAATAACAACTTTTATTTAGACTGCGCCTAAAAGCGGGTGATTGAATACGAAGGATAATAGTGGCCGGTGAATCCTCCTTCAACCCTATTTACTCCCGTGTGAACTTAATTTTCAGCGCAGAGCGAATAGTAGGTAGTGAAAGTTTTAAAACTAAGTCAGGCTTGCGAATTGGGTTCTTGTTCGCAGTTTCCGAAGAATATTTTGGGTCCAAAAATATATTGTTCACACCCTTTTAGGACTTACAACTTACTGAACTTACTAAGTATTTTAAAATGCTCCGAAAATTGATAAGTATTAAACATTTTTACGTCATTCATAAAATTATATCAATGCGATTTTGTAAAAACGATTTTTTTTTTATTTTATTATAGATAATTAATATAGTTAATTTTATAAAACTATATCTTAGGGTGGAATTATTAGCGATGATGTTCTTTACCTTGATTTGATGATTAAAATGTCTGCAATTGTGACACAATCTCTATAAATAAATTATAGAATCATTGGACCATTAAAAAGAGTAAATGAAGGTTATTTATTACGTAAATATCAATCTTAATAAAACTGTACATGATTATATATATGTATAATTTACTCTACACTGATAGAAATATTTAAATATAACATTTATATGGACATGTTTCACTTAGGGAAAAGAATGAAAGCAAGGCCTATATATTTATATGAAATTAATAACAAAAAGTGGTAGTTGTTTAAAAAAAACAATTGCACTGAGACTTCACATGACAAGAATGCATAATATATACAGTCTATATAACTTCCTTACTGGGCGTTGAGATACCTAAAGCTTCTTCATATCCCCGCTTTGTTTCATGTTTATCTGGAAAATATATTAATATGTATTATGTAAAACAAATTTATTCAAAAAACAATAAAACTTGTTCAAATGTTTTATTGTATAAAAATACTTAAAATGCATGCAGCCTATGATCACTAACCTTTTTTAGAAGATTTGTATTTTCTTAGAATCTCGTTCTTTCTTATCACCTTTCTTGTTTTTTTTATGTTTCTCAGTCTTATTTTTCGCCTGATTATCAGTTTTATTGTTTGTCATAGAATTCTGTTTAGTATGCTCAACGCCTTTACCTTGCTCTAAATTGTCTATTAACAAATTTTCCCCTATATTCTTCTTATCTGCCTCGGACAACATTAAGTCTAGATCTTTAACACGTTTTGTCTTCTTATCCTTCTTTTTATTGGAAACTTTTTGTTTTAAAGATTTATCAGAAGACTTAGTTTTCTTTGACTCCTTTTTAAGTAGACCAGTTTCTGGCGATGGATACTGCTGTATTCTAGAAGTAAGTAATTCTTCTTCACGAAGAGGCCTATAAAAACAAAATTTTGTTAATGTAAATAAGCTTCATTTCACAAATTGATTTGTACGATACAGAACAGGGTTTCTTTTGTATTTACTCAATTTTGTGAAGGTAACATAGAACCTGACTTAAGAACCGTTTGTGGTATCACTGATATTATAGAATGCATTGGTTTTCTTTTATCCTTGATGGCGCAAGGTATAATGCACCGTATTCTTATGAGTCAAGATTTGGAATTGCAAGTCCAGATTGCGCCGAGGACTTCTGCCGTCCATTCTATTTACGTGGAATTCACAACTTAATAATGAATAAAAGCAGCCCGGTGAAGTTCTCTAGTGTTGTAGGCGAAGGCTCTAAGACGATTATAAATATTATACGTATATCTTTTATATATTTTTATTATATTTCCGTCATATGAAACAGTGGAAAAAGAAAGATTTGGTTGAAGTTCTGTCTGGCGTTGAAGGCGATTACACGATAATGTGCCGTATCCGTATCGGCATTGGACTAATTGCTGCTGTTGAGTGCTACGCAGCTATAGCAAGAACGGGCAGGCTCGTCCGGGGCAGTACCAGGACTTCACAATACCAGTACCACGACGAAGTTGTGTCGCTTTGCAGGTATCAATGTGCACGCGTAACGTCAAAATACACCGTCATAATTTTTCCCAAGCGCGCGAAAAGGAGTATGCGACTTCGAAGAGTATAGAGGGGTCCGCTCACAAGTCCAGGTCCAGGTCGAGGGCGCGGTGCGGGTCGTCGTGCGGAGGCGGGGCCTCGTCGTCGCTGAGGGCAGCGCCCTCTGGCAGCTCGCCGCCGACTTCCACCTCGGGCCGGGCGCACAGCCTCTCCGGTTCTGCGAGCGCAAACACGGTCAGTTCTCTTACCGTGTGATTAGGAGGGGGGGGGGGGGGGGGGGGGGGGGTTTATAGTCTATTATGGAATTTCCAAGACACAAATCTGTACCTCAGAGGTAAACAACATTGTGTGACAAAACACAAATGTTACATGAGAGGCATGATGTGATATACGATTTGGATATTTTATTAATTAGGCGTTGCAGGACTTAATGCTTTATAGTGTTCTGTAGAATTGCTTTATACTGATCTTCACAGATACGGTACAGAAATATACTGTGGCATGGCCACGCAACAGCAGAAGCTGTTGTATTGTGCGTGTTTGCTATACCACAGTTTCGCTTTTTTCTGGTAAATGAGGTAACCGAGGCCCACACTTAGAAGTTGTCAACGCATCAGCAAGGTGTTGCAGATGTCCATGGACGACGGTATTAACATCAGGTGAACCGCATGCTCGCCTCACAACTTTTCACATAAAAAAACGCTATTAATTTTACGAACTAAAACTCTTACCGTCGCTGTCAGATTCACTGGAATGTCTTTCAGTTTTATTTTTCCTTTTCTTCGTCGTCCTCTTTTCTTTCTTCGTCTTCTTATTGCTTTCCTTTAAGTACTTGTCAGATCTCTTAGCTGAAAATTGAAGTAAAAACATCGCACTATATAAGAATAAAATTGGGTTTTTAATCCAAACGATGTGTCCCTTCGCCGCCGAGCACGTCTTAAGTGTTAATATCTTAAGGGGATTTACTGTGTATCTGAAGTGGATTTACGGTGCATCTGAAGTGGACTTACTGTGTATCTGAAGTGGATTTACTGTGCAACTGAAGTGGTCTAACTGTGTGTCTGAAGTGGACTTATTGTGTATCTGAAGTGGATTTACTGTGCAACTGAAGTGGACTTACTGTGTATCTGAAGTGGATTTACTGTGCAACTGAAGTGGTCTAACTGTGTGTCTGAAGTGGACTTACTGTGTATCTGAAGTGGATTTACTGTGCAACTGAAGTGGTCTAACTGTGTGTCTGAAGTGGACTTACTGTGTATCTGATGTGGTCTGTTTACTTGAAGTGAACTTACTGTGTATCTGAAGTGGATTTACTGTGCAACTGAAGTGGTCTAACTGTGTGTCTGAAGTGAACTTACTGTGTATCTGATGTGGTCTGTTTACTTGAAGAGAACTTACTGTGTATCTGAAGTGGATTTACTGTGCCATTGAAGTGGTCTAACTGTGTGTCTGAAGTGGACTTACTGTGTATCTGATGTGGTCTGTTTACTTGAAGTGAACTTACTGTGTATCTGAAGTGGATTTACGGCGCATCTGAAGTGGACTTACTGTGTATCTGAAGTGGATTTACTGTGCCATTGAAGTGGTCTAACTGTGTGTCTGAAGTGGACTTACTGTGTATCTGATGTGGTCTGTTTACTTGAAGTGAACTTACTGTGTATCTGAAGTGGATTTACGGCGCATCTGAAGTGGACTTACTGTGTATCTGAAGTGGATTTACTGTGCAACTGAAGTGGTCTAACTGTGTGTCTGAAGTGGACTTACTGTGTATCTGAAGTGGATTTACTGTGCAACTGAAGTGGACTTACTGTGTATCTGAAGTGGATTTACTGTGCAACTGACGTGGACTTACTGTGTATCTGAAGTGGATTTACTGTGCAACTGAAGTGGTCTAACTGTGTGTCTGAAGTGGACTTACTGTGTATCTGATGCGGTCTGTTTACTTGAAGTGAACTTTCTGTGTATCTGAAGTGGATTTACGGTGCATCTGAAGTGGACTTACTGTGTATCTGAAGTGGATTTACTGTGCAACTGAAGTGGTCTAACTGTGTGTCTGAAGTGGACTTACTGTGTATCTGAAGTGGATTTACTGTGCAACTGAAGTGGACTTACTGTGTATCTGAAGTGGATTTACTGTGCAACTGAAGTGGTCTAACTGTGTGTCTGAAGTGGACTTACTGTGTATCTGAAGTGGATTTACTGTGCAACTGAAGTGGTCTAACTGTGTGTCTGAAGTGGACTTACTGTGTATCTGATGTGGTCTGTTTACTTGAAGTGAACTTACTGTGTATCTGAAGTGGATTTACTGTGCAACTGAAGTGGTCTAACTGTGTGTCTGAAGTGAACTTACTGTGTATCTGATGTGGTCTGTTTACTTGAAGAGAACTTACTGTGTATCTGAAGTGGATTTACTGTGCCATTGAAGTGGTCTAACTGTGTGTCTGAAGTGGACTTACTGTGTATCTGATGTGGTCTGTTTACTTGAAGAGAACTTACTGTGTATCTGAAGTGGATTTACTGTGCCATTGAAGTGGTCTAACTGTGTGTCTGAAGTTGACTTACTGTGTATCTGATGTGGTCTGTTTACTTGAAGTGAACTTACTGTGTATCTGAAGTGGATTTACTGTGCAACTGAAGTGGTCTAACTGTGTGTCTGAAGTGGACTTACTGTGTATCTGATGTGGTCTGTTTACTTGAAGTGAACTTACTGTGTAACTGAAGTGGATTTACTGTGCAACTGAAGTGGTCTAACTGTGTGTCTGAAGTGAACTTACTGTGTATCTGAAGTGGAACCTCGAGCGCCAATTCCGCGACGGGCACGTCTTCCTGCTGGTAGGAGCGCGGCGAGTCGTCCTTCAGATAGTGAGGGTTGTTTGCCTGCTCCTGTCTCCGCGCCTCGCGTAGCTGTTTCAAAACGAAGGTTATGGAGAAAAATTATATATAACTGAGCTGCTGACCTAATTTACCAGTATTAAGGCGTAAAATTCTTTTCGTTTAAGATTTAATTAATTTTTAGTTTGTTTTTAAGTTACAGCATAGTTTAAAATTTTAATTTTGTATTGCTTTTTTCTTTTGTATTTCGTTTTGGGTGCACAAAATTTGGAATCGAAAGCAAGACTCGAAAAAGAGTGAAACTATTTTTAAGAAACTTTTTTAGCGTGTTTTATTGTGATAGCATGTGGACGGCGCCGTGACAATTGGCATGTGACTGCAGCCAAAGTAAAAATTTTATTATGTTATATAGTTTTTTTATTTCATTTTATAATGACAGTTAATTACCGTTTATTATTAAAATATGTAAAAGTATTATTGTAACATAAATATATTACGATATACATTTACTATTCTACATGTAAATACATTTAATATTATGATATTATATTAAAACTACCTCATTGCCTTAGTCATCATTTTTCTGTTTTATCTTGGGTTAGCTGGTAGAGAATGCAGTATAGCATTAAGCTCGCCTTTGTACAGTTTTCTTGTGCAATAAAGATGATTCATGAGAATATTGAGTGAATTGATAAAGTTATACACGATACGTGAGATTGGCTAATTCGAATGTTTAAAAGGGCGCTTTTTATGCTTACCATGTGAAGTTCTTCTGGGGTGAATTGGGAGAGGGGCCTCGCTTCCTCTTGGGGCGCTGCGAAAACGGCGCCATCGTCGCCCTCTCCCTCTGAACTGGAACCCTCCGAGGACCAGTGTTCGCAGGACAGCCATTTTTCCAGTTCCAAACTTTAAAAAAAAATCAGTCTACAGTTCGGTGCGGCAAATTCCATTGTCAATTAAATGCCGGTTTCAATATTATGGCTGTTCACCCGATGTTAAGCGAAAACCGCCTCCCGTAGACATATGCTACAAACGTAAGGTTGGAAATACGTTGTCCCCTTTCAAAAACTGGGCTACCTCGCTCACCAGACGAAGCGCAGAAGTATAACCACTTCGACTTCACGCCGGTCTTCTCTGTGAGGTCGTGGTACTCACCGGGAGGGACGTGCCCATTAGTGCAACAGTGAAAACTGTTGCGTGGCCCTACCACAGTTGAGTACATCTGTAGATTTGGTTACTGACAATAGATATTTGATTTTATATTAATATCTAAAATACACACACCAGCAAACATGGTCACTTTTGGAGGTGGATAGTGACCACCAAGAGTAGGTTTTCGGAAACTCCAACTCTACTGGTTCAAACGGGAAGGGTATCTTAGAAAATACTATTCCTTAATTTAAAACCACAGCGGCCAAACGGCGTTTATAAGCTAGTAGTTAAAACAAGGAATAACTCATCAATTTTTTTGAAATACATGCACTGAGCTTAGTAACCTCTGATTGCGAGGTACTCGAATATATGTAGTTATAGATGATCTTGAAAAAAAAAATGTAACAGATACATTATATGCCAGTTAAATTAAGTTTTAGTATTAATAAGTTTTTACTTTTTAATACTTAATAATAAATTATAATGTCATTTGTTATTTTGCAAATAAAAATTATAAAAAAATAAATGTATTCTATTAATGAAAAAGTATAAGCTTTAATCAAAACTAAAGTCTTACCCAAACGGCATGGGGACTTTCTTCTGCGCCTTGGCCGCCACCGGCTTCAATTCACCCTCGAAGAGACTGGCGAGTTCTTCAATCAGTCCACCACTAAAGGCCGGGGTGGCTCCCTCGCCGTTCGACTGATCTTCAATCGCTTCCTTCTCAAGGCCATTACTATAATCGATATAAATATATGTTAACTTAATATTTAAGGTGTCATAGGCGATGGGTATAATGAGCGGCCTTATCACTGAAAGTAATTTCTTCTAGACCTTTGGATGTACAAAAATAGATTAATTCAGTAGAATAAATTTCAAATTTATTTACAAATCAAAATTAATAAGATTTATAACTAAATAAATAAAGATATATGCAAATAGGCCAACAATATATCCAACCGTAAAGAATGGATCACTTACCAACTTCTCACATTAAAAGAAAAAAATGTTTTTTTTTTACTTTAGTAAAATGTAGAAACTTAATATTACTTACTGTACATTAAAAAGTTTGTATGCTAGTCTCTGCACATAAGATGAACCCTTAAATAGTAATTATTTAAATTGCGTCGGATCAGCGCCGAAAGATGTTGTTAATTTATTTATTTATTCTTTATTGCCAATCTTCAGTAAAACAAGGTAATAAAGGGCGGACTTAATGCCCAAAGGCATTCTCGACCAGTCAACCCAGGATGTGATGAGAGTTTACGGTAGGTGCAGCAAAAGATGAAAGAATAACAAAATTTTAAATAATGAGAATAAATATGAAAACACCAATGACAAATATATAGTAAATAGTATTTATTATAATTGGATACATATAATATATAAAATTATATATATGTATGCATTTCACTTATTTAAAAAAAATAAAAATAAAAAAACAGTCGCACCTCTGCTCGTGTTCGACCAGCGTGGCGGTGCGGCCCGCGTCGGCGTCGGCGCCCTCGTCGGCCGCGAGGGCGCCATGGAGCCCTAGCGCCGGGTCGTCTGGCTCCAGCCGGCGCAGCACGATGGCCAGCAGCGCGCAGCCGTTGTGCGCCCGCTCCTGCACCTCCATGTCCTCGCTGCAGAGCAGCGGCCGCAGCCCCGCCAGCGTCTCCCGCAACACCTGCCACGTGAAAAACTCGGACGCGTTCCAAAAACGGTTTCCTGCAACACCCGCCACGAGGAAAATTTTGTACGCGTTACAAAAACGGCCTCCCGCAACATCTGCCACATGGAAATCTTAGACACGTTCCAAACAGGTATCCCGCAACACTTGCCACGTTAAAAAATTTTACACGTTCCAAAGACGGTCTCATGCAATATCTGTCACGTTAAAAAACTAAGTCGCGCTCTAAAGACGGTCTCCCGCAACACCTGCCACGAGCAAAAACTTAGATGCTCTCCAGACACGGTCTCCGACAACAACTACCACGGCTTTCGTCGCGAGCAAATTTAAATACGCCTCTGAACATTTCCAGACAGTTTTCCGGAGCGCGTCTGAAGATCACAGTTTCTCAAAGGTTATCATTGGGACGAATAGTAGATGGGGGTGGCTACGTCATGAGCGAAACTTAAATACGCCACTAAAGATGTCACAGTTTTCTTAAGGAAGGCCACGAAAGGTTTGGAAGTTAGGTATCAAGAATATTGTGTCTGTGAAATTGGAGGGTATTGAGACGACTGAAAGGGGAATATGTGAGGAAGGTATGGTTACAATCACACAAGAAATAATAAATTGGTACACGCTTGGTTTACTGTGGTAGGACCACGCAACAGTATTCGCTGTTGCACAAACGGTCAGGTCCGTCCGGGTTAGTACAACGACCTCACAGAAGACCGGCGTAAATTTGAAGTGTTACACTTCTGCGTTTAGTCTGGTAAGTGAGGTAGTCGGGGGCCTCATTATTAAAGGGTGGCAAAACATCTGCAGCCGGTGTTGCAAATGTCCGTGGGCGGCGGTTATCACTTAACATCAGGTGAACCGCCAGCTCGTGTGCCACTTTTTCACATAAAAAAAAAAAACCAAAGAAATACGCTTGGATAGCGTTTGCGTTCTCCTTTTGATATTGGAGGAAAAACCTTCTAAACAGATACTATTTTATAGTGACGTTACGTGAGATTCTGTATGACCCACTCGGGGACTTCCCGGGGACGGAAATATCCCATGAAACAGAGACCAGTTAGGGATTAATCTAGGGATCAACACTAGGGATTAACACGATCGCTTGAATAAGTGGGCGGCGTACCTCTAGGGCGGAGTTGACGTCGCCGCGCCGTTCGTAGGCTAGCAACAGCCGGGCGCACAGCTTCAGCGCGGCGTGCACGCAAACAGCGCGCGCACGCATGTACGCCCCGCCCACACCGGCGCACGCGAGCAGCGGCGATATCGACTCGCGCATCACGCTCTCCTCCCTGATAACAGCGCGTCTTGAAACCGTCATGTTATGTCATAATTATGGTGGTAAGGCCACGCGGCAGCCTCGGCTGTTGCACGAACGGGCAGGCTCGTCCAGGTAAGTACCACGACCTCACGGAAGACCGGCGTAAAGTGGAAGTATAATACTTTCGCGTTTCGTCTGGTGAGTGAGGTGGCCGGAGCCCAATTTTCAAAAGGTTGTCAACGCATCTGGAACCCTCGCGTGTAGCAGATGTCCATGGGCGGCGGTATTGACTTAACATCAGGTGAACCGTCTGCTCGCTTGGCAACTTTTCACATAAAATAAAAATTCACTAGTGAAATTATAAGTACACGGATCTTTTAAAATTCGTAGAAAAAAGGAACGAGAAGTTTCTCGCCGCTGTGGGAATTGAACCCTCGTCTTCGGGATTCGCGCCCAGACGCTCTAATAGCCACTAAGCTAAACGGCCGATTGCCAAACCGACGAAATTCTCAACGTCATTTATCCAAAATGTTTTATATTATACACGGATCTATGTGAACACACTTAATAGTTTAACGATTTCACGGGCTCTTTTCAGCGACATTTACTGCTGTAATAATTTTAAAATAACCATGAGTTAATTTCGTAGTTAATGGAGGCGGTAGACAAAGAGCCGTTTTATCATAATTACACTAGAAAAAGTATAATATGACGAGTATGATGATATCCCTGCGACATATAGAAGTCATGTCGATATACTCGGTGGTGCAGTTGCTAAGACGTTGGCGTCATCGGGGTCGATGGTTCAATTAACAGACGGGGCGAGTATCTGAGACGCACGGAAAAATGTTCCGGATCTGGATGTTTATTTCCATGCACTTAGCACATCATAAGACACATCATAATTACATCCTTGAGACTAAAAACTGTCCGTGAGAATGTGCACTTAAGTCTACATTTAATAGCACTTATGCAATACAAAAAACTGCACAAACAGCAATTACGATTGCAAAGCCATAGTTCGACATAGTGTTCTTTTAACATTTTTGTGAAAGTGATATTAATCAAATTGTATTGTGTGTTACTGGAAAGGCAAAATTACATAAACGCCAAACATTTATTTGGCGTCCCAACAAACGTAAACAGCCCCATTCTGTCCCGTCACAATGAAGGCTGCAAAGGGTTCGAAAAGTCGGTAATGAAAAGAAAAAAATAAACGCGATAAATCCGTAAACATAGTTTCATTTAGTAATGTGTAATCGCGTAAATACAACAAACAGAATGTGGCGTTCGGCGCGTACGCACACACGCACGCGCGCACGCACACACGCACGCGCGCACACACGCACGCGCGCGCGCACGCACGCACACGAGCACGCAACCGTACGTACGTGCAGTACTCGGAGAGGACGTAGGCGGCCGCGTAGAGCGCCTCGCGCGACGCGGGCCCCGGCGGCGTGGCGGCGGCGCGCGCGCACAGCGCCGCGCACTCGCGCGCCGCGAACGGACGCACGCCCGCCACGCGCGCCCCCACCTCCGTCAGCTGGGCGGCCAGGATGCGGCCTGCGCACGCCCGTAAATGGCAGAGGCGGCACAGTGCGGGGGTGCAACCAGTTTCAAAGAGGAGAAAAAACGCAAGGGATTTTTTTGATCTTTTGACGAGGTTTTTTGCGATTGTTTTTGCGAAAAATCAATTAGCGGCCACAATTTGAAAGGCATCCCGGTGAATACAAACATTAAAAATATTTTTGAAACAAACTAATTTAAAAAAAAGGAACAAAATTTGTAACATCCTATACAACTACAACCGACTGATCCATACATTCAGAGACTTTTTCATTCGTTACCACAACTTCGCATTACAAGTCTCTCCTTCTAACAGTATGTTTTATCTCTTTTAAATTCATTCAACCCTGAATGGGTTTTGTAACCTTTACAAATGAACTTTACTTTACAGTTTTATACGTAAGTTGATCTAAAATTGTTTGTTCTTCAAAATTTAATAACTCGGTAAATATTGATGTTTAAAGAATGTAAATGTTTAATACAATTTTAAAAGTTATCCCCTTTATGTGTGTCTATTTATTGTCGCGGTTGTAACGACACGCTGTATATTCCTGATCATAAATACGCGTAAAAATTAAGATTTTTGCTTATACTCGATGAGTGCACTAATTCTGCAGCTGGATCTTAGACCATTAGTACCAAAAGCGACGCTGCCTTCCAGAATAGGCTTATGCTGAGCGCAGTGTGTTAAAGACATTAGATTAAAACACAGAAAATTTCTACCAGACTCTAATTTAGAAAGAATTATGGTAAAGCTACTTACCATGCTTAGCGCTTGTTTCCATCTCAGTGAGCTCAGATAGCACGGTGACGTACCACTCGAAGTCTACGACGTGCTGGTAGCTATTCTGAGAACAGATCTCTATCATGCGCGTCAGCAGCTCGTCGCGATATAAAGTGCCTTCAGCGCGTTCCATATGCACCATGAGCTTCTTCACGATCTCCATCAGGTTTTTCTTAGACACCTGTAAAATAAAAGTTAAACTAAATTATGCGACTTCCAAGTGACGCGCCCAGACGCAAGCTATGCTGCCAGTGACCCAACGGCGCAAAAACCAAGACATCTAGCTACTTTATTTATTGCAGAGGCTACAACTAAAAATTAAATTACTCATATAATAAACATATCTAATTTTTAAATATTCGCCGATAAATCATGACTATGGAGTCAAAATGAGAATTTCGAAGGAAGATAAATTAAACCGATGTAAATCGTACATCTAAATTATGTTCAGAATTATATTTTCTTTCAGTTTCCCAAACTACTTCCGCGGAACATCAGTGGTATATTTAAAATCGATATTTCACGGAATTTGGAAAGCTATTGTTATTTTTTATGTGAAACGTTGCCAAGCAAAAGCGAAACGCGAGTTTAATATTTCCACTTCACGCCGGTATCCTGTGAGACCGTGTTACTACCCCGGATGCGCCTGCCTATTCGGACAACAGCAGGTGCTGTTGCCTGGCTCTGCGACAGTAAACTTTACTTCTGGTTCGTTTATTATTATACAAAAAATCCTTGACATCATATTCCAAGGAATGGTGATGATTCCTTGTACAGGCTAAAGAAAAATTCCAATTTAAAAAAAAGCTAACTGATTAGATGAAATTTCCAATTGACAGGTTTAAAAAGACGCCTTCTGTGCAATATTTCACAAGATTTGAACTCACCATGCCATATAGAAGACCCAGAGCTCTCAGTCTAATAGATTCATCCTTATCATCTAGACACGCTAAGACTAGGTCCTTATGCGCCTGCACGGACTTTGGGTGGGACTTGAGTATTCTAGACATAGCGAGCAGGCCCAGATATTTCACTGTAATCGAAAAACATCATCATTTCAATATACCATCTTAAGATTTTATCTAATTTTACATACAAAATAATATCACAGCAATAAATTTAGTGATAGCTTTTATATTTTTATAATAAAAATTCATCTCGAGTTCAGATTGATGAAATGCAATCTGCTTCTTCAACATTAAATTCGCATGCAATTTTAATAAATAGATTGTCAAAAAATGTTTCATTCCTGCTGGATTCCAACGTGCGCCTTCTGAGCTTAAGCCGAAGATGTAGGTTCGAAACTCGCAGCACGGAAAAGATAATCGCGACAACTTATCTATTAAAGTGGCACTCAAATTTGCTTGGCTATTTTTACAACTTACAATTTTGATCACTATCCTCTATGAGTATTCTTAGTTTTTGCACGCAGAGCTGCACGGATGCAGCGTGTCCGGGCATTCCACTGCTAATGCTTATCAGCACAGCAATCACCGTATTGATGCATTCATATAGCAGCGACATGGCGGATGTGCTGTTTACAACATGTTTATGTTAGTTATGAACAAACTCACATAAGTTATGTACAACACTTAATAATTGGTTATATATTCAAATGGAATCACAAATGTTAAGAATGAGAACGATACCTGTCTCACATAATGACTTTTAATGATACACTTTGATTATAATGCTAACATCATTGTGTATTTGTCGTTGTATATGAATTCTCATAACATATAACGTGAGATGTAATTTCAGATTTATCCGTGCCATCATATTGTATAATTGTGAAGTATGACATAATTGAAGCCAGAATCTTAGACACGGCTTTATGCTGTAAACTTTATTTGTAATACTATTTTAAGCTTCGAAAATAAAACATATAAGAAGCAGTAGAAGCAACCAATAGAAATTTGTTCGAGGTAAAGTCGACCAAGAATTAGGCTATGTATTTGAATATTGTTTTATTTTACTTAAAGAAAGGTATCACATTTTTTTTATGTGTACAGTGGGCGAGCGAGCAGGCGGTTCACCTAATGTTAAGTGATTGTCGCCACACATCCATGGACATCTCACACGGACAAGACACATGGACATTTACAATCCCAGAGAGGTGCAGATACATTGCCAATGTTTGATAAAAACCAGCAAGTGCGAGTTAGACTCGCGCACCAAGGGTTCCGTACCCTTATCTATAAAAACGGCAAAAAAAAATCATGTCCGTTGTATCCCTTAAATATTTTTTGTTGTATTCTGTTTTTTAGTATTTGTTGTTATAGCGGCAACAGAAATACATTATATGTAAAAATTTCAACAGACGGACGGACGAATGGACTTAATGACGGACAGACAGCAAAGTATATTACTTCCACTTCACACCAGTCTCCTGTGAAGCCGTGGTACTTCCCTGGACGAGCCTACCCTTTGTGCAGCAGCAGAAGCCGTTACATGTACAATAACTTTTTCAAAATAATGATGTTTTGAGCTGAATCATCAATATTATGCATATAAATAGATTAAAGAGGTGAATTTATGGATATATGTGATATATTTCTGAAATAAGTATGTGCTTTATGGCTTTTCTTTTTTGTGGCTTAGCTTTCTGACAAGTGCAAGTAGAAGTATACAATATTATGATGTGTTCCAAAACTAGCTCCAAATATCACGGCCAATGTACAATTTCTATTTGATTACGAGGAGTTCCTTGATGTATCTGTGGAGTCCAATGACTAATACCAATGAAATTAATCTGGAACCACATCACTTCATAAATACTGGAGTTCTGAGGCAGCAAAAACAAATTATACAACGAGATAAAGTACATCCTCCTTTTTTTTAGTTGGTTAAAAAGAAGTCCCTTCACTCAAGAACTACCTAAAGTGAAACATAATTACTATAGAACATATCGCCTATTTTTGCAGTGATTCTAATGATGAAATTATGGTGATGATAGCAGCAATGGGCTTAGCAAAAATGGGTGATACTTAAACTACTTGCAAATTGACTAGTCATAACAGATGCTTATAGAAGTTGAACATAAACTCTTACCAACTAAATTATTGAAAGTAATAAATGAATTACTTGGCCGACCTTACAAGCCTAAATTTTATATCATATGCACTACATTCCCTTTACCCCATAGAGACCAACATATAATGTCAATATAGTTTATTGAATGCCCTCCAATATTTGACTCACCTATGTATTAAATTAGTTAATGGTTCTATCAGTTTCTTTCCAAGTCGAGGCTCTAATGGGGTTAAGGCACCAAACTGGAACAAACACAATGACACTAAACTAGCACTTGTGAAATATCAATTAAGTTAGATATGAAATGTTTCTGACTGACACTCCTTACTACAAATGTTGTGGTTTAATTTGTCTTTTTAATTTTATAACATTGTTCTAAGTTTGTGTTAATGATCATTGTTTTTGTAGCAGCAAAATATATATAAAATGTGACACATGCCAATTTTTGTGTTGAGCTTTATTAATTTAAATTTGATGCAGGATGTTTTACAGGATTTGCATAATTTGTATATCAATGATGATGTAACAAATTATTATTTAGCTTTGAGACATTTGGTGAATTACATTGAATTATAATGCATTCTACCAACTTCATAGTATTACCATGGCAACCAATAACAACTTTTTGACATTTGCCTATAATTCCAAGTTGCATTTAATGTCTTTTTAAATACAAAACACACAAAGACTACTAGCACAGAGGATAAAATTTTTAGTTGTTTTTCTTTTGTTATGCTAACAAAATATAATTTCTTATGTGCATACATAAGGCAAACACAAATGTTCTACATATTATAAAAATTTAACAACCAGTTACTTTGACCCAGCAAGAGATTTCATGGACTTAATAAAACATCAAATGTAGAATCAGGGTCTTTAGTGTCTTCTTTAAGTATACAGTTCTGATAGTATCCATGGATTACGTCCTTTACTAATTGCTACATCACCAATGGCATTAACTTGCATGTTTTAAACCGGTCTGTGAATATTGATAGTGTAACTGATATTTTTGTAATTTTTATTCGTGATAAATGGTGATCAAATCTAGCAACTTTTAAACTTGTTTCAGAAAAGTTGCACAAGTGGTACCTGCAAATTAGATCTATGAGGCTTTGTGTAATTTTTCTTCCAATGTCTGGTTCATACTGTGTCATTAAACCAAACTGTGGAGAATTAACAATTTTAATAAAATATGTTAAAACAGAAACAAAGGAACTGTAAAGTGCTATTCTCATAATAACATTTCATACAATTATTCATCTGGAGGTATATTCGACATACAATATAATAAAATATATAATACAAAAGTAATTACAAATAAAAATAGATACCAGTTTAATGATCTTGATCAGCATCCAGTTGTTTGTTGATGTAGTCATTAATTTAAAGAATACTGGAGCTAGTGACAAATAATTTTTGGGATTTTTTCTTGCTAATTCACAGACAACATTAACAGCAGCTGATTGCACACCTGAAAAAAGATGAGACATGTTTTTTAAGGGGATGTATTTGAAATTTTAAAGATAGAGTAGATATATTAAAAGGAACATGAAATTTATTTAATCTACTATGGGCATAGCTGATTGCAATCTTGCAAGTATAAACACATCTTAGTTTTTAGAAAAGTAGAAGTTGCTAAAATTTTACATACAAAAATATTAATATTATATTTTTGATGCCATTTTAAATTAAACCCAAGCAAAACTTATTTAATATACTTCTGAATAAATTATAATTAAACAAAAATAATGTATATGAATTATCTCACATACATTCATACTCTAGTCAGTATAACAGAAATACTATGGACAAATACATACCAGGATCAGGATCTTCTAATTTTTCCTTTAACTTTGGAAATGCTGGCCTAAGGGCCTCTGGATACCTTAAAAATACCTTGTACATCATGAGAACAGCTTTCATTCTCAAGTAAGGTTTTGTGGAACTCATCTACAAAAGAAATAAATTCAGTTGTCAATCTCAAATCAAATCTGTTAATATTGAAATAAATGAACAAAGAGCATTAATATGTGCGGGGATATTCATTTGTTTTCTCATCTGGTTGGGATTATAGTAAAAAAATAAACGTATTAATATATATTATTTTGATTATATATAAAATCCGGGATTCCAAATATACGAGGTATTTTATTTATTTTAATATGAATATATAAAAAGTGTTCACCCACACACACACACACACACATTAAATTTATGTATAACTAAATACTTACCAATGTCATAATATCATTTGCCAAATCTCTAGCTAAATCATGTGAAATAAAACAACTGAGTCCACTTAATGCCAGACCGGCTTCATACTGATTTTGAGCATTAAGATCTTTTCTTATCATATTTGTTGTAAGCATCAGTAATTCTGAATCAGCATGGAAGGACTGACTTGCAGCTAAATAACCAATTCGTTTATAAGTGAACTTATTAGAACTCATAACTTCAATAATATTGAATATTGCCCATGAAATATCATATCCCAACATTTGAAGCTAAAAATTAAATAAATTAAATATGTTGTAGTCTCAAAATAGTGATATAACAGAAAATAAATGTTATTTTCAATATATTGTTGTAATTAAAAAATATTTGAAATATTTTTTAAGAATTACATTAAGTTACTTAAATATGCACATACATATGTCAATTTAGCAACGGCATTAGCTTTCACACCGATATTATCTTGTCGTAGTTCTACTTTTATTTCTTCCATACACTGGGCTATGTACTTTGCCTGAAATATTACATACATTATTTACATTACTTGTACATAAAGTTTATTTATTTAATTTATTGTGTTATAAATCTAATTAGCGACTTTCAGTAAATACTACCTCATTATCTTTGTTATTCCTGATTCCACGAACTAAATCCGTCAAATTTTTGTCAAACATCCTCTCAAAATTCCCTTTCACCTTTTTCAAAGCCATGTTATAGATTTTGTTTGAGTAACCATAACAGTATACACGAAAAACTGAAAATCTGATTCTGATAACAAAATTCTAAATGGACAATAATTATAGATATGAAGTATGAACGATGTCAAAGAGAGTAGTTTTATGACAACTAAAACAGTTCACATCCCTGCAATGTTGGCTTAGAATGTTGCAAGCAATAAACATTTTTTATAAACAATCTACAATTGCCCACCCGCTCCTATGAGACTCTGAATTATACAAATTTTTTATATTAATTTAATGGTTCTACAGTTCAAAGCAGCGATTATTTGCTACCACGATCCGCTTGAAAATTTCTCCGATAACCATTTGAACTTGGATGTGGCGACCATTTACAATACTTTACTCTCCAGTTGCTAAAAAGATTGTCGCCGCTGTGGGAATCGAACCCACGTCTTCGGCATTCGCGGCCTGACGCTCTAGCCACTGAGCTAAACGGCTGATTGCCACAACGACGAAAATCTTAACGTCTTCTTCCACATTGTTTTCTTAGCATTTGAAGCAATGCTTGGCGCCATCTATTGTTATATCCTTTCCAGCATACAAACAATTTCGAATATCGTTTTACAACGATAATTCGAACGAGAGATGTTGCCATTGCTTTTTTAGAAATTTAAATTGTTTATAGTGCTAATCTTTGCACTTAAGATTGAACATTAAAATATGTAGAAAAAGTGCGAAAAGATTGTCGCCGCTGTGGGAATCGAACCCACGTCTTCGGCATTCGCGGCCTGACGCTCTAGCCACTGAGCTAAACGGCTGATTGCCACACCGACAAAAATCTTAACGTATTCTTCCACATTGTTTTCTTAGCATTTGAAGCAATGCTTGGCGCCATCTATTGTTATATCCTTTCCAGCATACAAACAATTTCGAATATCGTTTCCAGCATACAAACAATTTCGAATATCGTTTTACAACGATAATTCGAACGAGAGATGTTGCCATTGCATGTTGACAAGGTCTGGCACAACGGCTTGCTTTACAAGCTGTACACATTCAAAGTGCCAGATAGGCTCGTACACACCATCCAGGCCTTCCTGTCGAACCGCTGTTTTCGATATCGAGTTGAAAGCACCCTCTCCACAAGCCGCCGCCTCACGGCCGGCGTACCACAAGGCTCCTGCCTCTCACCTTTGCTCTTTACGCTCTACACGAGCGATATACCTAAAGACCCCCACGTCAATCTCGCGCTTTTCGCGGATGACACGGCGCTCTTTTATTCAGACCGCAACCTTAGACAACTAACCACTCGACTCCAAAGCGCTGCCGACCGCCTCTACGATTGGTTCCGCAAATGGAGAATAGAAATAAATCCCGAATAGAGTGTGGCGATTCACTTCACAGGAAGTACTTACCCGTCACATCTTTATAATGGCCCTCGTCAATGCAGAAAGTTGGGGCAAATATCCTTTTATGGCCAACCGCTCCCCTGGGAGAAAAAGGTCAAATACTAAGGAGTCACTTTCGACTCACGTATGTCATTTACTACGCACATTAATAACGTTCGCAATAGAGCCGCGTTCGTCTCCGGCCGGCTACACAATTTAACTAACTCTAAAAGTAAAATGCCCTTAAGGCACAAATTATTATTATATAAGACCTGCGTACGACCTATTATGTCTTACGCATGCAAGACCTTCGTCCACACGCACCCTACTCACTTGTACAAGTTGCAAATAGTACAAAATAAGTTCATCCGCCGCGCAACCGGTGCGCAGTGGTATCAACGCAACGTCGACCTGCACAGCGATTGCAGACTCCCGACGATTCGCGAATATTTTAAAGACCTGACCAAACGGTTCTTCGATAGAGCCGAACATCATCCCAACCCTCTGGTGGTAAGCGCAGCAAATTACCAACCCGACAAAAACGCGAACGTCAACAAGCGTCGCCCGCGAAACGTCCTAATCGACCCGGTCGAGGAAGGGGACTTAGACACGCCGGACCCACTGCCGGGGATCCCGCCGGACAACACTACACCCTCAGTTAGTGCAACAACAAACACACTAGTTCGCCCTCGCCTCCGAGCACGGCGAGACCAACACAACGCGTACACAAGGTACACCCGCGTTCCGGGGCGGTTCTCACCGTCCCCAGCCACCGATTAGCTAATTGCACACTCGACGGCCATCGGGGTTTCGGTCCGAACCATGACCTCGATGGCCCTTAGATGACACACCATAGTAAAACGCACGCATGAGTACATGCGTGGCCCTACCCACAGCGGAGGGCCCAAACCCGTGGGTTCTGGCTAGCCCACCGGTTCTGCGTCAGATGAAGCTTTAATAGTCTCTGGACTGAAAGCAAAAACATCAGTTAGTTTCTGATAATTCTATACTATCGATCTATATTTAATGGATGTATTCGACTCGAGTCGCTGTAATTCAGATTAAATTAAAGGTTATACTTCTATATGTATTATTTATTGGTAAGGAGACTAGGACTGTAAACATGCCAGGGTGTTGTCGGAGGCTTGAAGGCACTTCGAGATATCAAAAACAAGGTTTGCATTATTAGTGTAGAGTGAATTTGTGTTGAAGAAGGTGTAAGAGAGCAGTGACTGGAGCTTTACATTAAATAGAGGCCAGGCGCGCGAAATATTGTATTCGGGAGGGCTCTGTTAGGAGCATTCAAATGTGTGTAGTTAATTAAAAAAATGGTAATAAAAATATAGAAATTAAAAATAATAATATTAGATTAGCGCGCTAATTAAATGCAAATGGCTGCGATTTACGCAGGTCAGTTGTGGCAGCATTTCTCACCTTGGAAATTCGATGTCGTCAAGTAATTTTACTAAATAATTAGAGCCTAATAATGCAATGAAACGAAATGTAGCGGATGTCTATGTTAATTCGTCGGTTCATAAGTTCTGTCAAATGTTTATTGTGAAATAGTTGACGCATGTTTGTTTTTATAATAACCGTTTATATATAAAAAAGGAACTTTGGACGAGGGTCAGTCTTCGTATCGGTTTGAAGTGAATTTCATGCTCCGTCAGTTTTGTGTGTTTCTGATATGTGCTCTATGAGGTAGCGCAGAATCTCGCCAGATTACCCAGTGTCTGTGATTGAACATGGTATGAGAAAGAGGGTCCACAAGGTCTGTGAGAACAGAACTCATTGACTCATTGGGATACATAAGTGCATTCGTTTTGATTGCATTAGTTTTCAAATATATTTATTCTTTTTTTGTTATAAGCAGATAATTTTCCACATTAAGTTAGGGTTAGCAAATCATGCTTGATTGAGATGGCATCAATTTGATTCTGCCAGTTGCGTATTTACTTTTAACTTACTACTTTTTAACCGACTTCAAAAAAGGAGGAGGTTTTTTCAATTCCGTTCGTAAAAGACCGTATAGATTTTTATTTTTTTTTATGTGTATTCGTGGATAACCTCATCGCTTAAGAACCAATTTTGATGATTCTTTTTTTGTCGGAAAGGAGATATCCCAAGGGTGGTACCATGATGAGGAAACTAAGATCTGATGATGGAATCCCAGAGAAATCGAGGGTCATCATTGTGAAAGTTATTGTTTACAATGTTTTTAATTTTCTGATTGAAGTCAGTTTTTTTTTGTTAAAAATTATACTTGTACGTTACTTTTTTTTTTACAAAACTCCGTAAAACTATTAAAATAAGTATCCTCAATAAGAACATGATTGTTTACACTAAAAATTACTACTGTAAACAAGACAGAAATTGTTAAAACTTTTAAAACTTTAGATGTTAAAAGAACTATCTATACTATATAACAGATCTATGGGGGATCTCGGTTAAGGTGATCAGTTCTATTATTGATGTAATATCTATCACCTTACCTAGCAACTATTTTTAATATTTGTATCAATCGTGGCGAATTTCCTGACCTTATGAAACATAGTAAAATCATTCCGGTGTCTAAATCTGGTAGTACTTCCGACCCCAATAATTTTAGACCTATCTCTGTACTGCCAACTCTTAGTAAAATTTTTGAAAAAATCATGTTGAATCAAATGTTACAGCATTTTAGCTCTCATAATTTATTACAAAACAAGCAATATGGGTTTCCTAGGGGTCGCTCAACAACTGATGCGGGTGTTCAGCTCGTTATGAATATTTTTGAAGCCTGGGAAAAGTCGCAGGATGCCTTAGGAACATTTTGTGACTTAACCAAAGCTTTCGATTGTGTACAGCATGAGACCTTGGTCAGGAAACTACGCCACTATGGTATAAGAGATGCCGCACTCAATCTTCTGAAATCGTACTTGAGCCATCGAATTCAGAGAGTTGACGTGAATGGCAAGAGATCTCCCGGGGCCTTGGTAAATATGGGGATCCCGCAGGGATCTATTCTTGGGCCTTTTCTCTTCCTCATTTACATAAATGATCTACCTTATCTTGTTAATAATAATCATGAGATAGTATTGTTTGCGGATGATACCTCTTTAATCTTTAAAGTAAACCGACGTTCTTTAAGTTATGACGATGTAAACAATACTCTATCTACTGTGGTACATTGGTTTAGTGCTAACAATTTACTGTTGAATAATAAAAAAACTAAATGTATTAAATTTACAACTTCCTCCAATGTTAAACATGTAAAAACTGATGTACTTTTATATGGGGAAGCGTTGGACCCTATTGACTCAACTGTATTCCTTGGCATAACTATTGATGCCAAACTGCAATGGGGCCCCCATATTAATAGACTGGCGAGTAGACTTAGCTCAGCAGCAGCTTTCGCGGTCAAAAAAATAAGACAGTTAACTGATGTTGATACGGCTCGCTTGGTATATTTTAGTTATTTTCACAGTATAATGTCTTATGGCATTCTGCTTTGGGGTAACGCAGCCGACATTAATACAATCTTTATCTTACAAAAGAGAGCTATTCGTGCAGTTTACAATTTGGGCCCCAAAGAATCGTTAAGAAACTTGTTTAAAGAGATAAAGGTATTGACTGTTGCTGCTCAATACATTTTTGAAAATGTTTTGTATGTCCATAAAAATAAGGATAAATTTTTAAGACATAATAATGTTCATGATATAAATACTAGGAACAAAAATAAATTGATCCTACCCACAAGTAGACTCCGTAAAATAAGTAAATCTTTTATGGGACAATGTATACGTTATTACAACAAAATTCCAGAAAACGTTCAAAATGCATCAATAGCTAAATTTAAAAAAATAGTAAAAGAACGTTTATGTGTTAAATGCTACTATAATATTAATGATTATTTAAATGATAACACACTCTGGTAATGAACTGATCGCTCCAGGCTCTTTCAATCGGAGTTCTTATATTGTATTTTAACGAATTTATGTCAAACTGCTTATTTAAAAAAAAAAAAGCCCGCTGAGTTTCTTTCGCCGGTTCTTCTCTCAGTACAGTGGCTTTCTTTTCCGAACCGGTGGTAGTGTTTTGACTATCAATAAGTGAGTGTAATGCTCCTATGTTGAATAAATACATTTGATTTTGATTTTGATTTTGAAATATAATTATGGTTATGATGTGAAAGTACTGGTTATCAAATGTTTACTTAAATCTATCATCAAAGTGTTATCGATATCGATACTATATATAGTAAATGGTCACTTCACTGAATAGCAAAGCCAAGAACCATTCGTTACGGTGGACTGCCAGGCAGGATAGTGAATGGGCCCCTTTAGCATCTCTACCATATCTGTGCAAAGAACATTCTAGCGATCAGTACATGAGTAGCACCTTTCTCGACAAAGCAAAATACAGTTTAATGCTTTTACGTAATGTTGCCTCTTGACTGGTTAAAACAAAATTTTTGATTTTCGTAAAAAAAAATATTTTCTAAAATATACTAAAATAGCACTTGTTTTAATGTGAAACCCTTCCTCAAGACACTTTCTTTTTCGCCTTTTATTTTTGCACTCATTAATTACGGAATACGGCATTTAATAGGATTATGATCAGGATTATATTGGGGTTGGGCTGGCTTCGGTTAGTGACACGTTTGGGTTACATCCACATGGCAATTCTACTTTTTTCTCTATTCCGTGACGCCTACAATAAATGACAATTATGGTACATTACAACGACGTTGGAATTTGGATTTTTTGACACTTGATTACGTGAGAGTGTTGTTGTCTGTGCCATGATGCGTAGTATTATTTTATTAGTTTGTGCACGGATGCCAACTTAGGAGTTTTCTTCCTACATTTAGGAAGATTTACAATAGAAATTTTTAGGAGGAGAATTTTTTTGCGAATCTTTTAAGGAATAAAATTTTATTTACATTTTTTAAAAGTAATTACACAATTTTAAACACAAAGTATAATGTAATAGTATCGGCAGCATTGGCCTATGTAGTAATTTAAATTGTTCCACCATAAACTCTTATTGTGAATACGGCTACTCATAATATAATAAATTCATTTAATAAGTAATATAAAATGCCAAATGGTGAGAAAATCGCCATCGGATATGTTCAAAAATATGCAGCTAAGTGGGAAAAAGACAATGAATTTAAAGGTAAGTATGTTTCATTCAGATCTTTTATAATTGAATTATACTTTTTCCCAATTTTTATTGTCTGATTCTTAAAAATAATGACGTCATAATAAAATGTATTTTATTCGTATAAATATTTTTCAAGTCAATGAACAATGTTCAAGGTCAAGTATATTAATTAAGTTTATTTTTAAATAAAACAGTTTTGATTACCCAGATAATTAAATTTTCCGATAATTATTCTAGCTTGTTAGACAATTTAAAAAAAGGTGACTTTTTTCATTTAAGAAGTTTTTTTTAAAACAGTGGATTTTAGGAGGTTTTTGAATTTCTTTAGGAGATTTTTTTTTCAACAGTTGGTAACACTGAGTTTGTGTTGTGTGCAGTTGTGCACTAGCACTTGACAGTTGACATTGATTGACACTTGACAGTCCATCTATTTACTATTACCCTTACCACTTAACAAACTGGATGTAAATTATCAATTTTTAAATTATAAAATTAAAAACTATGAAAAATGATAATTTTTCTAAGCGAATTGCAGAAAAACCATCTTCATTTATTGCATAATCATACACCACAAGGTTAATTTTTAATTATTTCTAGTCTTAATCGTACATATTAATCAAAATTTTGTGTAATTCCGTTGTTCAAATCTGAATAGAAACTAATATTATATCACGAGAGAATTCAAACCATAATAAAAAAGGCACAACTAACTTTTTGTCTGAGAACTAATTCGAATGTTAGGCAAATGCATTGATGTTAAATTTAAAACTTATTCACATTCTTATGTTTTCAGTTTTGGTCGACTTCTGTAAATTAACAATAGATTATTTAAACAATGGCATCAATAAAAACAAATTTACTATTGCTGCAGGTAAGTACATAAACAATTTTCAATATCAAATCACAATTGCAATGTTACCTATGTTATTATAAAATATGTTTGCAGAAAAACTGGATACTCCAGTTGAAAATATACAAAATTTGATACAAGCCCTAGCCTATCTTATAGTAGAAGGATGCAAACACAATGTAAGTAGTTCATATTTTCACGTCTTAATTCTTTCGTATGGGGAGCGGGGGGATGTGGTCCATCATCGCCCCTATTCAAATGTTATTTAAGTTGCCAAAAGGATGGTTAAACTATCTGAATTGATTAAGAATAATCTTCTTAATGATCAGAATGATCAATTCAATCCTTTTGACAACAAGCTGATTAGTTGTCTTCTATAATGATGAGTGTTTCAGAAACCGGGCGTAAGTTAAATAATACCGCTAGTTTATTACCGTTAGCTTAATAGCATTAGTTTTGCAATTGTTTTTAAAAACAATTGCAAAACTAATGTAACATTTTTTAAATGTGTTATTGTAAAATGTATTGTTATTTTAGTTGTCAGAGCTTGATTTTAAGTCTTCATTGGCAATAGCAGGATTTTCCAATGATCAGCAACAGGTCTTGGTTAAGTTATTTACTACTAAAAAAAGAGAAATTTCAAGTGCATTGAATATACTTCAACAACAAGATTATGGCTATGAAGATTTGACATGGAGGTTTGAAATACAGGTAAATTTGTTTTTTTTTGTTCAAGTTCTATAATTAATGAGAAAAGAAATTGTTTAAAATTTAACAGTTGGAATTAATTAAATATTAAATACATAATATAAATATTGAATACACTGAATAGTGACTATTAACTCAGGTTTTGTAGCGAATAGCCCTAAATTATTTTTACATTTTAAGTACAAAAACATTGATATACAAATTTAGTGGTTAACAATATTTTTTTAGGTAAAGTAGGTATTTTATTAAGTTTTAATTAACATATAATATCATGCTGTCATCCTTTTATTACTTAGAAGAATTGTGATATAGTTTTTATTTCTCTGCTTTTTAATATTTTTTCTGTCAGCATTGAAATGTTCAATTTGCCTTGATTTTGATTTCTAAATTTTAAATTTTCTAATGGAAGCACTCCACATGCGCAATGCTAGTTAGACAGTTCAAATTTTCACAGATAATGTATTTCTGTTGCCACTATAGCAACAAAGAGTAAAATAATTAAATATTTAAGGTGGGCTCCCATACAACAGACATGACAGACATTTTTTTGCCATTTTTATACAGAACCTTTCATGCTCGAGTCCGACTCGCACATGGCCAGTTATGTCTTTAATAGCTTTTAACCGCTCCAGGCTAGGTTGTATACACCGTCAATAGAGACACATTTATCCCTATCATAGATCAACAACAATCCTTCAGAGTCCAAAAAATGTCACCATCAGTTTTCTCACCTTAAATTTGTTAGGAGGTGCTGCACTCATTGATGCCATTGGATGGAGTCTTGCTTACACGCAGGTTCATAATGATGAAACCATGTTTCATCACCAGGGACAATTTGGTTTAGTACATTATCCTTGTCTTCACCACAGAGGTCCAAAAACGCTTCGGAATATTCGACACGCTTTTAGATTCGCGGCGGCGTGGCACCCACCGTGCGTAGAAAACATAGACTAATGAAGTCGGTTAACAACACTTGTATTTCCAACCATTTTGGCACACTGTTTCCCTTTTTAAGGGAGCATATAATACAAATTTTTCGACTTTTTCAACCAGTTCCGGATTGTTTAGCTCAATAGACCGTCGGTCGTCTTCAAGTTATTCCATGCCACGCTTAAAAAGTCTGTGCCACTTGTAATCCATGCTTTTCACTATGCAAGAGTCCCTGTGACATCACTTCCAGTATAAAAAAAAGTCGTCCCGCGGTCTGTCTGTCCCTATGTATGCTTAGATCTTTAAAACTACGCAACGGATCTTGATGCAGTTTTTTTTCACTAGATACAGTGATTCAAGCGGAAGGTTTATATGTATAATATATTGTACCAGTGCGAATCCGGGGCGGGGGTCGCTAGTGATAGAATATAAGAAACTTGATGACTCTTCAGAATTGACTGCATAGTCGTCAATAGTTTGAAAACTAATGATTTATGATAAAACGTAATATTTATATTAATTACGTTATTTAACAATTTAAGCACTAAACTACCCGGTTAAGACCCTTCAACCCCGCCATTCCGCGAACTTAAAATTCACCCTCGTATGTGGCTGTGATGATGTGCTTGTCATATTCAGAGATTTAGAAAATTGATTGTTCTAGTTCCTTAATACATTGCAAAAGTAAAGTAATAATTGATTAACTTTACAGATGGCATCCAGAAGATGTAAGCATATAATTAAACCAATGATTACTTTGGATTTTGTGATCACAATTCCAAAAGATTATGGCCAAGAAGATAAATACAGGCAAGATGTGTTAAGGAAAAAGGGTAATTTAAGTACTGTTTATATTAATACGTCTATAAACAACGCTAAAACGTCTAGCCAATGTCAAAGGATTATTAATCATATTTTATTACAATGTGACCTACCAAATTTAATACATGTCACAAATAAATTAGAGCAGGCTCTAAAAGAATCTAAAAGCCAGCATGTCAGAAAAGTCCAAAGAGCTCTATAAAGTAAATAATGGAATGTATTATTATATTTTTTTTTACTAAAAGATTGGTAAATGTTCAAACTAATTAACGGTAATTGTGGACCGTTCCCTGTGGTCACTCGTAACACCACGGATGTTGCTGCCATGTTTCTTACAACAGAGTATGATCCTGCAGTTACCTTAGTCTTAAAAAACAACACAAAGCCTTTTACTTAGATACTTTAAAAGCCCAACTCAGAAATGTATATTATTATGTGTGATTAAAAATAGTCATCATCTTTGTTATTCGTACATAGGTCGTTTTTAAAGGTTTTCTACGATTATTTTTGATGAATGAGCAAATGTAATGTAAATAAAGAAAATTGGCGTTTGATTGTCGTATTTCATTGTCAATATTCTTTCACTTCCCATGATATTATATTTAGGTCCGTTGACCAAAATATGTTCTTTCTGGGCCGAATCTATTCATTTAATACTCATGACGACAAGCATAACTTATCGTTTAATAGACCTTCTAAACATTTGTTGATGTTGAACAGTGGTGAACGCCGCAAAATCGCACAGTAGATCGTCGTCCGGTTACGCGCCAGTCGCCACCACTGCCAACCGAAAGCACGACTCGACCAACGTAGCGTACCAACAAGCTGAGTGGCAGCGACGAACGTGCAGTTTCCTACCTGCTTTGTTGGTATTCGTAAATATTACTGGACGACTCTTTCAATGCTATCACTAATTTAAAATAACAGAGATGTTTAAAATGAGGCGGAGGAAGCATTGATAACGCGATATTTCAAGTTTCCCATATTATGAACAGATCGATGTCAAAGAAAAATTTAATAGCGTAACAAATGTATCACTAAATGGGAAACAAATATAACTAGCCAAACGCCAGATATCTCAGTAGGCAGTTAGACAAAACACTAAGTTCATATCGTCATCATTTCCGCCTGTTTGAGTCCACTGCCCCATCTAGGGGGGGGTTTCGATCTACACTGCGATGGCCAGTACGAGGCTACCATTCAAGACCACCCTTCTTCCCCATCTGTTACCAGTGAATCCAACTCGACTGGTCAAAGTTCGGAAAACTTCGGCATATCTTGTCGCAATGTTTGAAGATTTATGTTTTCAGTGTTTCCAGAGAGACCATGAGACGTGGTCCTTCACTGCTAGTCGTATGACTAGCAGTGGTGCTAGTCGTTTAACATTTGCATAATATATAAAGACCTATTTTATGGACAACCGTATAGACTATAGACAAAAGTATATTTACACTAGCGGACCAGACAGACGTCCTGTATACACGATTTAAATTCGACAACTTAGAAATAAAATAAAAAATTTCGTCTGTTGATTGTGGGCGTATCGAAAACATAGATAATTAATTAAACCTGCTTGTGGCGACCGATTTAAATTATAATTAGCAAAAAAATTAAGATGTAAAGGGTGATAATATAAACACATAAAAAACCTAAACATCGCTAACAAATATTGCGAAGCGACAGTGTTTTTTCGTTTATCGGACAAAATAAGTACTTTGATTGTATTTAAACGTATTTCTAAACTAAAATTTTGAAAAACGATATAATTTAGTTAATAATTAATAATACATTAAAAAAAGACTGTAAAAAAACAACTTATTGAATAAGAAAATGTACTCTTAATCTAAAAAAATTAAATAAATAAATTTTGATAAAAGCTTGTTTTGAAAATGCGTGAATAATATTGAATAATAATGATTTTCGACGTACCGTTGTTTTTCCACCGGCCAACGAGTTTAATTATTTAACGCCCCTAATCTAATATATAAAATTCTCGTGTCACGGGGTTCGAACTTGAACTCCTCCGAAACGGCTCGACCGATTTTTACCAAATTTTATATGCGTATTCAGTAGGTCTGAGAATCGGCCAACATCTATTTTTCATCCCCCTAAATGTTAAGGATAGTCCACCCCTAAATTTTTTTTTTATTTTTTAGGCAAAATTTTTTGTTTTTATTTTTTTATGACACAGCACACAAAAATACATACAACCCTAAATTTTCACCCCTCTACGCAGACGTAGTCGCGGGCAGCAGCTAATATTTTATAACTTTAAATCGCGCCCTCAGATAACCTAGGCGCCCATTGGGGGAGGTACCGCCCACTTTGAGAACCATTGCTCTTTACTCCAGATGGGATGCCTTATTCACCAGAGCAAACGTAAAAGTATGAACTTCCACTTTACGCCACTCTTCTATGAGGTCATGGTACTCACCCGGATGGACCTGTGCAACAGCGTGGCCATATTTTTTCATGTGAAAAGTTGCTTAGCGAGCAGGCGGTTTACCTGATGTTAAGAGAATACCGCCGCCCATGGACATCTGTTACACCCGAGGGTTGCAGATATTAAGTATTATACTTCCACTTGACGCCAGTCTTCTATGAGGTCTTGGTACTTACCCGAACGAGCCTGCTCATTTGTGCAACAGCCGAGGCTGCTGCGTGGCCCTACCACCGTTAAAATTACGCCTATCAAATAAAATTTCAGATTTCTGCCGAAACCTTTACTGTTGACCCAATGAAGGAATGAACTTTCTGAACTCTCCTCAGTCTTATCTAGCATAAAAAACTACGCAAAGGATCTAGCTGCGGTTTTTTTTACTTGATAGAGTGATTTAAGAGAAAGATTTATATGTACATATATATACATTAAAAATTAGAATAAAATAGTTGTAATATTAACCTAAAGACCAGTTGATCGTACAGGTGACGTCAGCTTTATCAGATGATGTTTCTGCTTTCAGCCGTTGTAATGATTGAAATCCGGGGGTAAATGTTGTGTCACGGTCACTTTTGTGACACGTGAGTGACGATGATATTGTAATTTAATTGCAATCAAACGACCGAAAGGTCACCTTGAACTTGAAATAAAACTAAATTCTAACGAGAATAACAGCTGAGCTTCGCTATTTCCGATTAAATGGCAATCACGACACTAAAATTTATTAAGTCATGATTAACAACACAAACTTAAAGGAAGCGGTTATGGAATTCTTGGAATGAATAACTATTTAGCAAATTAATTACATTTAATTTTTATTAAGTGCTAATCTCGACACTTGAGATGAAAAATTGAAATTAGTTGCATATTACTGTTATATGCATTCCAATATCAAAGTGCTTAGCACTAACTAAATTTAATAAATCCGTCTATAATAATCTACAATAATGGGCCGGCCATATAGCTCGTAGAACCGATAACCGTTGGGGAAGAAAGGTTCTCGAGTGGCAGCCTCGTACTGGCCATCGCAGTGTAGGACGACCCCCCACTAGATGGAGTGACGACCTGTGCAAATGTGCGGGAAGTCGATGGATGCAGGTGGCTCAGGATCGTGCTTCATGGCAGTCTGTGGGGGAGGCCTATGTTCAGCAATGGACTCAAACAGGCTGAAATGATGATGATGATGATAATAATCTGTCTTTGACCGACGTCGGACTTGTTCTTTTCGAAATAAGACTTGAAGGAAGTCAAAATTCAGATCCATCATTTCGGATTTTGCCAGGTTTGTATAAAGCAAGGATTATTAAATTTGGTCTTTCCACTCTTCAGGGAGTGTGCCATACTTTGAGATATGGTTTAAAATTGAGAGAAGGGATTTAGTCGTTACTAATAGTTTTATTTATGAAGGAATATGTAATGCAGTCTAGACCAGGGGATGAATCCTTTAAAACCTAATAACCTAATACCTTTTAACAGTAATGCCCGGTTTCTGAAACACTGATCATAGTAGAAGTCAACTAAACAGCCGTCAAATTAATTTTCCGTTTTTGCCGCCGAATAACATTTATTTGAGTTGCCAAAAGGATTGTTATATCTCTGAATTGATCAGAATGATCTGAATGATCAGAATGGTCAATTCAATGCTTTTCGCTCTATGAGCTGGCGTAGAATCACACTGTAATACCCAGTGTTATTTAACATGGTACGAGGAAAGGTTCCACATGGTTTTTAAGGATTGTGTTTTGATACACAACTGCATTCGTCTTTACGCTTGTCTCACACAAATATATCTTAGATAAGCCCGTAGAGACTCCCAGCGAAAACATGACGATGAAAAATGGCGTCACTGGACACCTGGAATGCGGCTGCTCGCTTCTTCTCTGTAGTGGGCGTACACCTTATCATTTTATTTACAGTAACTCTCCTCCAAGGTTAAAAATGTTTGGTCCGAAAAAAGTTCCATGGTGTTTTTTTCCCCACTTACCGCTTTAACAAAACGCAGGATCACTTCATTCTCTGGTCCATTAAACGTAAATTAAAAACAAGCGTATCCAAACGATGACCTGTTTTTCTTCGATAAGCTCGAAGCCTCCATTCTCCATTGTCTCCATTCAACACAATTCATTCATAATGATACTGCTTAGCCCCATCTGAATGGCCAACAGTTTCCATTTATTGACAGCTTTAATACACATTGCCAAAGGCCAACAGTGCGAGAGTAAAGGATGGTCCTTAACCGCTTTTTCTTTTCGTTTTTTCCAAAAACTTTATTGCTCCAATGATTCAGCTTGCGCCAGAAGTACTCATGTATTGCACAGGTCTGCTATATATTAAAAACATCTCTGATTTATAAACATTAACTATTTAGAACTGATAAGTTAAGTAATCAGTTTATATATATATAAATAATGCTACATGAAACTGAATTATAAATATAATAAATTTTCGCAAAGAACCTTAACATCTCAGGCCTTTTAAAAGGCTACTTATCAAAGTGTAAGTTGGTAAGTTTTTTTTTCGTATACCCTATCCGACATCTGCACGCCACTGCAATACGGGGCTCGTGAGGTATGCTGGGTACCTGTTCCTGACCGGGACTGCAACATACCCCTTTATCCCCTGATCCAGTGGAAGGGGATTTCTAAAGGATTTTCTCCCGTACAAAAAGTTTACACGGGGTATCCGTGATTTGAATTCCTTAAGCGAATTTAGCCGCACTCGCACCCAAATAGAACGGCATAATTACTCACGGCTTTTAGCTAAGACTAATGTCTTAGCTAAGTACTATATTATACCGTTCTATCTTTTATATCCAGGATGATGGTGCTAGGAGACTTTGTTTTATGCTCGGGTGTGTAGGCTAACGCTACGATAGATTTATCTTGCGTAATCAGTCACATTTTTCACGGGAATCGCTGCGGGAAGGCTTATAGTGTTGGCGATCTATGTTTCGGGGTCGCTATTTACACAGAGGCGTTTTCTGCCCTCTTTGTGTTTACGATAGTAAAGCCATCGTCCGTGTCCGAGTTTGTGATGTCGGCTTGGAAAGAGGCCAAATCGGCTTGCGCGGTAGGCACGTCGCTATAAGTCAACGCGATGGGTCAATCGTAGTGAAGGTTTAAGTATAACATAATGAGTCAATCTATAACATCGGTGCTCAGAATACACTCAGAAATCTTTTTAAAGAGATTAATATATTCACTGTTGCGTCTCAATATATTTATTGTAGTATTTTGTGTGTTAGATATAATCTTAATCATTATCTAAAGAATAGTGACGTCGGACATAAACTAAATACGTAAAAAACGAATTACATCACTGTTTCGTCTACAAAAATTATATTTATTTAAAAAAATTATAATTATATGTATAGAGCACGCGTATACCACAGACGACATTGAGTTCCGGTTTCTGAAACATTGATCATCGTAGAAATTACCTAATCCGCTGTCAAATGGCTTTTCAAAAGCTATTTGAGTTTTCAAAAGGATGATTAAACTTTCTAAATTGATCAGAATGATCTTCTTATTGATCAGAATGATCAATTCAAAAAGTTTAATCATGATATGATATTAATTGTATGACTTTCTTTTAGTCACAATAAGCCATTGATTATTGGATTATTAATATGCGCTTTCAATCGTATGTCGAAATCGTATGTGAAAATAGTCTCTAGCTAGGACTCTAAAATTTTGTTGAACTTATTCAACAGAAACAATAGTTAAGTTCTACGTTCAATACATAAAGTTCAGTCCATAAAGTTCGTCTTCAGTTAAATAGCATAGTTTTGTATTGAATTTATGTATTTTAACACAAAACTCATTAGTACAAGTCAATAGTATTTCAAGTATTACCGGAGGCACAAACTCTTGTATCTTGTATCTTGTATTAACTGATGTTTTTGCTTTCAGTCCCGAGACTATTAAACCTTCATCTGACGCAGAACCGGTGGGCTAACCAGAACCCACGGGTTTGGGCCCTCCGCTGTGGGTAGGGCCGCGCATGTGCTCATGCGTGCGTTTAACTACGACATGTCATCTAAGGACCATCGAAGTTGCGGTGCGGACCGAGACCCCGATGCCCTTTGACTGTGTTTTTAGCTAATCAGTGGCTGGGGGCAGTGAGAACCGCCCTGGAACGCGGGTGTACCTTGTGTACGCGTTGTGTTGGTCTCGCCGTGCTCGGAGGCGAGGGCGAACTATTGTGTTTCTTGTTACACTAGCTGTGGGTGTAGTGTTATCCGGCGGGACCCCCAACGGTGGGTCCGGCGTATCTAAGTCCCCTTCCTCGACCGGGTCGATGAGGACGTTTCGCGAGCGACGCTTGTTGACGTTCGCGTTTGTGTCGGGTTGGTAATTTGCTGCGCTTACCACCAGAGGGTTGGGATGATGTTCGGCTCTATCGAAGAACCGTTTGGTCAGGTCTTTAAAATATTCGCGAATCGTCGGGAGTCTGCAATCGCTGTGCAGATCGACGTTGTGTTGATACCACTGCGCACCGGTTGCACGGCGGATGAACTTATTTTGTACTATTTGCAGCTTGTACAAGCGAGTAGGGTGCGTGTGGGCGAAGATCATGCATGCGTAGGACATAATAGGTCGGTCGCAGGTCTTATATAATAATAATTTGTGCCTTAAGGGCATTTTACTTTTAGCGTTAGTTAAATTGTGTAGCCTGCCGGAGACGAACGCGGCACTATTACCAACGTTATTAATGTGCGTAGTAAATGACATACGCGAGTCGAAAGTGACTCCTAAAGGCACAAACTGTGATGTGCAATAGGCATGAAACTTTTTGCTACTTAATTGGGTGAACAGCTGCGAGTATACTTATAAACCATCCTTTTGTTATAATAAAAAAGTCAGAATGTTTTCGATGCATAATTCGCATTCGAGTTGGCAGATGTATTATACGATTAATTATTTACGACTTATCTGATTGAGTACATTACACGCAAGTTTGTTATCAAATCTCGCATTATCAGAATGTTCACTATGCATGCGAAATGAATTGGCTGGATACAATATATTTCTGAGATTTCCGCTTAAAGTCGTAACGGCTAACGTGTGATAATTAATGCTGACTAAAAAATTCACACCTCTCCATTATAATTTACTTACCATAACTGTGGTGGGGCCACGCCGAGTTTATTCGTCCGGGGAGGACGTACCACTCACAAGAGACGTCAAAAATCAACGAATATTTCGATATTTTCTCTTCAGGTCCTAGAAACTCCGTCGAAAAAAGGTATGCCCAGTATTAAATATTACACACCTACGGATTCTGTCCGGATTCGAATTTGAAAAAATAAAGTTTTTGGTACAATTACGGCGTTACAATTACTTTATAAATAAAGAGATTCCGTAGATTCTAAACAATGTATATAAACTTGTGTTGTTGAAAATTGGATAGCACAATCAATAATTATTAATATTATCTAAAGTATTGATATAACATTTAAAATATTTATATTAAAGATAGATGAAAGTTGAACACGTTATGAATTTGTTTGTCAAAAAGAGGACAAACTTTAAAAAATCTCAAATAGACATTATCATGAATGTACACAGCTTCACTATCTACATCCAAAAATCGTGTTAGTTTTTATCAAAATGTTTAGAAATTATTACTGGCTAACGACCCGTCCCGGCGTCGCGCAGTAGCAATGTATTATACATATAAACCTTCCTCTTGAATCACTCTATCTAGTTTAAAAAAACCGCATCAAGATCTGCTGCGTACTTTTAAAGATCTAAGCATACATAGGGACAGACAGACAGCGGGACTTTGTTTTATACTATGTAGTGAAGAAGATGGAGTGCAGGCAAGGACGAAAATAAATCGGTAGGATTGAGATCCTATACTATATATATATGTATATAATAGTGAGCTATTGACTGATTCTTTTCGAAAAGAACGATGACAGTTTATGAAAAAAAAATATCTAATTGACTCAGCATCGACATGTTTGTGATGGTTCATAACACAACAGTAGTTGAGGGCAATACTCACTTATATATAACCTAAATACATTAGGCGCACTTGAGTCCAATGTAATTACAATATGCTATGTGCGTCAAAAATTGCCAGTCGTTCACATTTCAGGCTCAGCCAGTCAAAAAGGAACATTTATCTCTCACAAGCATCTAAGCACTTTAGTGAAATACAAAAGATCAAACTTAATTTAAATTCAACGACAAATTGTATTATTTATGAAAAGTAATACTGGCTGAAATGAGCACTTGCAAGCAATTATAGACTTATAGTAATGTCAGAGTATTTAATGTTATTTTTAATGAAAGAATTATAAAACCTGATGCTATTGCGTAACAATAACTTATTTGTCTCAATTCTCATTTAAATACCTACAGTCATTGATAGTAACAATGATTCGGCGTAATGAAACGGGAACAGGCGAAGGATTGGATGAGAAGAGCTGTTATAACAAGCGACTCGGCCTGCGGCCATTAATATCCCGCAAACCGCCAGCCACTAGCCAGTACGGTAACGGCGCTCGCCATATGCGCACAAATCTGATAGTGCCAAGTAACGCGTGGCCAGGATAAATATGTGATAAAATATTTGTGATTATTTATATTTTATAATAATTTACAATTTAAAGTTTTTATTGAACAGATTCAAAAGCTACTTTTAGTTATATGGACTTACCGTGTTAACAGTGAATGTTCACATAAACAATTTCGCGCGTCAACGTAAGGTATCGAGTTGCCAGTTTCTGTTAGGCAATTTTGAAAAGGAAACAAAAGCTCTGTGATCGCTATAAATAAAGAGTCAAAATAGAGGGAGCTTACACATTTTTATAATTTATTAAGTGTAATCTTAAATCAAGTTACCAAACCTACTGTATAGCTATTAAAACAATACGAGTATGTTTTTTGGATAACCTTTGAATAGGTATTAGTTTGTATTAGTAAGTCTGATTTTTTACTCTGTTATTTAAAAAAAAATCAACGTGCACATGAATTATAATCATGGATTCAAAAGTAGTTCTGAAGGAAAAGAATCCGAACGATAAAGCGAATATTTTATCGAAAACTTTTTTGTGGTGAGTACAATTTTATTATTTTTTGTTTGAATAAGAAACAATTAGATTTTCTATAAATACATGAAAGAAATGCTTTTTTAAAATTATTAATATTACAAACATTTTTAATGATAAAATCATTAATTAGAAGTAAAATATCTATAGGCAAACAAGCCAATTATTAGAAAGTTTTAAAACCCTGTAGTATTTTTTTACTATTTGCTAACCACACTATTGAACGATCTCTATTCACACTGATATATTTAAGAGTTTATTTAGATAAACTGTTTCAATTTACAAAGCTAGTATTAATTAAGGGTTAGAAACTAATCTAACAATATTAATAGTAATTATATGAAAGTTAACCCTGAATGTAATACGATGTGTTTATTATTATATTTATTTTTATTACTTTAAATAGATTGTTCAGCTTTTTAATGTGATTATTTACTAATTTGTGACATACTAGCAATTCAAATATCATATTATTACATATTCGTTACTCCTTAAAAAATCTTTATCGAGCGAGTTACAACTTACCATGATGTTGCGATATATTTGACCTTGTTTGTTCATTGCACAAACAACATATATTCTATTAGGAAGTACATTTTTTCAGTCAATTCGATAACTCCTTTCAACGGATAAAAAATTAACAGTTAACTAAAAAAAATATTACTCATAAAGATTGTTGTAAATGTAATGTTCCGAACATCGGTAATAATTTAAAATCATATTTGATGTATTTTAGTAGGATTGACTAAGATTCTCAAAAAATGTGTATAAAATTCATATTTTTAAGTAGGTATTGCCTTAAATTTTGATTTAGAAGAATTTAAGCGCGTTTATGTTTGAAAATAACGAATGTGAATTATCTTTTCCTCTAAACTTTTACCCTTGTATTGTTTTTACTTATTCGTAACATTAGTAAGCGTGGATACACCTGATTTAATTAATTACCATATTGTTGAATTTTTAATCCTGATAATACCTGACGGATATTAACATAATATGGGCATTGACCCAAAATATAAGGTTTTTCGAAGGAAAACGTTATTTTTGTTGCTTGTAACTAAAATAGATAAACTGTAAATATACCCCTTTAAAATATTATCTACGTATCGTGATAAAAAGTAAGTTAAGTTTTTGAACATGGCTAGGGCATATAAAATTGGTCATACTAACGCCCGGTTTCTGAAACCAACTGATCCTTTTGGCAACTCAAATAACATTTGAAAATCCATTTGGCAGCTGTTTAGTTGACTTCTACGATGATTAGTGTTTCAGAAACCGGGAGTAAATATAATATAATCAAATCTTGAAAATCTAACCTATATATCCTAACCTACTTAACCTATAATAAAATTTAACAATTTTTGGAGTTGGTGCCTTTGGTCACCATGGGTTGTACACCATAACCTTGCTAAAAAAAATTTTCCTTTTTCGTTAAAAAACTTTATTTCTTTTATTTTTTTACTTTTCTTTATTTATTTATTTTAATACTTAGGTATTTTATAAAATATGGGTAGACCTAGCACAGACGCTGACCAACGCTCACAAATGAGAAACGGTGTCAAACTGAAACTGGGACTGAAAAAGGAAAACGATTAAAAGCAAATAAGGAAGAAAATCTCTAAGTATTTCAAATGTGACACCTGACCAGCGTGAAAATAGGTTTTTAAAAAAAGATCATGTATGTGACGTAGGTTAAATGACGAAAATCAAGGAAATTACAATAATTGTCTTAGTTTAATTCGCAACCGTTTGGTTATAAGTTTATTTACAAAGATTACTAATCGCATTGGCGATTTCACAACGGCTCAACTTGAATAGCTTTGTAAACGTCAAAGTTTGCCGTTTGGAAATTCAGTTCGAATTTATCCCACTCTCAGACAAGTAGACTCTTACAATGTATATATGATAGCTGAGAAAGCGAAAACAGCGTATTAATTGTGTGTAAATACGCTGTTTTCGCGTTTTTAGCTAGACTGTATACATCTGATTAACTTCTCCAGTGTACAGATGTGATGTGGTGTGATTGCCCCAACAATGCATATTTTTGCGATAGCAGAAATCGCGGTTGATTTGCTGTCGTTTTTTAAAGAATTCCGTTTTCTATCTCGAAATGGGACCCTTTCGATATAATAAAACCCTTTAGAACAAAAAATATTTTGAAAATCGGTCTATATACGAAGGAAGGAGTTATGCCGAACACACATAAAAAAAGATACATCCAAATTGATAACCTCATCCTTTTTGAAGTCGGTTAAAAACACATTCCTGCGTTTTGAGAGGCCGCGAATGAATCGTATGAAAATTATTGAAGTTAAAAAAAATATTTAAATTAAAAGTCCAAACGCGTACACTAATTTATATTTAAGAGAACCTAAGATAAATTTTTGGCAAAAGTCATGCATGACCATGATTACTGATTTTGTAATTTAATAGTATATTTCCCCCTTGAAAGCGAATTATGGATGCGAAATAAATATCCTTAATTTCATAACAAAATTTTATCTCCGATCATCGTCAAGCCAAGAGATTTTTCGTCCTTGGTCCTTGGCGGTCAATAGGAGGTGAAGATGCAACCTCAATCAATCAAAGATATGAACATGCACATTTTTTTTAATTTAGTTGGCGCATTGCCTACTTTTGTTTTTTGATACTTTATTAGTTTGCAATTAAATCACTTACTTAGAATGATCTTGTAATGATCAGAACGATCAATCCAAAGAGTTTAACCATCTTTTTGGCAACTAAAATGAAATTTGAAAACCATTTGACAGCTGATTAGTTGACATCTACGATGATCAGTGTTTCAGAAACCGGCCGTTAGAATTCAGTTAAAATTTAACTACTATTAACTTTACTACTTATTTAATAAAGGTGTCCAAATCAGGAAAGGTCAGTACAAAAGTCTGTGCAACATTTCCGGTGTTCTCTTTCGTTTCTTTTATTTTTATTCAAAGTTAATGAACAAAAATGAGAAAACAAACGAACGAACCAATTTAATATAAAGTACCCTGGCATATGAACATTTTCGTTTCGCTTAGTGGCCAACCAATGCCAATTGACAATGACTGTTCTTAACGATTTCTATTAGATTAATAAACATGAAAATAACCAGTTAGTTCCTACGCTGGAAATGACTATAGTAGTCTACGACCGCATTTGGTAAAAGTTTTAAATGTCATCACAATATATATCTGAATATATGTGAATATACGTCAATATATGTCTGAATAGAATGTTGGAGATGTAATATGCTACCCTGTAGGTGCTGGAAATTCTTTTGGTTCTCTATGGCTTCTTTTGGTTAACACTTTTACATAGACCGCAATATATTTTATTATAGATTGTTTTTATTATTATTTAAATTCATAGCAGTAGTATACGACATAATCTTAAAGACTTTAGACCGAATATCTTTAATTCCAGACTTTATTTAATAACAATTTGTATGTATAATATACTCAGAACATTAAATTCTATATTTTAACAAGTTTTTTTGTCTTGAGGCGCAAAAAAAACGTATTGAACAAAAATTTGAATGGAAGCTCGCCATTGTCCTTTGGACAACTGGATTCGTCTTCTCCAAACTGCGATCGAAATAGATACTTAGATGGACAGTAAGATTATAATTAGGTTAAATTTTCACGCTACGTACCCAGAAAATTAAACGTAACTGGGTACCAGATTAGCTGGTTTTAATCCAATTATTTTTAGGATTTTATTTTCTATAATTTATTTAAAATTCCTGAGACTTGATTACACTGCTCCCCCGTTATTGACGACATCACTGTTCACAAATGAGGGAGACTCGCTTCATCGTGAGTAATAAACGCCTCGGCAACGATTTGGGTGTGGGTTGGTCGATAGATTTAAGCAACGATATAAACCTCACAGAGTATAAAATTAGGATGAGCAATGAGTGCTGGTCAAAACACAGCCAATAAGAGTTTCTAAAACTCGGAAGGGCACGAGAAGATTTTTAACAGTTGTCAAAAAGGTTTCCATTTTTGATATGTGTATTATATTGTATTAACACGGGTTATAAGTTCTGTCACATGTTTATTACGAAATAATTGACACATGATTGCCCAAGGATTCCTGTGACTCCAAATCAGGACGAAGCCTCGAGTGGGCCTTTTCCTCAGTGTTGCTATATTTTATAATCCAACGGATTTCAATTCGGACTGGAGGAGGGCCAGTCTTTGTGTCGGATGAAAACGACTTCACGCGCCGCCAGCCGGTTTTGCGTCCTTCTTACTACATGAGCTGACGCAGTATCTTGCTGGAATACCAGTGTCTGTTATTGAACTTGTTTTGAGAAATATACTGTCATTGACTTTGAGACTCCCAGCCAAACCATGAGTGACGATGGAAAATTCGCGTCGCTGGACACGCGGATTGGTGCTGCTCGTATTTCCTTTACTTTTGCTCTCCTCCTACGGTAAATATTTTTTCATGCGAAAAAAAAATCACGGTGGTTTAATATTGTTTGGTGGTTTGGGTGGTGGAAATTTTTTTCGCGGGATCTTCAGTTTTAGGTCCATTACACGCGCATCCAAATGATGTCTTGTTTTTCTTTGATAAGCTCAAAGCCCTAAGTCTTCATCTGGCACCTTTCTCACTGTGGTTCTGTTTTACCCCATCTGAGTCTGCCCGCGACTACGTCTGTACGTAGAATAGGCTGAAGGCGTAAGATTCAGACGGAAAGACAGACATACATAAAATACGTATATAAATTATTGTATACATATTTTATGTATGTGTGTATATGTATATTTTTTATCTATGACCAACTCGAGCCCCATTTATATGAAAGTAGAACCCAGAATTCTCGAACTTTATATTCTTGTTTTCAAGTAAAGAACTTCCTGTGTGATGATATTGTTTAGGTTAAATGCGTTTCAGCCTTACGCCTGTAGAAGTTTGAAAACGCTACGTATATATATTTATAGATATACTATAATATATTTTTATTTGTAATCAAAACAGTAAATACTGATGTTTTTAATTTTTATTTTGAAAATGGTGCAATTGATAGGGAATTCAGACAAAGATGAATCCCTTTATTTTAAACTCAAATGTTAGGGATCGGTTCTTGCTAATTCAAAAGAGTTCTATTGCGTAAACATTAGTTGTGTTAAGATAGCGATTTGAAACATAACATTAAATTAACGACGATGATGGATGTCCAACAAAAAAAATATGTTTTAGTATTTTTAGAAAAATTGAGTGACGACTCATTAAAAAATAGCAGTGCCTGGAAAGTACATCTAAGTTTATAACTGTTTCGTTATTGTAACACCTATTACATAAATAAATGTAACAATAATGACGAGCAGGTTCTGGTTGGTTTTGTGACAGGTATTCGTAAAGTTGTGGTAGATTTGTTTAAAAATATATTTTCTTTGACTATGAAATAGGTTACAGTAGAGACTGCATTGTACAGTGATGGCGAATAAAAGTGATTGTTAATAAATAGCACCACAACTCACACTGACAGTAATCAGGCATCAAACAACAAAATAAAAACGAATAAGTTCGTTAGTTCAACTGAGTCTGTACTAATTTGTACAATACGCTAAAGACCCATTTACACGGCGCAAGTTTCTTGCCTGTTGTATACAATTAAATTGAAGCAATAAATGAGTTGCATGGTCTAAACAACAAATGGTCTAACAAATTATTGCGCGCAATTTATTGCATTCAATTATTGCTCTTGTATGTACAAGAAAATGGCATCGTGTAAATGGGCCTTAATATCGGCGTTTCAAAAATATAACTGCACAAGTAACATTGAGCGCGGTAGTTGACAAGCCATTGCAGTAATACCAAACGCCATAATAAATGTATTATGCATAATTGTTAATAAAACAGTTATTTAATGCGCCTTTTAACTCCTGCCTTAGTTTTTAAATTTCGGGGGCATAGATTCACTATGGATAAACAAAAAAAAAATCCCTACATCATCATAATGAGGTTTCCATTATACCTTTACATAATATTTGAATATGGAAAATAAAAATAGTGGATAACAAAACAATAACATTTATATATATAAAACATTTAACAAATAACATAGATAACATTTAACAAATCACAATTTATATCTTGTCTCCATTTAAAACTTCTTTCACAAGACGTTTTTTCCCTTTCTCGTCAGGCTCTATCTATATCAGTTGTTAAGTTTTGTGATATAAAAAACGAAGACAAACCAAAAAGTTTTTCCTAGGCTCGTACGATTCAAACGAATGCGCCGTGTTTTAGGTGGAGTTTTGGCTTGTTTCGCAAGGGCTACAAACAAGGTCTTACTTTAGAAGATCTATTTCAAGCACGCGATGGTGACTGCTCGGGGCGACTTGGTGACCGTTTGGAGGAGGCTTGGCAAAAAGAATTTGATAACGCCCGTCGTAATGGCACAAAACCTTCACTCTCTAAAGCCATTTTCAGATCTTTCTGGCTCGAATACATGATATGCGGATTTTTCGTAGGAATATTATTTATTGTCTTATGGTAAGCGCAATCAATTCTCTGCATACAAAATGTTAATTGCGTAAATTATACATATATTGTATTTAAATTTCTGCTTTATTTGTTTTAGGCCATTAATTCCTTACACGTTGGCATTGTTTATTGGTTATTTTTCCTCCGAAAAGACACCCGAGAACTATAGGAACGCTCATATTTTTAACTTCCTGATGAATTTTCTGAGCGTTATGACCGCCCTCATGTTGAACCATTTACAATTAAGCCAGGGCTGTGTTGGAATGAGAGTAAGGGTAGCTTGTTGCTCATTACTGTTTAGAAAGGTAAGTCAAAAAATAATATCTATATGATACATTTTTTTATATATTTTAGCTCATATTATTAAGAGCCGTAGTATATTACATAAATTCCTAGTGTTTACTAGTTCAATGTAAAGAATTTGGAAGTTATCTTTGCTTAACTTATTTATTAAGATTTGAAGTAATTGAATGTACCAAATAACGAAAGTACTGGAAATATAACATTATACTGTGATTAAAATGTTATTGCATTGAAATAATTGTATCCGCATTAACGACATTGTTTTCTTAATTCTATGATTAAGCCCTTTTGGTTTTAAATAAGTAATCCTTATTTTTTATAGTTCATATTTTGGAACTCTTATTAATAAAAGTATGTACATAATTCTTAAAATTAAAATGTTTAGCTTCACTAAGATCTTCATTGGTTTTAGATTTTAAAACTTAACCGTGCCGGGTTGGACAAGACGGAACCGGGGCAAGTGATTAATTTGATGTCGAACGACGTCAACCGCTTTGATATGGCTGCTCTGTTTCTTCACTATATTTGGGTGATGCCAATCGTGGTGCCTGTTGTATCGTACCTCGTGTGGCAGCACGTCGGCGTGGCAACGTTAGCAGCCCTCGCTGTAATATTCTTGCAGACGATTCTAGTGCAAGGTAAGAATAGGCTATTCTTTTTAACTTCGATATGAACAGATCCATCTGTAGAAACGGTAGCATTTATATTTTAAAAAACGATATTATGATTAAAAAGATACGTAATATACATATTTTAATAAGATGTTATTTTCAAGCTTATATATCGAATGAAGGTCAATGTTAATAATAAAGAGAATTTCCAATGAAATAACTAACTATATGTAAGTTAATGAATTAACTTAAGCATGTGTTAGCTACACGCGGTGGATCGAAATATATCGACGCCTCATCTTTTTATATCATTCTCAGACCAATAAAAAGTAGAGACAGAACATTACACTCATTTAATTGAGGCACGTAATATGAAGACTATTCGGTCATATGAAGACGGACGCTTGTCAGTCTACCGCGAGTGAGTGAAAAATAAAAATGAAATATCTTATAATTTTATCGAATATTGTAATATTGTTCTTTAAAAAATAAATGATTAATTGTGCGGGCGGACGGAGCCGCTGTGAGTATCTACTGAAAAACGTTTGAAAACACATTATTTTTGTCGCAGATGTCAACATTGCGCTTAACTTTCAGCGTACCTGAGTAATCTGCAGGGCAGATTCAGAGGGAAGATTGCTAAACGCACCGACGAAAGGGTGAAGGTGATGAGCGAACTCGTAAGTGGGGTCCAGGTTATAAAGATGTACGCGTGGGAGAAGCCCTTTGAGAAGTTGGTGGACAAATTGCGACGGTAAGTTGCGAATGTTAAACATGCGCAATATCAAGGCAATTCAATAGTCATAAACAGGTATGACTGCATTTCTTATATCTTTTTGCCAAACGTTACACCAAATATAGGTAATATTTCTAGATATCTATGGAAGGAAAGTTTCTTTTAGAATAAAGGCACATTAACACGATGCCATTTTCTTATACATACAAGAGCAATAATTGAATGCAATAAATTAAGCGCAGTAATTGACCAGCAAGAATTGTAAGGTACTTGCTAAGCCAAACTATATTTACATTGTAATACATTGACTCTGTATATTTATTATGCTAATCATATATTGTAGGATTAATGTCAATAAGGTTTTGAACATAATATTTACTCTGCTGTATTAGTTTGAGGTTTTAGAATGAAATGATCAAGTTAGAGGATTCCGCGCCAAGAGCGCGGTTTTTTAGAAGTTTTATGGGACAACTCAGCAACACTTGCGTAAATTAGCTTATGTCTTCCCAAAACCAGGTTATTTAATTGTTTGCTGAAGAACCATCAACAGGCAAGCAGCGTATCAGCAATTAAAATTAGAGCATGCTATACATTCGTAATACTTTATAAAATTGATTTATATTCACTAAATAATAAATAAAGTCACTTTATTTTCACGCCCCAGTTTATGCAATTTTAAAATTTTATCTTATTAAACAGAGTGTCTTTACAACCGCGACAATAAATGAGCGCACATATAGAGGACAACTTTTTAAAATTGTATTGAACATTTACATTCTTTAAACATCAATATTTACCGTGTTATTAAATTTTTAATTTCCAAAACAAACAATTTTATTACACTCTTACGTACAAAACTGTAACGTAAAGTTCATTTCTAAAGGTTACAAAGCATACGAATGGGTTTAATGAGTTTAAAAGAGACAAAACATACTGTTAGAAGGAGAGGCTTGTAATGAGACGCTGTGGCAACGAATGAAAAAGTCTCTGAATGTATGAATCAGTCAGAGTTGTATGGGTGTTACAAATTTTGTTTCTCTTTCTTACTTAATTATTTCTTTGAAAAATATTTTTTTTAGTTATAGATTTTATATTTTTTTATTATTATTGGTAAGTAGCCTTTGACGTGTGTTGATTTATTGTCGCGGTTGTAACTACATGCTGTAGTGTTACTCTCTGCATTTAACGACATAAATGTGGGCACGGTTTTATCGTACATAGGCACGATATTATCTGACAATACCGCGCTTTCTCGTTTTGTTTTTTTTTTGTAATATTGTAGTAATTACTTTCTATTTAAAATTTGGATCTTTTGCATTTTGTATGCGTAGCTAAATTACTAACTACCTACTCAATTTTTTTTCTATAAATCAAACCTTGACTTAATTATAGATTAAAGTCCAAATGGGATCGGTATTAAAACTCTAATGTATATAATAAATAATGTTAAAAAATTATACTAACGGCACTGACGAGATCTGACATTGATGGAAGAATTATTTCGATAAATTTAAATTAGGTCACATATACAAGTGGAATCACAATAGTTTCTCATGAGAAGAGAAAAAAGAAATTTTCCTTACCTTTTCATTTTTTTGTAAGATGTTTTTGCAAAATTTCACAGAACGTCATAGTTATTTTTTTTTTCGGAACGATAAGTATACGTTTATTCTATTTAAACTTAATGTAGGAAAATGCATAAATGCATTTGCATCTTAAATTTTATCACGTTGACGTGTCGAACTAGCAATCTAGACGGATATATAATTAAATTATGAACGATATTATGAACGACCAATGGTTAATTAAGAAGCATGACAAAGGCACTTCGAATAAAATGTTGATTCATGATTATAAGCTTTAATAAGCATGATAAGCTCTTTAAAATATTCAAATATTTTTACGACTTGTCAATTTAATGTTCATTTTAATCATCGCCACCTTTTGACCGTCTTTGTAAATAACACTTTTTTTTTGACAGTTTGGAAGTGAGCTTCATACTGAAAACGTCCCTTATCAAAGGGTTTTCGACCGCTCTTAGCGTCTTCACCGAGCGTTTCATTTTATTCGCTGCGATTGTTGCGTTCGTCTTGATGGGCGGCGACATCAGAGCAGAAATCACCTTCTCCTTAGTTCAGTACTTCAATTTATTGCAACTTGCTTGCAACATCTTCTTCCCGATGGCACTCTCCTTCTTAGCGGAATCAATGGTCTCCGTGCGAAGACTGGAGGTAACTTGAATTTCTTTTTTCGCACTCGGTTGCACTCACGGATCGTAATTGACTCATAGAAAGCATTAACTTTGTTAGTTTATTAATAGTTATAAGACCACTTGACAAAGAAACGGCTAGGCTTTAGGCTGTAAGTAATTTTACTGACAGATCCAGTGTTTCTGAAGTAATTAAACGTTTGTTTTTTTAGGAGTTCCTACTGTTGGGTGAATTGGAATCGCTAAAGAAGAAGGAGATTTATCCGAAGTCACTAGACTCCAAAGGATTTACCACTAATGGTGTACATAAAGATAAGCAGATCGAAAAGGAGAAGTCACAACCCACTGGACTCACTTTGGCAAAAGTGAACGCTAGTTGGCAGGAAAATCCTATTGTGGAAACATTAAGGAACATTAACTTGAGCGTCAAGCACGGAGAGTTTGTGGGTGTCGCCGGGCTTGTTGGCTCGGGGAAGGTAAGTCTTGTATATGAATTTTACATTTTACTGGTTACTTCCGAGTAAGAATGATTGTTACATTTGTTTTTGTTGTGTGTGCGACGTCAGCATGACAAGATGACCGTAAATTATAACGTTTCTGGCATAAGAAACTCTATGAAAAGTATGAGTACTCACCGGGGACTAAGGACGTGATAACTAGCAATAATATTAATTATTTGCACTTTACTGGGTGTTCTAATCTTAATCGTAAACGTATCTGAAATAAATATGGGTATGAGCTACCTTTTTGAGATTAACTGATTTAATATGAGGTCGATTTCGTTAATAGTGAATAATGACATTTTATTAACGGTATCTAGATGTGACAAAACGTGCCTATATTCAAAAATGACAAATTATTTTATTAAATCGAGTCGTAGTACGTAAATGACTGAGTTATGAGGTTACAAACATAAAGAGACATTGACCGACCAACCGAATTGAGAACCTCATATTTTTTTGAAGTTGGTCTATAAGACGTCACAATTGTAGATTTCTTTTCAGTCGTCTCTATTGCACTTGATTCTGGGCGAGCTGGAGCCGTCACATGGAACTGTGTCGTTGGGCGGTGCGAGAATCTCGTACGCCAGCCAAGAGCCCTGGCTTTTCGTAGCCACTGTGCGTCAAAACATCCTTTTTGGATTGCCGTACGACCGCGTTCGCTACAAAAAGGTAATAGCGCTGACATCGCTCCGTCCCTAATGGCTGATCGATTTCGAATTAACCTCGCGAGCCCTTATTTTTGTGTATCGCTGTAATGGCCCCATCTTGCTTCGATGTTTTACTTGTAGTTCGGTATGTACTTTTAAATTGGTCAGCATTGACAATGTACTTTGTGGTGTAATATACCTCAATTTAAAAATTACTTTTTACATACGATCATTTTTACGGTGGTAGGGCCACGCAGCAGCCTCGGCTGTTGCACGAATGGGCAGGCCCGTCCGGGTAAGTACCACGACCTCACAGAAGACCGGCGTAAAGTGGAAGTATGACAAATACTTTCGCGTTTCGTCTGGTGAGTGAGGTAGCCGGAGCCCAATTTTCAAAAGGTTGTCAACGCATCTGTAACCCTCGAGTGTAGCAGATGTCCATGGGCGGCGGTATTCACTTAACATCAGGTGAACCGTCTGCTCGTTTGACAACTTTTTCGCATAAAAAAAAAAAAAACATACGATCAATTTAAAAATTATAACGACAGAGAAATGTGAATTATATATCCTTAGTCTATACTTGTTATATTTATTTGACCCAGAAAACGTCTAACTGAAGTTGTACCCGTATGTACTCTTTACATACGGGTCAATGACTTACATGATATAATTATGTAAATAATTTATGCAAATTTTTTCTATTAGTCTGCTAGGCCACGCACTTATTACTTTAAATAATTTATAATACGGCAGCAATAATTCTCATACTTGATTAAGGTCATGAACTACGTTAGTTCATGATCTTGATCAATGGAATTTATAATAGAGTCGTTTCATTTAGAAAATATTATATTTCTACCGGTAAAATTTTACATGATAATATTCTGTGTGATATGATATGATGTAACTAGGCAAGGTAGAACTCATGCGTATGCATACACTACCCCACATTTTAACACATTAAAGCAGGGGTGAGCAACTTTTTTTATTAAATGGGCCAATTTAAATAATTTACGAAAATTTATTTATAATAAATATTAGAATAAAAAAATATAAAATTAAAAAAAGTAAAGATTTTATATACAAATTTTAATGCCAGGTAAAAACAAACAAGAAAAGAACAGAAAATCGAACGAAAAATATTTCGGTTCAGTATGTACTACCATTTTATTATAATTAATTTTCTAACAATATATTGATGGGAGAAATTCGATAAAATAAATTCAATTTTAGAAATGGTTGGCAGGCCGCATAAACATGTTTAAGGGGCCGCAAGGGGCCCGCGGGCCGCGCATTGATCATCTGTGCATTTAAGTATAGTACGAAGGTACATAAAGCTGAAATGTCAATTGGGCACAATTTCTCAAATTTTTGCAGAAAAATAAATATTTAAATGCTACAAAATTGAATTTCACGCTCAAATAAAAAAAGTAAAGTATCAGCCTATCCATGTCCCTCTTAAGGGCACAGCTTTCTCTGTACAGAGGGTATCAGGGCATAATCCACCACGTGGCGCCACTGCGGATTGGCGGACTTCACATATCTTCGACATATTGTTTTTTGTTATTATTTCGAAAATATGCAGGTTTCCACACAACGTTTTCCTTCACCGATGAGCACGTTATAAGTCAGCACTTAAAATTACCAATTTCATTGGTTTCACCGGGCATCGAACTCACGTTGCTCGAGTGTATGGAATTAAAAGCGAACGCCCGGAAAATAAGCTATCAACGCTCAAATAGCTTAACCAAAAATTAAAAAACTGATAACTTTGGATTAAGCCAGCAGTTAACTGACTTTTAAAACACTAGCCGCTTCCGTCCATTAATACAAAATTTCGCGTTTATACTATTAGTAAGGAAGTAAGGATTACGAAACTTGTTAATTTAACAGTATGAATAGAGAACCTAATAAAAAAATTATATCTGAACTAATTATCACCTAGTGTAAACGATGTGTAAAATACACATTTTAATAACTTATCTTATGATAAATATTCTCTCAGACAGAGAGACGGATACAGATAAAGACAGTTCGGTCGACTCATCGACAGACAGACTGATAGACGGATGTTTTTCATCCGTCTATCAGTGATCCTAAATGGGTTCCGATTTTAAACTGTGGTGCGGAACGGAACCCTAAAAATCAGCGCTATGTACAGGTGGTGGCGGCGTGCGCGTTGGTGCGTGACTTCGACCTGTTGCCGGCCGGCGACGCGACCTTGGTGGGCGAACGCGGCATTAGCCTCAGCGGCGGTCAGCGTGCGCGCATCGGACTCGCCCGAGCCTGCTACAGACAGGTCTGTTAGTTCTTTACTGGCTATACTAAGTAAAATCGAGCTTTTCTTGTTACTCAAAAGTAACAGTGGCAAATGCCTGTTACAAAATAACAGCCTGTTATTTCATTCTGTGTTGTGGCAACTTGTGTAACTGGTACCATAACGTAGTGCTTTCTAGCAAAGCACTAAGACCACGCCGATGCAAGGAAAGGAAAGAGCTTGTGACAGTGACAGTGTTCAGTAACAACTGTGACAATGTTTAACAGTTTTTATCTCTTTCTAACTAAGGTTATACTAGTAAGCAAGAATAAAGAACTTGTGAGAGCGTATTTTGTGTGAGCAATTTGTGTGAACAGGAACTGTTATTTAAGGACGCGTTTACGAATTCACGCGCTTCAATTTTAGGTACAGAGGCGTACTACTACACGTGCACGGCTCACGCACACAGCGACAAGCGCGAAGCAGCGAAACTTTATGTAACTGACGCAACTTGATACTTTTATTTTTGCATTTGAAGTCATTTATTTTTTAAGCTTACGTTAAATTTGTTTTCAACAAGTTTTTAAACTGAATATTTTTTTATATAATTATTTAGGTATAATTTATTAAATTTCATTTAAAAAAGCTCGTAGCTGTTGATAATTTGCGTTTTAATTAATTATGTATATAATTTAATTTTATGTTTTAATTAATTTTTATGAAGAAAACGAAGCTTGTTTTATACATGTTTGATTATGCGTGCGGTAGGTAGATAGCTTGATAGGTAGGTAATGGTAGGGTACGTAGGAAGGTAGCTATGTAGGCAGATAATTAGGTAAAACCCGCTAACGAATTGAGTAAAATACTGTGTATCGTATTCTGAATGCATTTTGCTGATTCAATAATATTCATGCTAAATGTTAAAAAAAATAATTTTCTGTAAATGAATTGGAAATAGCATGGCGTACGAAGCCGGGCTAGTATCTAGAAACTAAAAATGAAATAATAAAACGAAGGAAACAAACTAGTAAAAATTAAAAAACATTTTTATAAAAAAAAAAACCTGTCGCACTCGGCTCAGCTGGGGTAAAGCTATAGCATAGAATCTTTTATCAATTTATGCGATTATAATTATTTAATTATGCAGTATTTTTTTTTTGATATTTATATTTATGTTAATAAATAATATTTTAATAATATAATAATTAATATATATTATAATTAATAATATATAATTCATTTATATTATTTACAAAAATGATAAGAACTACTAAGTCAGTCACTAAGCTCTGGATAGTTAAATTACAATATACTAACATTTTTAAACTTGTGATCTCTTTCGAATGGAATGTCCGAATTTAATCATTCAAAAAGTTATATAAAGATATTGAAACAGTCTTAAATATAAAGTAATTTATTTTTATAAGGATTAATACCAAGATACAAATAAAGAGCCTTTTCTAGCGGCGGCATTTCAATCAAAATTTTAAAGTAAAAGAATACTTATTGTGGCATAACTATAATAGTTAGACATATACTGTGGAAACACTTTTTATAAATAATGATGTGTTCTGCAAATTCGTAGTACATTATTTTATACAATTATCAATAGTTTTAGCAGCGCACGCGATGCAAACAATATTTTAGGTAATTTTTGTACACTTTGGGTTAACATTATTCAAGTTTTAGTAAGGATTCCTAGTTTTTTGAAAATTTAATATATCCTATGTCATCCGGGGATAATGTAGCTTACAAGGAGCCTATTCAATGCATAAAAACAATCAAATCTTTCCTCTTGCGTGGTAGGCGGAGTGGGTGGTGTTAGGTTTTATTTTCGTTACGGAATTTATTGATTCGTTCGCCGCGCTCAAAGCCCGCGATAAAAGCTGTGCAATAGCTTAAAAAAATATAATCTTTCATTTTTTAATTTGACTCTTCCATGCTCTTCGCCAGAACTGTCGCTATGTCGATCCTGGGTGGAGCAAGCCCGCGAGGCCAATTTATACCTCCGACACGAGGTTCTGGCTCCGCCTTTTGATGTTCACTCTATGGATAGGGAAGACCACACGGAGTCGGGGTGCTCTGTGTCGGATCTTTGTGATTTTTCTTTATAGTTCTCTATCATTTAATTATTTTTGTTATCTATATCGAACTAGTAGCCTGCTAAAATTTTATCGTTTTAGGCTTTGGCATCTGAAACAACAATTGAGTTATAAGAGGTATAAATGTTTGTATGTGATAACTGCCATAAAAAGAAGTCTTTGATAATTTAAGTTGAGACCCACTACATTTTTACATAACTATTTTTTTTCGTGTTTTGCCTATTTTAAAGACGTTCTTACTAAAGATACCATTTGTTCCAAAAGATTGCAAGTCATTAAAAAAATTAAGTATTATTTTAGGCAGAATCCATGATCATAAAAGTTGATCAGTGCGAAACACGACAAAACAATAAACGATAAATGGGGTCATAAACGTGAAACAAAAAGTTTGCCACATAGCTGTCGTTCGAAACTTTTGAAGTACATGTTTATTACACCTATTCATTGGAATATACAAAAAAATGACCTTTTAGACATGCCTAATCTTACAATTTGCAAGTGTGCAAATTTGTTTTGTATTACTTGTATTTTTAATTATCCATTCAACTTTTCTACATGTGGTGTACTTTTGGCCAACATTTGGCATGCATGGAAATAAGAATTTATAATAAAATACCAGATAGGTTCATAGGCCTCCCGGAGTATTTAAATTTAAACGAAAATTCTAAAATCTGTACACTGTCAAATTAGACATTTAAAATATTTAATCATGTCTAAGTAATGTAGAATGTTTATATTAAAAATTCATTACTTTGACTTGTGATTTACTTTGACTTATATTTATACTCTATTGACTCATAATTATAATCTAAATTTCAATTTTTTTATATTAACATGTTTCACAAATATTTATACACAGAATTGATGTAGAATACATAGTTCCATATTTTAAATAACTTTTTTACTGTATTCTTACACCTTCATGCCAATACATCAATTTCAAAGGTAAGGTCTCAAAAAAAAACTCACAAAACAAGCCCAAACTCGACACACATAGCTCATCTCGTCTGTTAGTTCCAGTAGCAGTTCTCGAAGTACACCTTCAGGTCACTCCAACAAATCAAAAGGCAAGGTCTCACCATACCTAATAAAACAAGCCCAAACTCGACACACATAGCTCATCTCGTCTGTTAGTTCCAGTAGCAGTTCTCAAAGTACACTTTCAGGTCACTCCATCTAGTCAGAAGGCAAGGTCCCACCATACCTAACAAAACAAGCCCAAACTCGACACACATAGCTCATCTCGTCTGTTAGTTCCAGTAGCAGTTCTCGAAGTACACCTTCAGGTCACTCCATCTAGTCAGAAGGCAAGGTCTCACCATACCTAACAAAACAAGCCCAAACTCGACACACATAGTCATCTCGTCTGTTAGTTCCAGTAGCAGTTCTCGAAGTACACCTTCAGGTCCTCCAACAAATCAAAAGGCAAGGTCTCACCATACCTAATAAAACAAGCCCAAACTTGACACACATAGCTCATCTCGTCTGTTAGTTCCAGTAGCAGTTCTCAAAGTACACCTTCAGGTCACTCCATCTAGTCAGAAGGCAAGGTCTCACCATACCTAACAAAACAAGCCCAAACTCGACACACATAGCTCATCTCGTCTGTTAGTTCCAGTAGCAGTTCTCAAAGTACACCTTCAGGTCACTCCATCTATTCAGAAGGCAAGGTCCCACCATACCTAACAAAACAAGCCCAAACTCGACACACATAGCTTATCTCGTCTGTTAGTTCCAGTAGCAGTTCTCGAAGTACACCTTCAGGTCACTCCATCTAGTCAGAAGGCAAGGTCCACCATACCTAACAAAACAAGCCCAAACTCGACACACATAGCTTATCTCGTCTGTTAGTTCCAGTAGCAGTTCTCGAAGTACACCTTCAGGTCACTCCATCTAGTCAGAAGGCAAGGTCCCACCATACCTAACAAAACAAGCCCAAACTCGACACACATAGCTTATCTCGTCTGTTAGTTCCAGTAGCAGTTCTCGAAGTACACCTTCAGGTCACTCCATCTAGTCAGAAGGCAAGGTCCCACCATACCTAACAAAACAAGCCCAAACTCGACACACATAGCTTATCTCGTCTGTTAGTTCCAGTAGCAGTTCTCGAAGTACACCTTCAGGTCACTCCATCTAGTCAGAAGGCAAGGTCCCACCATACCTAACAAAACAAGCCCAAACTCGACACACATAGCTTATCTCGTCTGTTAGTTCCAGTAGCAGTTCTCAAAGTACACTTTCAGGTCACTCCATCTAGTCAGAAGGCAAGGTCCCACCATACCTAACAAAACAAGCCCAAACTCGACACACATAGCTCATCTCGTCTGTTAGTTCCAGTAGCAGTTCTCGAAGTACACCTTCAGGTCACTCCATCTAGTCAGAAGGCAAGGTCTCACCATACCTAACAAAACAAGCCCAAACTCGACACACATAGTTCATCTCGTCTGTTAGTTCCAGTAGCAGTTCTCGAAGTACACCTTCAGGTCCTCCAACAAATCAAAAGGCAAGGTCTCACCATACCTAATAAAACAAGCCCAAACTTGACACACATAGCTCATCTCGTCTGTTAGTTCCAGTAGCAGTTCCTCAAAGTACACCTTCAGGTCACTCCATCTAGTCAGAAGGCAAGGTCTCACCATACCTAACAAAACAAGCCCAAACTCGACACACATAGCTCATCTCGTCTGTTAGTTCCAGTAGCAGTTCTCAAAGTACACCTTCAGGTCACTCCATCTATTCAGAAGGCAAGGTCCCACCATACCTAACAAAACAAGCCCAAACTCGACACACATAGCTTATCTCGTCTGTTAGTTCCAGTAGCAGTTCTCGAAGTACACCTTCAGGTCACTCCATCTAGTCAGAAGGCAAGGTCCCACCATACCTAACAAAACAAGCCCAAACTCGACACACATAGCTTATCTCGTCTGTTAGTTCCAGTAGCAGTTCTCGAAGTACACCTTCAGGTCACTCCATCTAGTCAGAAGGCAAGGTCCCACCATACCTAACAAAACAAGCCCAAACTCGACACACATAGCTTATCTCGTCTGTTAGTTCCAGTAGCAGTTCTCGAAGTACACCTTCAGGTCACTCCATCTAGTCAGAAGGCAAGGTCCCACCATACCTAACAAAACAAGCCCAAACTCGACACACATAGCTTATCTCGTCTGTTAGTTCCAGTAGCAGTTCTCGAAGTACACCTTCAGGTCACTCCATCTAGTCAGAAGGCAAGGTCTCACCATACCTAACAAAACAAGCCCAAACTCGACACACATAGTTCATCTCGTCTGTTAGTTCCAGTAGCAGTTCTCGAAGTACACCTTCAGGTCACTCCATCAAGTCTGTAACGAAATATGAATTTTTAACCCCTACTAATTTCTAGTAAAAATATGACAAAGTGTGAATTATAGTTTACTTTTGTCGTTCGTAGTCCGAAGTCCGAACATGATGTGTAAAGTATCAACTTTGTTACGACAAATATTTTGTATTCGTACAGCGATCTTTTTCCTCACGAGCTGCTGTTTATAAGCGACATAGTGACCACTCATGACGGCAGCCGAGCGCCGACTAATATTTCTTTAAATATTTTTGTGGAATAAATCAAAAAAGTGACCAGTAAAATAACCTTTATGTCAATCACTTAAGATTCACGCGTAAGATATAAATGTGAAAGAAATAGATTTTAATCTTTATTTTTTTCTGAAACTAATTTCAACAATTTTGATACGTAATGTAGCTACCTTTTTGAGTTGAACAAGTGTGCTTACATAAAATATTTTTAAATAAAAAAAAATATGTTATTAAATAAGAGAAAAATGTTCCTAAACCCAACAGGATTTCGTCCATTTTGAGTGAAGTGGTCACGAAAATTCTCATTTACAATATTATAAACCAAAATTTTCGATTAAAAACTATCTACCATTTGAAGATGAAGGAGGGATCTATATGTGATAATTATTTCTTACATTATATTCGTTTCGTTTTGCCGCAAAATGTACCTGAAAACCCCCTATTTTTGCAGATTCCGCGAGATTTCGCAAACACGCCCTTAAGTTTGTTCGTAACAGGTACAGCCCGTTATCTCAAGATACCTGTTATATTTACATGTTACAATAAATACGCCGATCACTCCTAACTGGAAGATGTTCCTGATTACGGTCTCAGGACCTCTTAAGGCTTCATTCTGATTTTCTACGAGCCCGATAAGACCCTACGAGTAGAGTCATAACTGGCTCGTTAGAAATGTATGAGTCGGCGCGTCGTGTTATCAGGCGATATAGATACAGACAGACGTGACAGTGGGTCGAGCGTCCGAAGCACGACCAATCGTTAATGACGCACCATCTCGACTGACAGAGGCCGATAAAAATAGCGTTACGTTAGCAGACAATGCCAGTCGGTTCGCTGTTTTATGATAGGATTTTTTTTTTGCAAATTGTAAATTTGGCTAAGCATTAGAGGCGAATTTATTGCACTACAAATCTTTGACCTACTTTGATAGTAGTTAAGTAATTGTAATAACATTTATAATTATGTATATAGCTTCAGTGCAAGGGATTCTTTTAACTTAAGAATGTACACTGAAAAGATATTTCTTATAATTGTAAATATTTTTATCTATATGGAGTGTTTTTTTATAAAAGTATGAAAAATAACGAGATGTTATGTTTGGACCGTTTTTATCTACATAGCTTCTTAACCTTCGTTTGAAGCGACACTTGTGGAATCGATTTTTCTGTCCATTCGTGTCAGAGCGCGAACATCGCCGCTCCCCCCGCGTCCGTGTACACGTCTGTTAAACTTTGTCATGCTTGTATTAAGGTCGAATATCGCGTAGCTTATATTCAAGGATACTTCACTCGGGACAGCGCAGACGTCATGTTACGTGATAGGTGAAGCTATTTGCCGAATAAATTTATTTGTACCGTTCATTCGCATAACTGCATTTAAGTGATTTGTCCTTGTTATACAACTTCTGACAGCGCGATGTACTTAATCCATAAAATAAGTTTTGTTTAGTGTACATTGTAATGTTAGTCTCATTCCAGTTCCACTAAATGATGTTAATTTGTGTCAGTCAAATGTAACAAACATCTTGTCCGTGCTCTCACAACTCAACGCGCACTCATATCGCTGAGTCATGGAGACGCTTTACGCACATTCGTCACCGTTGGAGTTTTTTTTTTAGAAAAATTATTTAATTAGCATAGAAATATTGGCTATTGTTCAGGATAGAACAAGGAATAAGAAATAACGCTTCTGAAGGTGTTATATTAATATAATTTCAACTAAAAATAATTAGTATGTATTCGAATGCGAGTCCGTTACGGTTGGAAGTCAGTGCGAATGTACAAATTTGAATGCAAGTCGTTAACCACTTATAAGCCAATATATTTAAAATCTAACGGTCGACTTCCAACGCGAGTGTTACAAGTATTAGGAACAGTCTATGGTTAGGTTATATTTTTTACATCTCTAAAATTTTTGCGTAGTTATGTACTTATATATTATTATGAAGGCATTGTAACCTAATTCCATTCCTCAACTATATAGGTTCAATTGTGCCAATTTATTCCATGATTATTTTAATTAGCACGTCAAAAATACTTATGAAGAAACTTGTAGTTACGCAGTTGTAAAGGCACGTGAAGATTTTAACCATTTTTATTTTTCCAGCATCATAAACCAAATTCTAGATAGTGACACACATTTAACTTTGTATTCCAATTATTCTATCGGTATAAATTAGTCACCAAAGTTTAACTTACTTTAGTGACTATGTACTGTTTATGTGATTATATAGGAACCTCAAATTAAAAATGTGTTTGCTTAATTCATCATAAGATATTTGCATCCCGTTTTTAATCGTAGTGTTATTACTAAGACATTATAGTCTGTGAACATCGTGCCTTTTAAAGGTTGCGAACAAAAGTGGGAGTCAATGGTTATGTATGGATATTCATGTATGATGGGGATCACATAACATCATCTGAACTTAGGGCTGCCAATATTTCTTCGGCTAATTATAGTATAGTACGTACTACTATTAAAAAAAATATTTAAAAAAATTGTAAAAACCTACATTTCAGAAAAATATAGTATTTTAAAGAAGAAATAAATAATTCATAAAAATGTGTTTGTGATTAATGAAAATGTATAATATATCTTCCTAACGTACAAACATAGTCTATTTATCCATCAAACTTAAAATATATTACTTTTACGTACAATTTATGTATTTTTCCAACCATGTACTGTACGCAGAACTGAAACTCTTAATAAAAGTCATAACGGGTCACATCTGGGTTAAGAAAACCTACATAATTTACGTACGGTTGGCAACCCTAGGTATATTGCAGGTTCTGTTGCCACCTTGTCCCTTAAAATCATTTTGTACGCTATATACATTTTTTGGACAAAGTTGTCTGCGGCCCTAAGTCAAGTTTTTTTTATGCGAGAAGGTGGCAAGCGAGCTGGCGGTTCACCTGATGTTAAATGATAACCGCCGCCCATGGACATTTACAATACCCGTTGGGTTGAAGAAGCGTTGCCTCCTGATTATAGAGGGTTATATCGGCTCCGGTTACCTCACTCACCAGTCGCAAAACAGAAGTATAATAACTTCATCACGCCGCTCTTCTCTCAGGTCGTGGTACTTCCTCGGACGGACCTGCATATTCACACAGCAATTCAACAGCGAACACTGTTGCGTGGCCCTACCACAGTTAAAACATTAACTTAATCAGAATATCAATTAAGATCTATTTAATATTTCAACAGGCAGACATATACCTATTGGATGATCCTCTTTCGGCTGTCGACACTCACGTGGGTAAACACCTTGTGTCTGAGTGCATCACGGGACTGCTGCGGAATTCCACAAGAATACTGGTTACCCATCAGTTGCACCACCTGAAGGCAGCCGACCGTGTTATAATCCTACGCAATGTAAGTGGCCATGACTAAAATAGTCCGTATGTACCCAGTATGTACTGTTCAGCTGACTTAAAAGGCTGATAAGTCACAAATCGATAAGATAATCAATGCACCAAAGACCTGATAAAGCCTTTTATACCCGCATTGACAGACAGTGGGTATATGCAAGTTGCTTTTACTGAGCATTTAGGTGATGTACAATATTCAAGCGAATTTTGTTACAGAACACGACTAAATTCTTTAATATATTTTTGTCAACACAATTATTATTGGACAGCGCTTATATCCTGATACATAATACAAAACGAGAGTGTTGACATTTCGCCATCGTCTCGTAATAGTTTAAAACAAGCTTATATTCAAATGGTTATTTTTTATTAAGGCTATATTTAGGATAAGAATAAGACTAGGAAGAATATTACGCCGTAAATTATAATATACAATAAAATAATAATATAAGTTAAATACTATATCGGTTCTTTATACTTTATTTATGTAAATTTTTGATCCATTCCGATGTCTCTAAATGGGCAAAGATTGAAGTGAAATATTTCATTACATTATTTTAACCTGAAAATGTCCATGTCAAGCTTGTACTTTTTTATCAAACTTGACGTAAAGAGCACAAAACAAAGTCAACCACAGCTCAGTCAAGTAGCTCCATGGAGCTTGTGTACAGTTACAGACCAGCACAATATTAATGGTAACTTTTTCGCTCTTTTTTACCCTGTGCACAAAGTTCATCAAATTCTGTTGTTGGTGATTCAATCTTTCAATTCTGACTTCAGAAACATTGTTTCAACAATTTTTCATCAAATTCTATATAAACAACCCATGAGTTCTTAAACTGTATTCTTCGGGTTCCAATTGGGCCTTATAAAGAACTGGCCACTCAATTGCCGTTATAACTTTTGCTTCGTTATTAATTAATATAATTATCAATCTATAATATAATAATATGTTACATAATAAAAGCAGAATAACGAAAGACTTGCAAATTATAATAAGAACGGAAAATGAATTAAAATACTTTGTATATAGCCAAATAATATATATAGCCAAATCTAATGATACCTGAATAAATCGTGTATTCAAGCAACATAAAGAATTATCTTAATAAATATAATTTGCTCTACTAATATAACATGTCTAGCAAATAGTACTAATACGGTACTTATTCGCGATCAGACAATTGGCCTTGTGAGTAAAACTATATTCATGGAGAACAGTAATAGTAGACCATAAAGATAGTAGTGTTGGTAACCTACAATTTTATGTCAATGTTTACAAGCTTTAAAAACAGATAAGGCTTGTTAGGGTATACTAAAGCAGAACAAAGGTATTCAATTCAGTAAATATATGTGGCATTCTCTAAATCCGGAAGATTTATCCTTTATCAATTTCATATGTTTCAATATTTAATCGCGTGGAATTGAACAGACAAAATATCTGTTTCTAGGACACACTGAATGCTTGATAACCTACTTATATTTTCGTTCAAATTTTAAAACAAATAAGAAACCTAATAATAGTCCTTTCATGTTATGGTTTATATTTTAATCAAAAATTAAACGCATCATAAAATATTAACGATAATAATTCTTAATATTCATTTCCTTAATTTTCCTATAGAACATCGTCAATATAATCGCTTTATATTACATGATGTGCAAACTGGTTTATTGAACCTAATACGAATTCTAGTTCCCATATCGGTCAACCGATTCCAGATAAACAATGCTGTTCGGACTTTGTAACTTATTGTTTTGTTGGAAGTTATGTTCCTATTACGTTAATTTTGTTAGAGGAAACAAGGCAAACACCATTTCTATTATATTTTATTTTTTAAGAAACTTTTCATGTGAGATGGTGGCTTAAAATTAACGAGAATGCTCATATTTTGCATAAACATTGTAGTTTTAACAAGTTAAAATTATAGATTAACAAATAAAATATTTTAGTTCATGTACTTCATAAACCGAAAGTCTACATTCATGCAGGAACGAATCCTGCATGCAATATGTGCGAAAAAGAGGAAAATTTCTTAAGTAACATGAAAATTAGCTTTATCAGAAAAATACGACTTATTATATTTCTATTTATTAATAATATTTCTTTTTTGTCTATATTACTATAGCAAACTCGTAGGTTTACTTATTTATTTTTTAATAATGTATACATTATTTCGTACACTTTCAAGCTAAGGCTACTGTGGGCATTCTCTACCAGCCAATCCTTGTCATGGTTTATCAAAACCAGATGGCAAGTACTATTCAAAGAAAAAAAGATCCAAATATTTTTAATAACTATTCTCGAATAAATTTTTAAACGTAGGTATATTTTTATTTATTTATCGTTGTTCAGCTTAATTTTTTTAAATCGTTTATTGGATACTCAAGGAAGTTTTCTTTTACAATTGTTTTTTAAGTATTTGTCTGTGTCCGACATCTGAGAACCTCTACGTGATGTTTATACTTTTCTATTCTTTTTTAAAAATCGGTATTTATATATATAAATATCTTAATTATATATATATTTTTTTAAATTAATACAATTTAATACAATACACATGTTAACCTATATATTTTTATGTAAGTAACTAACAGTGTTGTGAGCATACAGTCAAGAATGGCATTTTTAATGAACAGTATATATTTAAATAATATTTCGTACATACCTGGGGCATGCTTGTGGAACGGCGCAACACACTATTCGTCAAATATTTTTGTTCAGGGTGAAATCGAGGTACAAGGCAGCTTCGAGGAGGTGTCTCGAATGCCGTTATTCGATGAGCTATTGGAAGAAGAAGAACCGACCGATGAACAAGAAGCTAGTTTAGTGAAAACAGCTCTACAGCGGCAACGAACTATGTCCATACAGGTAACCGGCTTATGTAACTCCTTTATCCTCCAAACTTATTCGTTTTCTGAGTACGTAATAAGAATATGCCGACTGGCAAACAGATCTACAGAAAATAAGCCAATTTCAAATAAAATACTAACTAGATTAAGATTTAAATTAAAGTTTGTTCATGTTCATATATTTGTAACATTGATCTGAATAAAAGGCTATTATTATTATGGGGGGATATTCATTTGGTTTCTCGTCTGGTTGGGTGTATATATATATATAGCACGGTGGGGGACCGAGCGTTTGTTCTTTTTTGTAAATCGTGTATTTTGGAAATTACATTTAGATACAAATTACTGAGTAATGAAATATGCATAATATTTTTCGATCTTACCGACCTAATAATAACAAAAGAAACAACTTTAAAAAAAAAGGGGAAAAAATAACAAAATCATCTGGATCAACAAAAAATAAAAAATAAAGAAAGCAATGATCTGGAATCGAAAATAAAGTTAAAAAAAGGCTTGTGTAAATTATCGTGACACGAACCACGGCCGTCTGTTTTGGGGCCGCCCGATTATCGACCGAGCTATTATAACATTTTTTTTTTGCGGCGAAATTTACCGTCATATTTGAATGATATTTTTCATTCCCTGAAAACAGGGATAAAAGGACATTTTCTAAAAATGAAACCTAGCTAGATCGATTTTTCGCCCCCGAATCTACGCACATACAAAATTTCATGAAAACCCAAAAAGTTTAGAAATTATCAACAAACCACCATCATAAAACAACAATAACACTCAACAAAAACCAAAACTCTTAATAGTTATTATTAAACCACAAAAATTCAAGAAAAACATAATACAAAAAGGAACAGATATCAAAAATTGTGTAAAACGTTTCTCTGAAAAATTACGTTTTGAATTCCGATCCTTTCCCCCTTACAACAATTTCACATACGCGCTTCCACTGCGCGAATCTCTATTATTAACACCCCCTTACATTAGCACTACCTACACTAAAAGGTTTAGAATTAAAATACCTAAAAATCTTAATAACGTCTATCACAAGACAATAAAACCAATGTTCCACATCAAAGGAGCTTGTTTTAGACCGTAAATTACAAGCGAGGCACCGTTCACCACAGGACCACAGGCCTCCCCATAGTCCACCTTATATTTCTGTTGAAAATCTCCGACCACTAATCCAGCTCGACATCCTCCATCCGACCTCCCAGCAGACCCACTTGTCTGCCAAAAGTTTTCTCCCTTCAGCCTTTTTTTCACCAACCAACTCCCACGCGCCATTCCTCTCTAAAGAAAAAACTCTCAATCATCTCTCCCTCTCACCGCAGCCAACCGCCTCTCCTAACGTTAAAAGTGCACACAGCCAAAAAATCCACAACATAATCCTTATACCTCTTAGGTAAAGACCTTTTTCTCGGTGGATCCCTCCCTGGACTCACACCCTCCGCAACAACCTCCGTCTTCCTTTCCATAAAGATCTATTTCTCGGTGGATCCCTCCCTGGACTCACACCCTCCGCAACAACCTCCGTCTCCTCCTCATAAAAACCTATTTCTCGGGGGATCCCTCCCTGGACTCACACCCACCACAACAACCTCCGTCTCCTCCTCATAAAAACCTATTTCTCGGTGGATCCCTCCTTGGACTCACACCCTCCGCAACAACCTCTGCCTATCTCCACTCGCATCTAAAAAACCATCAAAATCTCGTTTATTCTCTACAACTTCTGCATCCTGATTATGAACAAAATTCATGCTCCTTGACATGTTACTTCTCTAAACGATTTTTACGGAATTAATCAAATATGACAACTCAGTCTGAAGAAATAAAATTAACATTCCAAATTTAATGTAATTCAAATATAATACATAAATCAAATTGGTCAGAGTTGACATCAGAAGAGTATGTATAATCTGAGATTACCAATCAACACATAACGTAATTATAACTTCACGGTGTGAATGTTTAAAATTTCAGTCTATGTATTGATAGTCTGTTGTCTCTACTTCATTTATAACGTTTCATTTCCTATTACACGTCATGTTTGTAAACTTGAAGTTTCCGTTTACCTTTGCGTTTGTTTTTAATGTTTAAATAATTAAATATGTGTGTAGCAAACAAGTAACCTACACAAGGCTAGAGCAACGGCCCTCATATCAACATCTGATAATAACTCTGGAAAACACAGAAAAACGCTCCATTGTTTATCTCGTGTTTTGTTTTGCAATACAATCGAAGAATAGCTTAGCAAAATTCTTTTATATTTTTTAATGTCCTGTATGATAACAATAAATACCTTGGCAACTGCGCCTACGCCAAGTCAAGATCATTTAGTTATTGCGTCTGTTAATAATGTCTGTAAAAAATATTTACGACCATACACAGTCGCACGCCAGCGCTAGTACCCTTGCCGAAGGGGCCAGTCTCCATGAAGACGAGCCCGAAGAAACAGCCGAGCTAATGGAAAAAGGTACGTTCGCCGACAATTCGCGCAAAACGATCTCGCAATAATTACATTGTAACGCAAATGACTCATTATACAACGGCTCTCGATACTTAAGAGGATTATATTTATGATTTAATTACAAAGATCATGAACGGCATTGTACAAGTATTGTGAAGGGATTTAACGGATGTAAAAACACGCGCACAACGCACCAAACTCGGAACAAGCGTTCCGGTTCATGTATTTCGTAATCTTTTCTCCCAAGCGGGGATCGATCCCACTGTGGGCTGAACTCAGCAAGGTGTTCAATTCAAGAATTGCACCATATTACTACATACACATTTTAATACAGTAACATTTATATTTTAAACGAGCACTAAGTTATGCTGCACTCAAGCTGATAATTATATATAACTTTAATAATAGACAAATTGTCGTAAAACTTTTTCATTTCGTATTGTTGTTAAAAATTTCATCAAACATAATTATGTGAAGACTGCCGTTGTACAGACTGTGCTTTAATACCCTGTGTACAGAGAAGGCCATTGCCCAGTATTGGGATATATTCGCTTTTATTTTTTTTCTATGTGAAAAGTTGCCAAACGAGCAAACGGTGCACCTGATGTTAAGCGAATACCGCCGCCCATGGACATCTACTAGTACACCCGAGAGTTACAGATGCGTTGTCATCTTTATGAAAATTGGGCTCCGGCTACCTCAGTCACCATACGAAACGCGAAAGTATTTGTCATATTTCCACCTTATGCTGGTCTTCTGTGAGGTCGTGGTGCTTACCCGGACGGCGTGGCCCTACCACCGTAATTTTTTTTTTTCTGTTCATGTTAATTTCTATAGGTCGAGTGTCGGGATCCGTTTACTTGAAATACTTCCGCGCGGGCGCCGGCTGGCCGTTGATAATCCTCACTTTGATCTCGATCATCCTGGCGCAAGTCGTGACTTCCGGCGGAGATCTCTGGCTCACACATTGGTAACACGATTTTCATTAACATAACAACACTGACGCCCGCTTTCTGATACACTGATCGTCGTAGAAGTTATCTAATCAGCTGTCAAACTTTATTTAAGTTGCCAAAAGGATGGTTAAACTCTCTGAATTGATCAGAATGATCTTCTTAATGGTCAGAATGGTTATTTCAAAGAGTTGAACCAACCTTTTGGCAACTCAAATGATAATGGCATTTGACAGTTGATTAGTTGACATCTACGATGATCAGTGTTTCAGAAACCGGGCGTTTACAATTGGCAGACGTTAAACACTGAACAGGGTTGTTTACAAAAATCAACATCATCCTCCTGTCCTTATCCCTATGTTTTACGACCGGCCGCCTGGCTGACGTCAACCCGCTTTGTGAGACAAACACACCGGATCAATTATCTGTGGGTCTCACAAATATTTGTCCCGCGTGGGAATCGAACCCATGACCCCCGACGCCGCAGCCAATAACTTGGCAGCGGCGCCACCGAATCGTTAGTCTTAACGAGTGTTGAGAAAAATACATTCTTTAAATATTTAATAGACACTGCACTTGTCAATGTTGGGTTATTGTAAGTAAACTGTTTTATATCAAGTTTATTTAGATCTTATTAAATTCTTAATATTTTAATCACTCGTGTTTTATCAAGAGAAATAAAGAATCAGAATAAAATATCACCACTATCTTTAATTGACATATTGTTACAACCCAGACATAAATAACACGATAAGGCAACTAGTTAAAATTTATATATTTTTTTGTTTGTAAATGATAAGCAGATATTAGCAATTCCAACACTAGTGTAAATTCTTACTTAATTTATTCAGATTCGTCACGAGGACACGGATTTCGTCATTGTCAGAACAACATCAGTTTACATAATAGCTCCTGTTGGATAAAAAGGCGTGTTTACAGAATGGTCCTTGTGTTGACGTCCCATAGGCTTTTGGTCAGTTTGGACCATGTATTCATTATTTTACAAATACTAAATATACCCTAGTCCCCAACTATTAATAGTTATTAACGGGTATACTTATTAATTAGCTTGGCCTTATTACGACTCACTAGTTAATACTAAACATGCATAGTAACGATATAGGTAAAGGCTATGTAATGTTAAATAGAAGCCAATTTATCATAATTGTAGTATATATTAACAAAAAGGGACAAAAAATGTTATTATTAAGTATTAAAATTGTTTTGGGTTTTTTAACCGCTAAGTTGCAGTTGAAATGAAAAATAAACCTGAGTGTTTTTTTTTTTCATTTGAAGTTCATTTATTTAAATTAATTCATCTTAAACGACTCTTTTAGGATGAACGACGTGGAAGCGAAGCATTTGCGTTACCTTAACGAATTTAACAATACCGATTCAAAGACCAGTGAATTAAACGGCACTAATGAAACCGAAAGTTCCAACAAAACCGATCAACTGGTCACGACCGATACTCCACGGAGTACCGTTTCAATCAATCCGAACCTCACTGTCATTGGAACAATGGTGAAGACGGCGCTCACGATGCAGAATATTACCACGACGGAGGAATATGTGGAACATTCGTATTATATCTATATATGGGCGATTGCTATACTAGGATGCATACTGTTGACAACTGAGAGGTCAGTATGGGCTTTAGAAAGTTGTTTCACTTTTATAATTCAATGCACATTTTTTTTGTCACAACGTTCTCTTTAATTATACTCCAGTACGACTGCACGGTGTGTGTGTTAACTATTACAGGTAGTAGGGCCACACATAGGCTATCCGGATATTTAAGTCACCTACATATTGTATATTATCAGGATATTTATGGTCAAGTAATTGTCCTAGTCGAATATGATGATCAATGGAACTCATTAACGGTTTACAGTAAGAGTGCGATCTGTGGCAGAATTGCTGTCTGTAATCAAAATGCAATGCGCTTACGTTCGTTGCTGCATTGCATAATATTCAGTTGCACCGACTCGAAAACTAATAATAAATAATAAATGATATGATTATATTATCGTAATAATTTGATTGACTTTTATGTAAACACTTAGATCGTACCTACACATTGATGACTAGTAAAAGTAAGTTAAATATTAAGTTGTAAAAGAATATTCATTTTTTTTTAAAATAAAGTATGTTTTAACTCTGGATTTAATATCTATCATATATTTCTATATCCATTAATAAAACTCCGCGTTTATTGTCCTTAATCCGTTTTGATATAAATTTTAACCCTTGTTTTAGATCGTTACTATTCCTATGGGTGTGCATGCGCAGCTCTATTAGGCTTCACAACTTGATGTTCAGCAACATTCTTTCGGCCACGATGCGATTCTTCGACACGAACCCCTCGGGGCGCATTCTTAACCGTTTCTCCAAAGACATGGGCGTCGTCGATGAGATCTTGCCGAGAATGATATTGGACAGTATGCAGGTATGTTTCTTAAAATCCATTAGAGTTCAAATTAAGAAGGTGGTGGGATGAAGGCCATACTCGTTTTAGAGAACGGTCTCATTGCCAGGTGTCTTAAAATATGTAGTAAAGTTTATAGCCATTTATTGCACAGTTTTTGCAGAGCCGTGATAGCTCAGTGTCCGGGCGCTCGCCTTTAGTTCAATATACTCGAGCAACCTGAGTTCGATCCCCGGTGCCGGCACCAATGAAGTTTTTCTAATATTTACAAACAATGTAATGTATATGCATATGTTTACTTCTTTTACTTCTATATATACCTAAATCCAGCATTGGATTGAATATAGCTCAGTCGAAAAGACTTGTCAATTTTTCCGTTAAGTTACTGAGCGGCCCCCACCAATTACGACTACACGAAAACATTAGGACTTGCGCTTTACAGTTAAAACTTATTTTATTAATTGTGCTGTAGTCCAAATGTACTACTTTTAATTTGATAATTGAAAATACTTATTTTTAAATTTATGTCCTTACTTCGGACTATAATAAAAAATATTAATATTATTATTATTAATTTTATTTGTTGCAGGTGTTTATGGTGATGATCGGTATATTGGTAATGGTGGCAATCGTCAATCCCTACATGTTGCTGACGACAGCGTGTTGCGGCGTCTTCATGTACTTATGGACAGTCGTATACCTCACTACAGCGCAAGCTATCAAAAGGTAACAACGATTACTTGAAGCGTAACTTTACTCTTATCGATGACGAGAAGATATTCGCCGCTGAGGGAATCGAACCCACGTCTTCCACTATAAATTAATGAAAAAAAAAACAATATTAAATATTGAAATGGGTCATTTCCACTTATAGTTAAAAAATACGATACTCGCGAAACGCTGCCATTTTGTTTTCGCTCTAGATTGCTGCTAAGAAAAATAACGATGAACTTACTTTTATTTTTACTTCTTCAAAGTCCTTTTTGCTTGCTTTTGAAAGCATTCGTGTCATAACGAAAAGAAGGAACGCAGGCATGAAATTTTAAATTTTGCATTACAAAAATGTTTTAAGTCGGTATAAGTAATTATCATTGATTTTGTTGTCTATGAACGGTTTTTCCATATTTTTCCATGGTTATATGTGTAATATTAAAAATTAAGGGGATTAAGGGTAAAACAACTCGTTTCTTGGGAATTTAATCTCACGTTCCTAAACAAATGAATCCATCAATGTTGTATTAATATATTTGCAAAAACATGAAATAACGATACATAACGTTGATAGATTATTTAGATGCAGTACAAAAAAGAAAACACCGGCCAAGTGCGAGTCGGACTCGCGCACGAAGCCTTCCGTCCCATTATCTATTAAAACGACAATAAATCATGTCTGTTATATGAGAGCTCCACTCAAATATTTTTTTATTCTGTTCAGAAATACATCATCTGTAAAAATTTCATGTCTAACTATCACGGTTCATGAGATAAAGCCTGGTGACAGACGGACAGACACAGACAGACAGACAGACACAGTTTTACCCTTTTGGTACTCAACCCAAAAAGTGGCTAACAACATACTTTCCATGGCGTTTGATAATAACGCAAAGGCAAATCTCTCTGCTTAGTAGCGAAGGTTATTACAAGTTTAATGAACGGAATAATCTTTCGAATCTAACCAAACATAATCCTCTATATAACTGGGGTTAAGCTCAACTTTATCATTTAATCAGGCATTAAGAGATTTTGCTTTATTCGCTTTAATTTGTTCTTTACAGACATATTTCTTAGAGTAAGTCTCAGTCGTAAAAAGATAAAAGACTTGATTTTTCGACATTAATGCTAAATAAAATTTACATGTGTAAACAGGAGAGATTTTTAACATCTTATTTAATAAACAAAGCCATGTTATATATGTATTTTTATGATTATGAAATGAATATGTGTAATATTCTGAATGGCTGAATGGCAATTTCTACACGTAATTATGAAAATAAGAACTTGTCGTTGTTTGTATATTTTAAGAACTGAAAATAGAATTTCTGCATGGACGTCATCATGCATGATGATTGATCGTTGCGATGATTATTTCTTGTATTCACGCGTATATTACGAGACAATTTTATTTGTTTTTTGTTTAAACATTGGCGCATTATTTTTAGAAAAAGAGTAGTTTTTAAAACTTTGTAGTTTAAAACTTTTTTTTGTAGTTTTTTCGAAAAATTTTACAACAATAGAAAAGTTTTTCGTAAAAGTTTTACAAACACAGATGTCTCAAGGAGTAACATCTCGGAGTTAAAACTATACGCAGTGCCGTAACTAAGGCGGTGCCAGTGGAGCCTACGCGCAAACTGAAGGGGCGTAGAAATGAGTAAATCAGGACCTAGTTTTGGGTCATGTTGATAGATTTTGGATGATTTATTTCAATAGACATTGTCATTTTAAAAACCCGACGTGAAAAATGGGTGTTATAACTTTGACGTGTCTGGGTATATCTGTTCGTCTGTCTGTGGCATCGTAGCTTCTAAACAAATGGACCCGATTATAACGCGGTGAAATGAATCTTAGTTATAATTTATGAAGATCTTTGTAGATGTTTGAATAATTATCAGCTCATTTCCTATTTGACAAAAATAATAACAGTATAATAAAAATAATAATAAATAATAGATTATGCTCGAGGCCACATGGTAACCGTAGACATGCCAGGAACCATGCAACATGAATCGGGCGTGGCTCCCGCGCTGTTTTTTTTTACTTTTTAGAGTTTTTTTTCTAGAGCTGCTTTATTTTTTAAATTTTATATTATTATTGTCAGAATCGGGTAAGAATTAAAAAAAATTCAAGGACGCAGTAATTTAGAACCCCGCAGCGAACAAAAAAAGGCTACATACGGCACTGGATATACCTCTTGTGAGGAAATGAAACTCACTGGACCAACCGATCCATTCAGGCAATGCCATAAAACTATCACGACGCTGCGGTCGGTGGAAATTTTCGTGGTAAAAACTCTAGGTCTGCTTATTGACAATACTTTGAATTGGAGTGTATACGTTACCGAAATAAGCCGCAAAGTTACTGCCACCTTACGATCTCTCTATCGCTTAAAACATTTCCTCCCTTTCAAAACTAAACTTTTGCTTGTCCAAACGCTCATTTTACCCATTATCGATTATGCAGATGTGTGTTACCCGGACGTATCCCAACATCTACTAAACTAGTTGGATCGCCTCCTTAATAACTGTATCAGGTTTATTTTCGGCTTACGCAAGTATGACCACATATCCTCCTATCGATCTCAACTTAATTGGCTTACTATTCGGCAAAGGCGGCAGTCCAGAATTTTGCTTGTGCTTTTCTCCATTTTAAATGATTGTTCCTCCCCTTCTTACCTCAAAAACAAATTCTTATATCTCTCCTCATCTCATGATAGGGTACTTCGGTCGTCTTACACGAATAAATTATGCATTCCAGCGCACTTTACCGGGTTCTCTGTCAACTCCTTTACTATCCAAGCTATACATCTTTGGAACTCCTTGCCCGATAACGTAAGAAACGCAAAAAGTAAGACATCTTTCAAAATATTGGTTCGTGAACACCTGTTAAAGACAAATTCGACCTAAGATATGGACTGTAGTTAAAAGTAGAAGCTAATTGTTATTTATTTATACAAGTATACATCTTTATATATATTTAAATATTTGAATATATATATATATATATATATATATATATATATATATATATATATATATATATATATATATATATATATATATATATATATGTGTGTATATATACATATGCATGTATATAACTTGATATATGATTTGTATCCAATTATAATATTATTTTCATATATATTCTCTTTAATTAAAATTTTATTATTCTTGCATCTTTTGCTGCACCTACCATAAACTCTCACCACATCCTGGGTTGACTGGTAGAGAATGCCTTTGGGCATTAAGTCCGCCCTTTGTTACCTTGTTTTACTGAAGGTTGGCAATAAAGATTAAATAAATAAATAAATAAATAAATTTTCGAAATATCACTAAACTTAGTTTCAACAACTTGTTTCATCTAACAGAGTGGAGGGCGTTACACGAAGTCCGGTGTTCTCTCACGTCTCAGCCAGCATGGCGGGCTTGGCGACAGTGCGTGCTTGCAACGCCGAGGAAATGTTACGCATACAGTTCGACGAGAAGCAAGACGTTCACACCTCCGCCTGGTGGGTAACAACATCTCTTCTGTGATCCATACTTCCATACTAATATAATAAATGCAAAAGTAATTCAGTCTGTCTGTCTCGCTTTCACGCCAAAACTACTGAATCGATTTAAATGAAATTTGGCACACAGATAGTCAAGAGACACTGAGAAAGGACATATGCTATTTTTTTAATTGGAAAAAGGTGTAAAATATCTTTCTTTAAAAAATATACCGCGGGTGTAAAATATCTTTCTTTTAAAAATATATCCCACTTACGTAGGGTCGGAACAGCGTGTGGGTCATGCCGTATTGGCTAGGTTTTTTCACGACCGGCCACCTGCCTGACTTAAACCCTACTTGGGAATAAGACCCAGATCAGGAGCACTCATGTGAGGGTCACACCAATACTTGTCCATTCTAGGAATCAAACCCAGAAACACCCCCCCCCCCCCCCCCCCCCCCCCCCCCTCCCCTCTCCACCGAGACGCACGTTTTTCAGCTTCTGTCATAGAAAAAAAGATCACCTGGTGTTTTAAAAGGCTAATCACATCATAATATATAGATCCACTTCATATAACACTGCCTAATTGTATAGTTATTGCGATATGTTAGTTAATGGTTGTTATGCAACTATCGTTGCTTATCAATGCATTATGTAAAATTACTATTGAAAACTAATCTTATGTATACAGTGTGTCGTTACCACCGCGACAATAAATGAAAACACATATAGAGGATAACTTTTTAAAATTGTATTAAACATTTACATTCTTTAAACATCAATATTAGTTCCTCTGAATCGGGATCCTTCCCCTTTAGAAAATTTAAAAGTGCAGTTAAAAACAATTCCTTCCATCATCCTCTTTGGATACTATAACTGATCCTAGTCAAAGGCGGGCAAGGCGCATATTTATTTCAGAGGATTATCTACTATACCTAATATACATGTAGAGACGACGTTACGCCAATCAAATGAAGGCTTATATAATAAAAATATTTTCTTATGGAACCGACTCATAAACATCTATCGAATAAATTAAACTAAAAAGGCCAGTCAATTTAAGCTACTCTATGAAAAACGTTGTGTTAACAAATGTTAGCATAATTCAAAAATGATCTGGCCAGTGAACTCTACACTTTACACTTTACTTTACTTTTCGGTTCTTTAATATTGTGTCGCCGCTATTAGGTAATTATTTTAATTTGCTATTTCAGGTACTTAACGCTCATCTTGAATACAGCATTCCAAATTTGGTTGAGTCTCATATCGGCCTCTTACGTTATCATCGTCGCGTATACCTTCCTCTTATTGGATGACGGTGAGTCTATTTTAATTTATGGGAAAACATAAGATTATTGTAACAGATGGGGTACTTATTATGAATTTACAGGAAAATATGTGCTTGAGACGATGCCTTCCTAATGTTTAGCAAAACAATAAATTTTCATAACTGACTTTTTGGACATGTCTAGAATTTTAGAAATTCATTTGAGAGTATCATAATGTTAGTGATATATTTAAGGAGATTAGATTTTCATAAGAATTTTTCCTTATATTATCTCTAAGAATGACGTTTTATCGACTGATCAAACTGACAATGAACCTTTTTTACACATCAATCTTATTGTACTGTACATAACCAATGAGTAAACCAATATATCGATAAGGTTTACGATATCTTTCGGTCGCCGTCGTTCAAATTTTCAAGGTTAAGTAAAAAACCTTTTTTTTATCACTAGCAAAAAATTCTATCACGATAACTAGCCATTGACTAAATGATGAATCTTATTTTCAGTTCGCGTTTTTGGCAGCAAAAGCTAACTGCTAAAAACCCGACAAAATATATTTTTTTTCATATATCTTACTAAAAATACAGCAGAAAATCTTGCGCGAAAATCGAAAAGTGTTTTTAAACATGTTTTCATATTTAACATTTTAAATAATTTTAATTGGAAACAAATCAGGGTTCCGTCTCCGACATGGTAATGTTTAAAGTATGTTCTTAATACCTGCAGTTGAAGTTAAATTATTTGCACAACACGTAATGTGTTACACAAATAATTTGCGAATTCGACACTTTTTAAATGAATGATGAAAGAAACAAATACCTAATTATTGTTTCAATTCGTTTGTGATTATATTTTTACTGGGCTTCCGCGTAACAAGGATACCAAGGAAATCATAGAAAAATCTACGTAATTGTTCCTGCGGGTTGACGATAGAAATAAAAACAGATTAATGTTTTTATCTTCAATTTACTAATTAATAAGGCAGATTGTTACTAACTACAGTTATTAATTTGAAAAAATTCTTTATTTTAAAGCTTTAAAATTTGACTTATGTTCATGATTTTTGAAGTGAAAACTTCTTTAGGCACGAGAGCAATTTTGGATGGGGAATAATTCATAGGTTCGTTAACTACTAGCTAATGTAAAAGTATACCTATACCTAAGAGTATGACATGTTGCATTTGTCCAGTAGTAGAAATATAGATTGTACCTACTTGGCTGCAATGTACATGTACGGGCGTAGCGGACATTGACGGACACAAATACAATCTTACATTTGCACAACGTCTCGAGTTTGCATGTAGTCTTACTGATACATTAATTATACCCGACTGTTAGATGTATGTATATCTTTCTAACACGCGCTTCTAGTCCTTGTAGATTGTGGAAGGTTATTCATTGTTTAGTATCATGTCTTTTATTGTCTATTATATTGTACATATTTTTTTGTCTATTTTGGCTGTATTTTTTCCATTTTGAGATTGTTCCAGTGTTGTGTACATAGTTCAAGTTAAGATGACAACGAGAAAAGTTTAATGTACGTCTTCTGTGTATTATTTGGTACTCCAAATAATTCTATGAGTAGTCCATAGCATACAGAGTTTTCTGGACATCATTAAAATATTTTGGCTGGATTACATGGCATCACATGTACTGTAATCTCTCAGCAATAACACATTGCAGTATATTGTCTGTAAGCAATATTTATTTGATTTCGGTGTTATCTATGCACGCCTTGCGGGACACTGACTTTAATTTCATCTGGGGAAAATGCCAGCTGAATACAAAAATTCCTTATAATCTAGTTGTGGGCCTTCGGTATATGATAACAATTTATTTACTTTCTTAAATATCGCATAACCTTGCGACTGTATAGAGATGCCTCTGCCATGATTTCTAATAACTTAACATAGGCAAACACTGCCAAAGTTGTCCTAGAATTAATTGTGATCTATACGTTAATTATGGAAAATCTACCGTAGTAGGAACGTGATAGAAACGTGCATTGCATAAATGGGTTGGTGAATCCGTGGAAACGTCACGGCCTGACCGAAGGCCTGCCAATTTATAGTAAAAGAATTATACTTTCATTTCTTATGTGTGAGTGAGGTCCCTGGAACCCACTCTCATTAAGCTTGGCAACGTAACGCAACGCAAGGTATTCAGTGTCCATTTGCAGCGGCATTCAATAATATCTCAAATATCAATAACAATAATCATCTGTGGTAGGTCCACGCTGCTGTTACAAGAGGTCCGTCCGGGGAAGTAAGTTCACAGAAGCGTATACCTCGACGTGAAGTGGAAGTGTTATACGTCTACGTTTCGTCTGAGTGAGCGAGGAAACCAGAGCCCACTTTCTTAAAAGGTGGCTACTCATCTGGAACCCCACGGTGATATTTCAAATGTCAATGGAGAGCGGTCATCACTTAATTTCCGGTGAACCGCCCGCTCGCTTGCCACCTTCGAACATAATGAAAAACATTTGAAAAATACATCATCAAAACAAAAGTCACTACTACCAAAGCGTCTTCCACGTTTATTCGCGCAGCATTAAACCATCGTTTACGAACAAATACACCCAGGCACAACGAAGTCGGGCAACGTTGGGCTGGCGCTGTCGCAGGGCCTGATCCTGGTGACCATGGTGCAGTACGGCGTGAAGCAGACGACGGAGGTGATAGCGCAGATGACGAGCGTGGAGCGCGTGGTGCAGTTCACGAAGCTGCCGCAGGAGGTGACGAGCGGGCCGCCGCCGCCGGCCGGCTGGCCGCAGCGCGCCCGCCTGCACTTCCGCGACCTCTACCTGCGCTACGACCGCGACGCCGAGCCGGTCCTAAAGAACCTGAACATCGTCATCGAGAGTGGCTGGAAGGTACGGCGATATCTGCACGATTCTCGATTAAATTTTGTGCCGTTTGAACTGTTTGTTATCGCTTCTTCCTACAAGATTACCGTATCATTTATATATCTGCAGCGGGTTCTTGCAATGCTTCCAGTACAGAATGCTGCTTGAATCAGTGATAAAGGAACATAATATGGCTTTTACATTCGAAACACCTTTTTAACCTGTATTAACTGATCGTGATTTAAGTACAATTTCTCCATTGAAGTTGGGTTTTAATTATTATTAAATCCTCCTTATTTTAAATACATAAATTTACAAAATGATAATTATTACTCATAAAATAATTTCAACACACGATTCGCCAAAAAACTTGCCCTCGACTTTGTTTCCTTCTTCTTCGTAAAGAGAACGAAATTGAATTAAATAACTCCCCATCATCTGCTGTCCCGTCCGAGGCTTAAACAAATAGCCTTTTACTATGCGGTTACTGTATAGGGTACATCACTCCTTACCATCAGGACAAGGCAGACAAGATTAGAGTAATTAAAACATATCTTTTTAGGTCGGTGTTGTTGGGCGGACGGGTGCTGGTAAATCTTCTCTCATATCGGCCCTGTTCAGACTGGCACCAATCGACGGCCATATTTACATCGACGACGTGGAAACCGGAAGTATCGCCCTCAAGGTAAAATGCCCTAGCTTTTAAATAAACTTGGAAATGTTTAATAATACCGATGGCATTTTTGTTTGTATTTTCAAAATTGCTAAAAAAAGTTCTATATAACATAGCTATATGAAAATATCACATGTTCTTGCATGTTAATTGCAGGAGTTAAGATCGAAGATCGCGATTATCCCTCAAGAACCAGTGTTATTTTCCGCTAGCTTGCGATACAACATGGATCCTTTTGACAAATACACCGACGCAGATATTTGGCAAGCATTGGAACAGGTAACTTAATCTTAGGATACCTCACTGCCTAAATTACTTGCATAAGTCTAGGCCGCTAGGGTCTTTTTAACGAAGTCTATACATTTTTAAACAGCTAAAAAATATGTTAATTATATTAAATTAAATTACATTATATTAAAAAAATTTCTTGTGTCGAAAAAATTTTACTGAGTTTGAATATTTAAACTTAATAGAAAATATGTACTAAAAATAATTATTATAAAGGAAAGCAATTGATGAATTCTATCTACCTATTCGTAATTTCTGCTTTGGAGACTTTAAAAATCGCTTAAAATTTTTATAAGACATTACTTTAAATCAAAGTTTATTTTTTGTTTTGTTGTAAGTAACGTCATTTGCCCATTAATTTATTTGACTTTATATTGTATTCTTTATCAATTTGAAACAGGAAGAAGGATTTAACGTTTGGAAATTGTTAATTGTCTTATAATACTTTATATTTGTTTGTTTATTATTATTCCTATAAAATACTTTTGAAAGACTACTTTTGTTTAAAATAAAAATACAATCATGGTCATAAGACGATACTTTTATGAAAAAGATATAAAGAAAAATCTGTGTAGAATTTTCGATAGGCTCCCACGAAACTATCGATGGCATCCTGCGGTTCATCACTATCGAGTAGAATAGAATTAACGTGACGCGTCCCTTCAGCGAAATACGCGCGTGGGGCTGCCCGTCGTCCAAAACATTCACTGCATACAACGCATACGTATGCATAGTTAAGTCATAAACGGGCGCGCAGGTGGAGCTGAAGCAGAGCGTGTCGTCGCTGTCGGCGGCGGTGACGTCGGGCGGCACCAACTTCAGCGCGGGCCAGCGGCAGCTGCTCTGCCTCGCGCGCGCCGCCCTCGCGCGCAACCGCCTCCTAGTGCTCGACGAGGCCACCGCCAACGTCGACCCCAAGTATGCTACAATTTATCTCGCAGTATCGCACCGCGGTAATGTTCGCAGTTGTAATATTAACCTTATTTAATTAACCTTATTTTGGCCTGCCTTTAAAATAAACTTTAATAACATCACTGAATCTTAATGATAAAAATATACTCGTAATTAAGTGTGTAGTTACACTTTTTTTGGTGTGCGTTTGGTTTGGGAATAATGATGAGAGTGAATTTGTACATTCAATCATTTAATTAAACCGTTATCAATTATATTCAATGTCCTTTTTTACACATACAGTACTAAGACACGGGATAAATTTTTTGTTTATTTTTATTTTCTTACGGTAAAGAAGTCTAAGTTCTTACGTGCGTTCATAAGCACACACACACTTAATTTACACTGGTTTAATTTACATTTAGCGAGCACACAACACACGCTTCCGTCCCTAATGGAGTCTGATTTATTACAATGATGGGGGCCTATTGCAATAAATTAAATTTATTGCCGCTTACGTTATATTTGACGTGCGAGTATGGTCGTAAATGAAAAAGTTATAGAGAATATTATAAATAAAATTTTCAGACTCATTTTTACACAACGTTCTCTAGTCCCGAACTAACCAAAGCTTGTACTATGGATAATAGAAAACTGTTAAACATACCTAAACATACTTTTCTTTTGTAGGTACCCGCAGTAAAGCTAATATTTTTTATAGGTTGAGTACATACTATAAAGTTGCTTAACTATATTGAATTATTTACAGTACCGATGCGTTAATCCAGAAATCAATACGTAAACATTTCGCCGATTGCACGGTGATAACAGTGGCACATCGCCTGCACACAGTAGCAGATTCGGACCGTGTTGTGGTAAGTTTGCACAAAGTGTTTGTTTTGCTCAATATTTTGTTCTACAGGGAGATTTTTTGAGAAGTGGTCAAATTTACACAGGAGTTTCAGACTCGGTAGTATAATCGTTTATTGAAATAAAAAACAAATCTTTTTCATCAAACAAAATTTTTTCATCGTTACGCGCACAAATACAGTTGACGCGAGTATAAAACACAATACCTTTACACAACAAGATTACGAAAGAGTAGGTACCATGCAATAGAAATTATTGTGAGGCGACACGGCATCTACATATACAGGCCAAATTTACACAGGAGGTTCAGATTCAGACTCGGTAGTATAATCGTTTATTGAAATAAAAAACAAAGTAATTTTTGTCCAAAAAAAAAAATGCCATTCTATTCCCTAAAAAACAGAACGTGTTGACAATGCGGTAGTCATTCATAAATAACTAAATTTACTATGCTTGTGTGCGTGTTAGTTATGAATGACAGCGCGTAAAATAAATGAGTTGCGTATAAATCACGCACTTTTTGAGATAAGTTCAAATGAATGTAATTAATTACTTACGAGTGATTTTAAATATTTATCATTTTTTATATAACATTATTAATGTCTAGAATCTAATAAAAAAAATGGATACACTTAGAAAGCCACCCTGTTTTTGTTAGAACCTCATTACTTACTCCTCACTGTACGGCAAGTAAATTGATAGAATAAAATAAACCTTTTTTGCTTTTTTCCAAGGTTTAAATAGTATTATATATAATAATAGTACCCGCCTTTGTTTAAATAATTAATATTAATACAATATTTCTTTTCATTTATTACAAAACACTCTCTCTCTCTCTCTCCCTCACAAATTGTTTTAAATATAGTATGCAATATTCAGATATTTTAACATAGGAAAATTTAATTTTTATTAAATTTTCCTTTGTTAAAATATGCTTTTATTTAATTTAAAATTTTTTCATGTTTTTATACTCTTTAAGAAATAAAATATTGTGTTCATTGTTGTTATATATTATATTTATTCTTCTATTTCAGGTCATGGATGCCGGTCAAATAGTAGAATCGGGCCACCCTCATGAGTTATTACAAAATAGTAATGGCCATTTCACCTGCATGGTGAAGCAATTAAGCCCTGCATCTGAGCAAAGCCTGCGGGAAATAGCGGCAAAGGCTTATGAGGAGCATATAAAATATGTTGACGCCGAGGATCAAACTCAAACATAGTACTTAAATTCAAGTTGCAATGTTTACCATAACGGTTAGGGCTCTAGGAGTTACAGAAAAAGATAACTATGCCACTCTTTCGCCAAGCCCATGACAAACCGAAAATCAAGCATCTAAACATATAGCAAATTAGAAACTGTCGCAAAGTGTAAAATATACATAATATATTAGTTAAGTATTTGTTATTATTACAATGTACCAAAATATAACGTCCACTTTCCGATTAGTGCCTAAGAATTAACCTTGAAGGTGCTAACAATTTTAATGAATAAAAAGTTTATAATTGCATATACATCCTGAGTTCCTAAATCATGCAAAATCTATAGTACTTAAGGGCATAGGTCATCATAAGGCCATCTTATTTTTTATTATCTCTTAACATAAGAAATTTTTAAAAATATCCATTGATCTACAGATTATATTTTGGAGAAACCGTTATAAATAGTACTGAATAATTAAAATGTAATGATGGTAATTCAATTTATTCAATCATAGTGGTTCTTTTATTTTCCAAGATAATCTCAGATTATTGAGGACCCATTAGCTATCTTAACACTCACAAGGGTAAATAGAATGTTAAATTGTAATAAATATAACATATTAATTTAAAATGATACCGATAAAATATATACTTATTTAAGACTACTTAAAAAATATATATATATGTAATTTAATCACTATTTAACCTATTTAAAACTTTTTATAGTACTTAAAGGAAATAAATAATACATTTGTCAAAGTTGCCAGTGCTGTAGTCTTAATTTTACTACTAAATACTTAATACTGATTACTCTTTAAATGTTACTATTACATATGACATACTTATACATGAACAATATGGAAAAATATTTAAATATTCCAATTAGTTGCAAGAATTGATTTGTAATATTCTTCACATATTTGTTGTATTCAACAGCAGAGAGGTAAAGAAAGTTGATGTTTCAGTTTTAATAATATTAGATCATGTTATACCTATATGTCATTAATCCAAGTACAAAATATTTTTAAAGTATAAAATGTACTTTAAGATATACAGAGCTTTGTCTAACTGGCAGCGGTATAAGCTACTTTGAATCGCATTACCCAGTGTTAAAGATAAATGAAACTAAATAAAGCACTCAAATTTATATTTCGTCTATTGAACTTTCTAAATACATTTTTGGATTATAAAAAAAAAACATTTTCAAAAAAATCATTTTTAAACATTTTCAACTTGAATTTCACAAAGTTGGATTGTTTTAATAATTTTTTTTCTAAAACAGTTAATAGCGTTTAGATAATCCTTGCCAAGTGTCATAATGGGCCTAAAAGTCGTTTAGACGCTGCACCAGTTACAATGTCATTGAGTCGGCCGGTAGGTATGCGAGTAGCGACTGCTGCCAACTAAGGCAAGATTACAATAACTTCCAACAGAATATTTTGTTCACCTAATTAGAGTTTAATAAATCATTTAATAGTAATTTTATTCTATGTACTTAAAATAAAAATACAACGACATAACTATTTATTTATTTATTTTGCTGTGTCGATAACTTATATGTTTATTAACAAATTTTATTAAAATTTCTTTATAAAATTAATTTTAATCAGATATTACAAAAACTAGAAACATCAACATTTTGTACCTGCCCGTTTCACGTGGTATGCCTGCCCCTTTTGTTAATATTATACTGGACATTTTTGTTTACAGCTTTAATGTGCTTACCAAATACAGGTAAAAAATATATATTGTAATATATTTGAGTGTTTCACCCAATGGATTTATTAAATTTCATAATCACAGTCCATGTTGAGATTATAAAATAATACTTTTCCATTAACTTTATTTGGTTTTAGTCAAGTGTCTTAAAAAGAAAAGTACTTAAACCACAATACCGATACTGCATTCATTCATTCATATTAGGTCTCGCTTTATTGTAAACTTATAAAATTCTTATTTTTGTATATTCAAATCTGCTATAATTTTATTATAAGAATGTTTATAAATAATTAAGGGAAATATTTTCCAAAGTGCTTTGTATTTTGTGTAAAACACCATTTTAAATCATAACTTTAAAAGTAAATAATCTATTATTTTATTGTTGTTTTAATTTTTTTAAAACCTTGCAAATAACAATTTTAATATTTAATCTTAGTGCAGAGTAACATTTTTGCGTGTCATCGATATCAATATGGGTATCAATATATCGATATACCGACATAGCTCAGAGGATTAGCAAGCTGAAGTGGCGATGGGCCGGCCATATAGCTCGTAGAACCGATAACCGTTGGGGAAGAAAGGTTCTCGAGTGGCAGACTCGTACTGGCCATCGCAGTGTAGGACGACCCCCCACTAGATGGAGTGACGACCTGTGCAAATGTGCGGGAAGTCGATGGATGCAGGTGGCTCAGGATCGTGCTTCATGGCAGTCTGTGGGGGAGGCCTATGTTCAGCAGTGGACTCAAACAGGCTGAAATGATGATGATGATGATGATATCGATATCAATATAGACTTAATAAAAAACACTATTCGCTGTGGGCGGAGTCGACGCCATTTTAGGGAAGCCAAACTTCAGCTCACGTGACCTAACGTGACATCCTCTTATATTCTTCTACCAATGATAGCTTCAAATACTAAAATAAAATGTAGATTGACGGTAAGATTTTCGCCGGTCTGGTAGGGATACCAAAAGTGAAAAAATATCGATAATTACAAAAATTTTAATATCGGCCTCAGTATATTTTCTTTTTAGGCCCTGTTGTCCAAAAAAGTATGCCAAGTATTAAATATATGAATGTACGGACTCTCGAATTTGAAAAAAATATAGTTTTTAATACGATTTCGATATTGAATATTTTATATCGATATATCGGATCAAAATATATTGGCTAAAAATATCGATATATTTTATACAAAATATCGAAAAATCGATATTGTTTCGGCATCCCTACGGTGTGTCAATCAGCTTAGTGGCTAAAGCGTCTGGGCGCGAATCACGTAGACGTGGGTTCAGTTCCAAAACGAAAATTCTTTCGTACTTTTTTACCAAATTCTAATCATACATAAGGTTAACGTTTAAATTATTTTTTTCATTCTAGCTAATACAAATAATTAGTTGCGCCACGTTGCCACGCGTTGTCAAGTCACCGATTTGACGAGTAAATGATTTTGATTTTTGTTCATTAACAATTATACAATTAAATTTGACGCTGTCTATGGCTCAAAGTTGTTATGGTTTACTTGTTTATTTATACAGCGTGTCGTTACCATCGCGACAATAAATGAACACACATATAGGGGATAACTTTATAAAGTTGTATTAAACATTTAAATTCTTTAAACATCGATATTTACAGAGTTATTAAATTTTCCAAAACAAAGAATTTTAGAACACCCTTACCTATAAAAGCGTAACGTAAAGTTCATTTGTAAAGGTCACAAAGCATATGAATGGGTTGAATGAATTTAAAAGAGACAAAACATACTGTTAGAAGGAGAGGCTTGTAATGCGACGCTGTGGCGCGAGTTGTATATTACAAATTTTGTTTCTTTTTTACTTAATTAGTTTGTTTGAAAAATATTTTTTTTTAATTATAAATTTTGTTTAACGTTAATATTTTTTATGATTATTGGCAAGTAGCGTTAGACGTGTGTTCATTTATTGTCGCGATGGTAACGACACGCTGTATAATATAATAATACTTTATTTCAAGTAAAAGCCCATACTTATTTAATTAAATACAAATTAATTATTAAAATCCAAATATAAAATAAGTATTAATAAATTATTAAAAAAATTAGAAATTATTGTTTGAAAGATAGTTTTTTATAATAAATAATATCCAAAATTATAAATTAAAAAGAAATGTAATAAATTCGAATTAATATGACAAATTTAAAAAAATAAACAAAAACGCTAATTATATATAAAACAATATATATTTTTACCACTTAATCTTATAGTTAAAACTATTTTAATGAATATACCAACTGACTGCTACATGCAAGATTTTTGTGTTCAGTCCATGCTATCTAATACTATCTTTAGGATACTATAGGCACTGCCAGAGAGTTTGAGCAATTATAAATGTTTATTATAATAGTAGAAAAAAAAAACATCAGTTCTCGCATGCCTACCAGAGGCAGCAGCTACAACATTCTAAAGACATAATTATACAGAATTTCAGGGTGTAATAGAGGTGGTGCATATAATTAAAACACAGACAATTCATTACTTATTAGTTACTTCAATAGTCCATATTTCTAGTAGGTCTGTAGTCTCAGTGTTGGTAGTAGGTTTTGTAATACTTTCAACTTGGAGCATCAAGTGAACCTGTACATCAACTAGTTGTACCTCACTGGCTGCACCCTGCATTCTCTTTTGACATTCTTGTCATCTTTAACGTCTTCTATTATGTGCCCAATGAATTTAAGAAAGTGTACTATTTTAAGGTAGATCCATTGAGAAAAAGTGGAGGTGGATTAGGAGGCCTATATTTTCCAGCTTTGAATAATAACATTTTAACCTTTGTACATGTGTATTTTATATTATGTCTTTTTGGTTCTGCACATTTTTCTTAGGCTACTCCCATTGAAAATATAAAATAAAATTGTCTGATTTTTATAGGACAATTAATGTTATAAAAAAAAGCTTGTGTTATATAAAGTGGGTTTTAATGTAGAATCGGTAAAACAATTTTTGATGTGCTTCAATAATTATTTTTTAAATGCATCTTGTTATTTGTGAATTGATCTAAAAAACTAAATGGAATATTTTTATATAAATTGTTGTTAAATATAACTTTATTAAACTTATAAATAGGACTTATATATTACGAATATAGCTTTATTGTACTTATAAATAGGACTGACTATTAAAACAGTCTTCATGAAATAATATTGCTAAGTTATACAAGTTGCACCTTACCACTTTTTAATAAATCTGCAATTGGTTTGTATTGTAAGATATGTTGTGATCCTTCTGAAAACAAAAACAAAATAATAAGCATTTAAATT